CAGGGCTCATTTCTACAACTGTCGTCCTTATTTTAGTTCACTTTCATCTTACATATATTTACAGAATTGTCCGTCACTCTCTTTAGCAGCTTACTAGGGAACATTCTCGTCAAATTAGTGTATGCTAATGATATTGTACACTTGGGTTGTGATAAGTGACCATTGGAACTGGAAGGTATGAAAAGGCTACTGGTTTTCGATCGTTGTGTCTGTGCCCTTTCTTCTGTGTTAAGTAGTCTAATATGGTGAGTAATATTGAGGTTAAGCTTAGTATTAAGTAGAAATGTGACTCCAAACGTTGTTAATGACACAGATGCATTCACTCTGTGTAATCTCACATATCTGAGCAACCCTTATGTTTTTTCCATATCACTGTTCGTTTTCCATGACATTTATGCTCATTAGAGTTCCATTTGATTTCTTTTTTCTCTACCTTTGTATGCTACATGGAATGTGATAACCTAAACGAGTGCACTTGTGTGCAAGCTTCTATTCTAAAAGTCAGTTTGTCAAAATGATCTATAGTCCAGGTATAATGAAATGCTAAAAATAAGCGAAATGTCAACAAATGATAATCGAGTCGTTTTCATTTGATTCTGGTCTAACTGAAAAAGAGTTATCTTACAATAATTCCTCCTCTTACCTGAGATAACTCCCACACTCTGTCTCGTTACATCTCATGAGTTAATTTATTTTATCCAGGTACCCCAAATGCGAAGTCGAAAAACATTTGAAGAAATATAGTTTGCTTACCACCAACTAAATATAAAATTTTTCAAGTGTGAAATGCTGCGCTTCTGTGTTGAGTTCCATGTTAAAATTCAGTCAGTCAGCTTTATCACTGCAGCTGCTTGGTGTCACAACTCACTCTAGTGTTAAGTGGCTTAAACAATTATTAATGCGGTTTCCTGAGTGCTCTATGCATTTCCCAATTCCTTAAATTGTCCGGATAAAGTGCACCGAAGAAGAAAACATAAACCAAAAGTCAATAGCATGGACATAAGAAATAGCGTGAATAGAGGTGAATGAGATGGGTGATTTTTATACCTGTAGTGCATTCTTGACACTGCTGCGAAGTCCTTAGACTTTGATATGGAATGAATTCACTGAATTCAACAAACGAATCCTCTGGTATATCATTTCTATCCTTAGCTGTAATAATATGTGCTGTCAATTATGCACCCAACTTGATAAAACGCTCCTGGAAACTGCGAATTTCACCAAGCATCTAAATGATGTTTGAAATTACCGCAACTCGAATAACAAACTGGCCAATCACAAGAGAGTAAATCACTTGTTTATCTCACTCGCGGGCACACGAAATTACGGTAGTCGACAGGCTGCCCTAGTCATCCGGGCAAACGCAGCCAACGTGGTTTGGGTGCTTATTTTGCTCTCGTTGGATAAATTCATATGAAAATTTTTGTTCTATATTGTTCTTGAGTATTTACGTATTACTTTTGTGGCGGGACGATTAAATATACGGTTCATGCAATGACTATTTGGCATACCGAGTAAGCTTCGCGTACATTTTGACGACTGTCTTTCGGTAAAATTCTTGGCTGCTTGGCGGAAACCTGTACTCGACCATAAATTTCCCTATCAGCTGTTGTGAAGTACCTATTTCTGTTGCAGGAACCGAAGAATATGGTTGATATCCAACTCGTGCATGTTTCCGCTATTTCGTCTGGCGCTTTCATCGCTAAAAGTCAATGGAATGCATAGATACAAGCGAAGATCAGAGTTCACAACTGGGCAGAAACTGCATTATATTTTACGATCACTTACAATATTCACTCTTTTCTGCCAAAATTTTTAACTAAGTTAAATGCACACTGCAACATTCTAGTAATTTAGTGGATTTGAAAACCATCCTCGTGATAAGGTACGTAAGGACATCTGAAGTGTACGCCATTTTGTCCTATTATTGAGTTTTGTTTCATAAACTTCCGCTTTTTGTTATTTTCCTAGCACCATATGATTTGCACTTGTTCAAAGTCAATTCGCAGAATTATTTTGGATCGCGTGGAAGTATTGTCCGGCATCTATTAAAGTTATGGACGTAAGGTTTAGAAGCGGAGGATTCATCGATGTCTGCAATTAAGGGTGTAGTGACCCGTTTTATTACTCATCATTGCAATATACTTTCACTATGTAATTGTACTTTGATTTGTTTATTACTCTAAATCTTGCATGTTAACAATTGATACTTTTTGTACTCGCTCGATTTTTGAATTGTTGATTGCTGCAATAATACACTATCGTATTCCTTCGCAAGTGCCTTTTGAATTACGTTGCGGATGTCAAGTAATCGCAACGTTAGGTCACAAATATAAACGCGAAGAAATACTAGAAGATACGTGTACGCCAGTTTAATCAAAAATCAGCAGCAACAAGGGCTATGCATAATATTCCTAAATGCCTCCATAAGCAAAGAGAATCTTCAGAAGCTATTAATGGTGAGAACAGGAGCCCTAGCTCCTCTATTGCGAAACATGTTATAGAGACATGACATAAAATTGACGTTTGCACATTTTTCAAACTTATCTATAAAACGTGTTCGGATTATATCCTAAAGTCTGTGGAAGCCTAAGTGTGATTATGAAGTTTAAACCACCTTTGTGAGTTCCAAAAGTATTCGTCATCACACGAAACTTTCTTTGGCAAACTTCATTTTGATGCCAGTCAGGGCGGATGCACTAATACCTCTGTTATTTGGTTTAGTGATCTTCATTTTTGTTTTAGCCTTCAATATGTGACTTTAATTCCACCTAAATTTATTTTCTAACCTCTTAACTCTATTAATTTCAAATGTATTCCTAAGACAAGTCCATGTGTGATCAGATTGTACTAAATGTGTTGCGCAAATACGACACTACGAGATTCAGACAAATTAAGTATTCTCATTACTTTGTCTAATCATCCACTTGTGTCAAAAACAGTGACCGATGCAATTGCACATTGATATAAACTTCTATTAATTCCTACTGTGCTAACTCGTTTATTATTATATTAATAGTGATATTCGTGTATATATCATGTAAAACCTTGTTTTCTTTTTTTAGCTACTCGGCAATTTTTGTGAGCTTATTGGATTCGTTGCTGAAGAAAGTGGTTCCCAGTCTTTTGATTTTTTATTCTGTGTTAAATCACTAACAAGTGTATTCCCTATACCTCAAATGGATATTCCACTTGTTAATAGTGAATACTAGCTTTATCGAATGTTGTGAGCTGCGGAGTTTGGGAGATTGGGGCATTTAGAAGAGACATCCACTTCTGAGTTTTATTGTCGTCAATATGCAGTACATTCTCGTTCTCGTGATAAATTTGTTAGCAATAATTATTATCAGTACCCATATTTCGTAGTAGTCAAACGTTAGAGCTATCCGTTGAAATTGAAACAGGTGCACACGTAAGGAAAAACTGATTATTCGAAAGTTTAAACATTATGTAGGTGATAAAGTCTATAGCATCGTTTACATGCGAATAGTTAAGGTTATTTATTTAGAAGTGACGGTAGCTTATTGATGGTTTAAGGGATGTTTTGTTTGATAGGAACATAGGTGGGACAGTGTAACTTAATAACAGTATGACTGGATAAGCAACATCAACTGGCCATTATACACATATTTTGAAGTGAAACACGATCGGGCAAAGTATTTCGAAGACAGGAGTAGAGCAGTCTTCTGAAACTATTAATTTAGTGAGTAACCAAATTTGTCTTTGAATTAAGATTGAAAGTAAGCGGCATATTGGTAGACTAAATGATTATCATTATTCGGTTTCCGAGTACTATTTCACTCATAATTCTGTCTTTTGAATAACTTAGTAACATGGCGCTTACTTTCGGATCCAAATTACTAAGTGAAGGTTGATATCCCTAGAGGTTTCTTGATAAAAAGATCAAATTGTCTCCAAAGTAAGTAAATATGTTCATATCTAGAAAATACTTAGGTTTGGGTTTGTTTTTTCTACCACCACAACACCAGGTGACTTAACAATTAGTCACAAAGTAGATCTGCCAAAGACAGTGTGCTCCTGACTTCTAGGTATCGTGAAAGAAGAACTATATTCATAGGTTTGTTGTCCTTGTAAACTAAGTAACATAATGTCGTCATCTATGCCTTAATTCCCTTGACCAAGACCAACGAAGTAATCAAACTGTTATGTTTCTCTACTAGGTAAAACTGTTGTGCTGCTATATTTTGACTACACTAGCGTACACGTATATCTTAGTACTTCTTCGCGTTTATAATTGTGTGCTAACGTTGTGATTACTCGACGTCCACAACGTAATTCAAAAGGCACTTGCGAAGGAATACGATAGTGTATTATTACAGCAATCAAAATTCAAAAATCGAGCTAGCACAAAAAGTATCAATTGTTAACATGCAAGATTTAGAGTAATAAACAAATCAAAGTACAATTACACAATGAAAGTATAGTACTATGATGAGTAATAACATGGGTCACTACAAAACCTCACAGCCCGAAAATTTTGAAGCAGGAAAGCAAAAGCATCAGTGAAAATAATACAGAATTTTCTCGAAAGTCCATCATCCAATGTCCACTAGTGAACACACATTGCAGTTGTAGAAATTCAAAAATGTAAACGTTTAAGCACTAATTTTCGAACCATTTTTTATATAATGCAATGTTGAAAACATTATACGGACTAGTAGTGCACCCATTTTGTAAAGTGAGGTGTGTTGGCGATTAAAATTACAAACTGCATATAATTAATCTCAGCACCACTCCTTTTGAAATCAACCGAAGCTATGACAGTCGAGTGGCGGGACGAACTAAGCAGAAGTTTACCAAAGACTGGAAGCCTTTACCTCACAACCAAGAAACAAGCACAAAGAGACCAAATTATCCCACACTAAAAATTTTTATTGGATATCGGAAATCCGCCTACTGTTTTTATGTGTTTAAATGATGATAAAGGTTGCATAAAGAACTCGCATCTTTTTGAACTAACAAGCGTCCACAGTAACGGGATGCCGGGATCGTGGTCACCACTATATTTGCCATCTGCGGAGTATAGTGGCGACAAAACTTCTGAAATTAATCTTCGTTTGAATTTCAAGCATATTGACTACTATCTGTCAGAAAATGTTTGTGCTAATTTTGATTGTATAAATATTGGAAACTAATTTTTAGGATCAAGTTGATTCGGAATATGATCTGAATATTTTTGCCTTTGACGATGCAAGTAAAACTATCCTTAGCAATATATGGACTTTCAGTAAGCTTGAGAAAGATTCTAAGAGAGAACGTGTGACTTTAGCGATAAGACAAGTAGGATGCATTATGTTAATATGGTAGTTTTTCAAAGTCTCTTTATTTTCGCACCACCATGTTGAGTCCTTCAACGTATTTCGTGTTCGTGCTAACCTCTTACAATCTCGTGGATGGAGATAAAAAATCAGAAATCGGTTGGTGTTCCCTGAATATTCAAGAAATGTTACGCAGTTCGTCATTTCTCCATTCTTGCAGTGCGAACTTTTTGAAGGGATCGTGTCGTTTGTTGTACGTTTTATCTGAAGGTAATGAGAGTCTTAGAGTTGTTTTAAACCGCCTTTAGTTTGTAATCCATCTACTTTGATCCCTGACAAACATATTATTTATTACTCTGGCGAATCAAATGAAGAACTTGAGAATTGTTTGTACCTGATTCCTGAGAATCGATTTGTTTCATTTTTAGCCCGAATTCCCGGGATAAATACAGATAAAGAATTAGACAAATGGACTTCCGGAATCTTTGTAAAGACATACATAGAAGATATATCAATCACGACGAATTCCTGTCAGATAGCAGATTTTGAAAATGATTTGTGTTCAAAGGTTGCTGATGACATAAATAACGCTTTGAACAAAGTTGGGGCGCTGGCTTCTGTAAAACTGCAGGTTTCAGAGAGAAGGATTAAGGTTATTGATTTTTTAGACCCATTTTTATTTAACAGTTTTATTTCAATAAACTTTTAAAATTGGAAATGCTTGTGACGCCCCTACAATACTAAAATTTTTATTTTAATTAAGTGCACCTTATTTTCTTTCGGTGTCTGAAGACAATTCGAGTGAAACTGTGAACTTACAGCCTTTAACCCTTTCTGTCTAACGCTAAATATCTTTATGGACCTGATGGAATGCCTCCAGAGGTATTTAAGTACTTTGGAGATCATATCTTCACCCTTCGACAGATTCTAGAACATAGGCATACCTACCGGCATCTAACAGTTGTCAAATTCCTTGACTTAAAGGCGGCATTCGATTCTGTCGACTGAGAGGTAATATGACGATGTTTGACTGTCAAGGGAATGCCTAGAAAATACATTGCACTGATTAAGGCACTCTACTCGTACTCATGCAGCCAGAAAGGTGAGAGCTTACGGCGAGTTGTCATCTGAAGTGATGACAACTAGTGGTGTCCGTCAGGGATGCCCACCATCCCCATTTATATTCAATTTCATCATAGATGTACTAATAGACCTAACTCTAACTAAATTCAGCGACTCAGGGATTGACTTGTTACCAGGGAATAATCTCGTTGACTTAGAATATGCAGACGATATAGTCCTTCTAGGTGAGTACGATGACAAAATGCAGAGTCTTCTGAACACCCTGAGCTGCAATCTACGAATGTTCAGCATGCGATTCGCTACTGCCAAATGCAAGATGACGTTACAGGATTGGACTACACCGACTCCTAGATTAGAAATAGGAAGTGAAGTGGTAGAGCACGTTGACCGCTTTACTTACTTAGGAAGTACAATCAGCCTCAACGGGTTGATCTCTGACAAAATCTCAGCACGGATACAGAGGGCTAGTTTCGTGAATGCCACTTTGCGCCGTCTCTGGCGTAGACGTGATATCCGACTATCGACCAAAGGGCGTGTGTACTGCTCATCAGTTCGCTCCGTCCTCCTTTATGGCTGTGAGACCTGACCAATGAGCGTGGGAGACATGAAAAGATTAGCTGTCTTTGATCATAGGTGTCTGCGTTCTATCTCCGTTGTGAAGTAGTATAATAAGGTGAGCAATATTGAGGTTAGGCGTCGAGTGCTAGGTAAGGAGGCGAAATCAATCGACGAGGCTGTGAAGGTACATCGACTGAGATGGTTAGGACATGTGTTACGTATGCCTAGTCATCGCCTTCTTCGACAACAGGCAATGTTAGCTGATATAGGGTCAGGCTGGAAAAGAGCTGGCGGCGGTCAAACGAAAACATGGTACCAGTCAATGAAACCTACAACAGTTAGTCTAAGCCACGTAGGAAGGTGTAGACTTCCTGACTGGTTGAGGTCCTCGGGACGGTAAAAACCAATGGTTGGAAACATTTGGTGACATGGCTCAAAATCGTTCTCAATGGCTAGCGCAGAGGCGTCCACTCCTTGTGACTTATGATTTCCAATGAAACTCTTCCTTATTACTATTCCTTTGTCTCAAACCTCTGTTTACTGTCTCTAATATGCACTTCTCCTACTTTCTTCTCTTGCTTTGTGTGCTGCATGAAGGGAGTGTGGCGACATGAACTGCCGCACATATGTACAAAGTTCTATGTCGAAAACAGACAGACAGAAATATCTTCATTGCAACCTAATCTGAATCATTTAATTTTCACTCACTGCATTTCCCATTTTCAGGAAGGGTCTTAGAAATCGGTTAAACTCTTCTTTACTTATTTTAGGACTGACAGATACTGTGTGGTGTTTGCAAATGTAATTTTGAAGGAAATATTTAACCTTATATGATATAAGTACATGGGTTGTATTAGGCTATGGACCTAGATTGTCACATGACTTCAAAGGAAATCATGAAAATACATGGAATCAAGGAATCATTTCAGCTTTAAAATAAAAATCTCTGTGTGGTTGGGGTAGCTACACAATGTAGTATGCTTATTGGGTGTCTCGCAGTAGAATAGACACACTTCTTCCAGAGGGTTTCAATTGTTTACACTATTACACCATCGACAGCAAAACTGACTTGACAAATTCTCTTTTAATTCACAAATTTATTTTCAAACGCATTGTCTCCTTATTATCAGTCCAGAAGTTTACATAACAGTCAACAATGAATTCAGACCTCTAAAGGCACAATCAGTCAAAAGGGTTCACACTGTAGCAGTAACTCTTAGGTCGTAGAAATGCGGAAAATTTTTGGAATTAGTACACTTTGTAGTTTACATATCTGTTCATTGCGATCTGAAGAGTATTTTACACCCCCCACCGTATCTTTCTTTCCCTAATGAGCTGTCTCTCGAGAAAGCAAGCCAAATGCTTTAAATTTTTGTGTTTCTGAATGTCATTTCATAAATAAGATCGTCGGACAAGTGGTGTATACTTCAGTATGTATCGTGATCTGTTAATGGGTTTGTATGATATGTTATACATACGTGGAACTTGTTTTTTCCCGTGATACAGACGCGGTTTAGTTTTCTACAATTTAGTCCCTGGTTCACCCTATCGTTTGATGGTAGAACTGATCGTCTGCATCTGTTTATCTTTTTTTTCGCATAAATTATTTTGTTTAAAGTGAAGTAGCACTGTACTACTATGAACGACTTTAAGTTGGTATTTTTGTGGGAAATTGTCAAGAAAATTGTATCTGAATTGAGATTATGAGTTATTTAAGAGATATTTGTTCTATGGTGATTCCAGAATAACCTCAACTTGAATGCCCGACCGAAAGCTGTTACCTTGACGTGGTGGTCGTGCTTGAACACCGCAATGACCCAACAGGCTATACTGGCTAAGACTTATGTCGCTTGAGGTCCTACCATGCCAGAAAGGCTGTTTGGATAGCGGTTAGACAAAAAGCAGTTACCCAACCCAATGCTATAACTCAAAGTAAATCACAAAATATCATGCCGGATCGGTCGGGGCCCGGATTAACAACGACCGCACTTCCTGCTGCCATGTCACAGGGCAGAAGGGATAAATATGCTACTGAGACACACCAAATGAATAAGAACAAACAAAAACAGGCCGCGTGTGACCGGCCTCTAGCAGTTGTCCCCTGGGCTCTGCGGTCACGCAACCAACTTCCACGGTGTGGGCAGCAGGGAAGTAACAATCGCCCTCACAATCCGAAATGCACGCGAAACCTCTCTCCTATCCGATATCAACTTGAATACTGATTCTTCGAACATCATTACAAATGAAAATGCAGTGGATTGAGGGATATGATGATCTTTATTGATGTGTTGACTTGTTCAACACCTTATTATCCGACAGGCATCGTAATGCATTCACGTTCAGCATACTCTCTAGAAGTAATTTTCAAATTTCCATGAAATATACGTTGTTTTCATGAAAACATATTGTCGTGTAGAGCCCAAATGTTTTGATAAGGTATTAAATACAGAGATTCAGAAAATATTTAAGTTGTGATACAGAGTTTTTGTTTGTCTGGTTTTTTGATATGCCACACTTTCCATTTATGACCACAGCTACATCAGATATGAGAAAATCATTAGGTTGAACAATCAAAGTTAGTAGATTTCAATAACTTGGTACTTGTCATGATAATAAAATTAATTTCATGAGCACGAAATGCTTTCGAATCTATTGGCTTCAGGTGGTACTCTTCGTAAACTAAAAAACATTTCTTGAATGACTTATGATGGATTACTTTGCCGTTTTGTACATATGGTCAGTTGTTACTTTTGTGTTTTGTATTCGCTTGTTGATTCGTCTGTCCCCGGATACTTACCATTTTGTTACTATCCTCACTGAATCGGAGAAGTTCAGATATTTGATCCATTGTAGTATTACATTGTATTACCAATAATTTCTTAGTTTATACAAAAACTTCTTTTTGATTAAACTGTCTATTTAGGAAACAAAATTTCATTAGGAATCTTTTAGTGATACAAAGTTATTTCCGTCAATAGTAGCTAAAATGTTTTTGGGGGCTCAACAGGAATATTTCATTAGTATCCTTACTTGAGCTGAAATTTTCGACATCCTAATGGTAGGATGTCTGTCTGTCTGTTTGTTTTCGACATAGAACTTTGCACATATGTGCGGCAGTTCATGTCGCCACACTCCCTTCATGTAGCACACAAAGCAAGAGAAGAAAGTAGGAGAAATGCATATTAGAGACAGTAAACAGAGGTGTGAGACAAAAGAATAGTAATAACGAAGAACAAAATAGTTTCATTGGAAATCATAAGTCACAAGGAGTGGATGCATCTGCGCTGTCATTGAGAACGATTTTGAGCCATGTCACCAAATGTTTCCAACCATTGGTTTTTACCGTCCCGAGGACCCCAACCAGTCAGGAAGTCTACACCTTCCTACGTGGCTTAGACTAACTGTTGTAGATTTCATTGACTGGTGTCATGTTTTGGTTTGACCGCCGCTAGCTCTTTTCCAGCCTGACCCTATATCAGCTAACATTGCCTGTTGTCGAAGAAGGCGATGACTAGGCATACGTAACACATGTCCTAACCATCTCAGTCGATGTACCTTCACAGCCTCGTCGATTGATTTCCCCTCCTTACCTAGCACTCGATGCCTAACCTCAATATTGCTCACCTTATTATACCACTTCACGCAGGAGATAGAACGCAGACACCTATGATCAAAGACAGCTAATCTTTTCATGTCTTCCACCCTCAATGGCCAGGTGTCACAGCCATAAAGGAGGACGGAGCGAACTGATGAGCAGTACACACGCCCTTTGGTCGATAGTCGGATATCACGTCTACGCCAGAGACGGCGTAAACTGGCATATGCGAAGAATGGTAGGATGAAGAAAGTAGAATTCTGGGATGACTTGGAAATTGAAAAGTATTTTGATGTATTTTTCTGCTTTAGTTAATTGACATTAATACTTGGAAAAGTCAACAAATAAGTGTAAAGAAGTTCAAAATCAAGACGTTGAGCAATGCATCCTTCATAATGCCTCTGGTTCTTTCCCTGTTTCATTTGTTGATGATAACCAAAAGACGATTCGTTTAGTGTTTTCAAAGGTAGCTGGGTGGAATTTCGATGAGTGATTGCCTTGATAGAACACCTGTAAATTATCTAGTCACCGAAACCGACTCGTTGTGGTCTGAACGCAGGAAAGTGATCTCTGGGTACTGTTGTATAGCTGACAAAACTTTCTTGAGACACGTGTGGTCACGAAACTCTCCAAAGATGGGAGAAATACGATTATTCTTGAATAGTTTGCGACTTTACTAAACAATAATAACATAGGAGACTCGAAATTACTTCATCAGTGTCGTCGGGCAATCATACATTCCAGTCTAAGAACGAGCACTGAGAATCAAGAAGAATATTACCAAAAAGGTGGGATCGAAAACTCTATCCACAAGAATCACACACCTGTGCTTCCCGCAGACAGTCCAAGGTCGGAAATGACTTTGGTTCTGTCAAACAAAATTACATCATACAAGACATTGTCAGTGTATCTCACAACCTCAAAGAGAAGAATTAAAATTAGGGATTAAATAAGGGCAAAGACAAATAATAAAAGTCAAAATCAACATGGTATATGCAAATGTCATGACTATGAGTTACAGTTCAGGAAAAAAACGGATAGAAATCGAAAAGTTAGTCGAAACTTCTAAATAGGTATAAATCTTGTGGTTGGATCATCCAAAAGGGATTTTCCAAACAATTCCTCCTTTATAAATTATCCAACAGCCCCTGAATACACTTAGAATGTCTTCAATTTCTTTTCCCTTAGCGTTTCTGATCAGTCCGGATTTTATTATTAGTACGAGAAGTTACAAGGTAGTTTTTCATAGGAAGTGGCTAAAACTGGCTAGAGCAGACTGAAATAGACTTAAAGCAGTTTAGGCTGGAGTCGACAGTCTGGGACTTTCGCCTTAATTTGTCTGGACAACCTTTGTCCCCATTCTAAAAATATATTGGACGATTTTAAGTTGACATAATTTTTGTGAGTTAACTGCAATTAAGGTGTTTTTTTCTCTTGCAGATTTTCCTACACAACCGTTATACTGTTGTCCAACCTGTACCAGTTATTTATTTAGATACAATTCTTGATTCAGAGAGAGGATCCAGCTCAGGGAGAAGGAAATCGACAAGTCTGCCAGGTAAATTAACGATGTCTTACTTTATATCCGGAGTTTAGAGTCTTCATCAAAAACACTCCTTGTAGCTCGTAATGACTCTGAATTATTCGCTCCTCAGGATCCTCAGTGTGCAATAGTATTTATCCTGGAGTATGTTTTGTGTGAGGTGAGTTGTTCTAATGAGATTTTATCTCTTGGTATATAATAATGCATTGTATTTCTAGACAACGTCAGTGCAAACTTAGATGTTTGTGGTTGTTTCTATGACTTAGAGCTTGTATAATGTCTCATCAACTTAAGAGTTTACTAAATTGTTTTCCACTGTGAAGTAATCCTTCATGTGATAGAAAAATGGTACTTCAACTGGTGTCTTGGCAGTTTACTTATTTCAAACATTGGGACTTTCCCATGTTGGCCTTATCCTCCTAATCTGATAACCATTAAGAGTCTTATCTGTGAAAATATAAGTAATGTGTTTCATTAACTAGATACCATGGCTCCAAACAAAACAGTCTTATTTTCTTTTCATCCAAAAATTGTATTGGAAATTTAAGAGGGAATTTTGGAGAAAGACTTGTGAATTACAAGATAATAGCGTACATAGGTTATTTACATATACACACACTACAACATTTCATACATACCAGCATCCGAGCCTGCAAACTAATAGACATCTAGGACTTACACCTATACGTCTAGAGATCTCCTTATGAAGCTTCTGATACAAACAACTTTCTAATATATCTTTTAATCAATAGAAAATCTCCATACTGAGTTTTAGGAGATAAAAAAATATCAACAAGTATTCAAGATACAGTTGTATGATAATTTGGGTATGTAATTCCATATTAGTTTGTTTATTAGATATATCACACAATGAAACAGTATTATTTACTGGATGACGTAGTAGTAGTACTAAGTAGTACCAAAGAAAATCTAAAACAGGAACTGATACACAAAAAAGAAGCCTTGAAACTTAATAATTACCCGGATAAATTAGTCAGGAAATATGTAAGGAAATGTAAAAATAAAATAAATAATGATAGTAGCGATAGTGATAATAACAGTAATATTAATAATATTAATGGCGACACCAACAATAAAGAATCTAAATCATCGGTAGTAATTCCATACAAGGAAGGAACCACGGAAGCCTTACGCAGAATTCTTAACAAGGCAGGAATAAAAATGGCATTGAAACCCACAAACTCAATTAGAAACAAGCTTTGTCGGTTAAAGGATCCTGTAGAGGCTTTAAAACAAAACAATTTAGTTTATCTAATACCCTGCAATGATTGTCAGGTCAAATACATAGGTCAGAGTAGTAGGACAGGGGCAGTCAGACTAGCCGAACATAAAATCTTAGCAAAATCTAGATTAGTCGACACGAATGAGATAAGGAATCTAGAGTCCAGTTCAGCTATAACGCTCACTCGTGCAATTGCACACAACCAAACAATAGGATGGATGGGATAACATGACAGTTTTAAAATCTAATGTCACAGGGTGTAGGGAGAGATTGATAACAGAAGCTTTGTTTATCGAATCAACTGCAAAGACGTGTAATAGGAATGATTCAACACCTGTCCCAGATATCTGCAAAAACTCTACTACCTCAACGACGACAAATAGGAGAGAACAAAGAAAACTATAAAACTCAAGTTTCGAAGTCGTGTGATTATAATTGATGGAATGATTATGAACAATAGTGAATTGTGTTCGAAACCTTGTCATCCAGTAAACAGTAATACTGTTTCACTGTGTGATATATCTAATAAACAAACTATTATGGAATTACTTACTACCGCAGTCCCCAAGTTTTACACATATATTAATTTGGGTATGTGTAAGCTAAACCAGAATAATAGTTTGATCTTCCGAAATAAGAAATATATTTCGTTATCTGAAACGTAGGGCAGCGATGTCTGCCTAGTTAACTAGTTGGGTTACACGAATAACCCAAAGTCACATGACAGAGTATGAAAATGGTATAGATACTTGACTGCTTAACTTCAACCTAAGCAGTCAGCTTAAACAGTGGTTAGCATCCAGCAGTGAGTGATGAATGCTGTGGGCTAGTAGTTTTAGGCAACTATTTCCCTCTGTATAATGAGAAAAATAACCAATTACTATTATTCCCTTGGGTTTCGAGTGGAACACGGGGCTTCAACAACGCATCTCCACATTGTTCTGTTTTCCGCCGTCCTCTTCAGCTGGGTCCACGATTGCCCAAACTCTCTCATCTCTTCCTCACACGATCTCCTTCATGTCACCGTTGGACAACCCACTCATCGCTTCCCATTGGATTCCACTCTAGAGATAGCCCGGTGAGCGACGTCTTTCGACGGTTTCCTTAAAGTTCTCCCGATCCATCTCCATTTTCTCGCACATATTTGTTGAGCGATAGGCTCTCGCCTGTTGGTTTGTTCTCATAGTTTCTTGTTGCTTATTATTTCTGGCCATTCGGTCTTCAGTATGGAGCGAAGGCAACTGTTGATGAAAGTTTGCAACCTGTTGGAAATCCTTTTCATGACATGTTCGCCAAGTTTCTGACCCGTATAGAAGAACTGACTTGACATTGGTGTTGAAAATGCGAATCTTGTTCCTTATGTTGAGTGTAGAAGATTTCCAAACTGGTTTTAGGTTGATGATTCTGACTGGCTTTGGAATCTTCATCCGTTCCGACTGCCTGTGGTTGAAACGACGCTTCCCAGATAAGTGGGGAGGCGACCTCCGTTAGATCTCTCCCGTTGATGGTGATTTTTATTGGATGTTGTAGTTGTTACTGTCGGTTGGTTGGCTATCTTCATCACCCCTGTCTTCTCGATGTTCAGCTGCAGTCCTGTTTTCGCTGCCAGCCTCTTCAGCCAGTTCGTTGGTTTTCGCTTGCAAGTCTTCGGGTTTGTGTGACATTTGACTTATATCATCTGCGAAATTCAGAACTTCTAGAGTCTTTTTATCAGTCATCCAGCGTAGTCCTGACTCCTCTCCCCCAACAGTCCGACGGATAATCCAGTCCACCACAATTAGGAATATCTTTGGTGATAATAGGCAGCCAGCTTGTCTTACTCCTGTATGCACTTCAAACGCCTCACTCAGTTTTCCTTTGTGCATCACCTGACACATGGCACTGTCATATAGCCAGCTGTTGAATGAGGTTGATAAAGACTTGGAGCACTGCACGCCATAGTGTTGAAGAAGTCTCAAAAATACTTCTTGGTCAACGCTATCTGTCGAAGGTCTTTTCGAAGTCGATGAAGTTGACGTTGAGGTTTGACTGCCATTCTATGCTTTCTTCTGTGATGGCGATGCTTCGAATAGAAATTTAATCAGCACATGAGTTGCCTTTCCTGAATCCTGCTTGTTCCGTAAAGGCGGAGTTCTGTATCCAATGCATCCTTTATTCTCTCCAGGATGATATGACTTGGTATTTTACTGGGCGTGAATAAGAGCATTATTCCACGCCAGTTCTTGGAAAATGAGGTGTAAGTTGCCCTTCTTTGACAGCTTGATAAGGTAGCCAGCCTTTCTTCCAAGCGGTAGGTACCTCCGTTCTTTCAAAACCTTTTGCAGTAATGGCATGAGAACATCTACCACAGTATCTGGGTCCGTTTTCGGTGCTTCGGGATGGGGGAATTCCGTCTGGGAATGGAAAAACAAAAATTAAGAAGTGGAAGTTGGTATCACCTAGTAGACGAGATGATAGCCTGATCAGTATTAAATGAACATAAGATTGTAAAAGGAGATGAAAAGTTTAGCTGGGATCTACAAAAAATATTAAAATAAAACATAATAACCGACTGTTTAACAATAATAGAACAAAGACAGGATTGAAGTTAGGCAGATGGGTACACACATTGTTTTTGAACCCAGTGATCAGGTTAAAAGCCTCAGATTGCCTCATATATAAATGATGTAATCCAAATTTACTGTGATATTTTAAAGTTTGGCTGATTGCTCTGAAGCGGTCATCTTAAATTACCTAATATCAAGACCACTTACATAAGATCGTTTTAGTTTTAATGGAGGTGAGGGTCCATACCAAATATCCATAGATTTTCTCTTAGAGTGTTCAAAATATTCCACATCTCATCAGCATATTCACTTGAAATGATCTTTTTCCGGACAATCTAAAGAATAGCGACCACAGAGTGTAAGCGCACCAATAACCTAGGACGCATACCATTCTTTGGACTACAGAACCTATCGTTACTACTATAGTGCCATTATGAACTCTGTGCACGAAGTGAAATGCAAATTTCACGCCGATCTGGTTTTTATGTACTGTTTGGATAATGGGTTAGTAACATGTTATGATTAAGATTGGGAGTTAGGCTTTAGGTGAGGAAGGGGATTAGGATGTTTTATCATTATTTTCTGTATTTTTTCTGATAAATAAATAAATTGAAGGAGGGGAAGTCGTTTTCCCTATAGATGAAACCGTTTTGAAATTAAATATGAAAATTTATAATTGATATCCGTCATTTTATTGAGAAAGTGTTTTTGAGTTACGTCAGATTAAAACATCGTCTTTAATGTGTTTCATTACTACTATGTGTATTTTTTCTCTCGTAAATAACCGGCATTTTTATTTAAACTGCACGACTTGTTCTCATTGGCCAACTCAAGGTAGTTGGTACGTTCACAATCCGTAGTGAATATTGTTTATAATGCCCTTTTTCGGACAGTATTGAGTTTTGACAAATTATCATTTAAATGAATAGTTGACAATGAGTGGTGATTTCATTCTATTGCTAGATATAATTTAGGTAACAGTTAACTTACGAAAGTCTTGAAGTTTAATTCAGTCACTAATCAGGGTGTCCTTATTAATAAATGTGTGAAGGACTTTGGCAGTGTGGTAGTAAGTAATTCCATAATAGTTTGTTTATTAGACATATCACACAGTGAAACAGTATTACTGTTTACTGGATGACACAGTTTCGAACACAATTCATTATTGTTCATAATCATTCCATCAATTACAGTCACACGACTTTGAAACTTGACTTTTATAGTTTTCGTTGTTCTCTCCTATTTGTCGTCGTTGGGGTAGTAGAATTTTCCAGGTATCCCATCCTATTATATGTTGTTTGGTGAAATGTTGAAATGGCACCAAAACTAAGTAGTACCAAGAAAATCTAAGACAGGGAGTGAGGCGTATGAGAGAAGCTTGAAAGCTTAATAATTACCCTGATAAACGAATCAGGTAGCCTGTAGGGAGATACAAAATAAAATCAATAGTAACTATAGTGATAGTGATAATAATAATATTAATGATGGCATGCATGTCAAACATGCACAGGATAATGACAACACCAACAATAAGGAATCCAAATCATCAGTAATACTTATATACAAAGAAGGAACCTCGGAAACCTTACGCGGAATTCTTAACAAGGCAAGAATAAAAGTGGCTGGTATTCAAATGCACAAACTCACTTAGAAACAAGCTTGGTTGGTTAAAGGATCAATCGTGTAGACCCAACAAAACAAAACAATTTAGTTTACCGAATACCCTGTTGGATGATTTTCAGGTCAAATGCAAAGGTCCAAGTAGTGGAATGGGATCAATCACACTAGCGGGACACCAAAACCTAACAGAATCTCAATTAGTTTACCCGAATAAGATAAGAAATCTAGAGGATGGTTCAGCTATAACACTCACTAATGCAATCACACAACCATACAATAGGATGGATGGGATAAGATGACAGTTCTTGAATCTAATGTCACAGGGTGGAGGGAGAAATTCACAACGGAAGCCTTGCTTACCGAATCAACTGCAAACATGTGCAATAGGAATGATTCAACATCTGTCCCAGATATCTGCAAAACTCTACTACCCCAACGACGACAAATAGGAGAGAACAAAGAAAACTATAAAACTCAAGTTTCGAAGTCATGTGATTATATTGATGGAATGATTATGAACAATAGTGAATTGTGTTCGAAACCTTGTCATCCAGTAAACAGTAATACTGTTTCACTGTGTGATATATCTAATAATCAAGCTAATATGGAAGGGTATCCTTAAATCCTCTAAATCGTTTTCTTTTTCCAGAATACCGTACTTCTGACACCAAGACTTTAGAATTATTTTATTGGTTAGGTTGGTTTTTAATAATTCCATATACTTATAGACATATGCTGTCCATAGTCTTTGCTTCGTAAAATTAAGAAATTACGTGGTGTTTTTCTGTGACTTCGTTTCTGGAGATTGATTACCACTAACTTAAAGTCATATAAGAGAGGAGTGTTGCCCCATTGGGCAGTTGGCTGGTGGTTTGTATCTGACAATGTTCGGTAGGATTTGATGACGAAGGCAATCATGGAGAAAGAATAATTTTTCTCTGGTGGATCCCTGCCTTTTGGCGAAGTCTTTCCACTTTCGAACAGAAAGAAGCGTGCTCTGCTCGTAAGAGAGAGGAATCCGAGAACAAAATCCCATATTTGGACGTCTTAGTCAAGCGAACGACCACAGGGGAATTAGAAACTCAAGTTTATAAAAAATCAACTCACACAGACCAAATACTGAATTACAACAGCAAGAATCCAATAACACACAAAAGGAGTTAAATGCAAACACTATTCAAGAGAGCCAGTCAAGACTCATTGCAGCACTCCCATCTTAAGGAAAATTGAAGAAAGATATCTCATGGACGTCTTCCAAAAGAATGGATATCCACGGAATTTCATCAAAAGACATGTACCCACAAGCCAACCTATCAAATCAAAGGTCCCCAAGGAAAGCACAAAGGAAATCGCCCTACCATATATAAAGGACATCTCAGAAATCACTGCACGACTCTTTAAACCTTTAGGAATTGACGTCACACACAAACCAACAAAATCACTTCACTCAGCTGGCTCTATGTCAACCAAGAGACTCAAAAAAGAAAGAAGATAAACCAACATCATCTACAAAATAAATTGTAACAACTGCGAAAAACACTACATTGGCCAATGTGGGCGTCCCCTTCAACTTCGTATCCATGAACATAAACTAGCCATCAAAAGACATGACATCCACTACTTCATATCGCCTCACTGCATACAGACAACCACGGACATCAATTCTACTGGGACAACCAAAGTTCAAATATTAGACAGAGGAAACACCAACAATGCTAGAGAAGTTTTAGTAGGCTGCCTGGTATTCCAGTGAATCGTCAGTGAATAGATACATCGAGATAGACAAAATTTACCAACAGATAAGAAGTGGACCTCACACACAAAGGGTCAAAGTTCAAGTCAAGGAAACAATCAGCACCGATGGCAATACAAGTAGCCTAGAGGGTGTGAAAACACACAAAACACACAACTAATCACGACGTTGATGGTCACCCACCAGGAGAGATGACTAATAAACTAAACTCGTGGAGAAATCTGAAAGCTCACTTCAATTGGAATTGAAGTATGTGGTGAAGATGTTGCCTAGTAGGTAGCAATGAAATCTTCGCCAATTCACTATCCAGCTCAGAGAACACAACCACATCGAAATATTTTTTGCCATCGAACTTCTGTATTCTTTGTCTTATTGAATTTTTATATCGGACTACTGTTCGCGATGATGAAACGTGTGTATTTAATGCAGAATATGACTTTCCGTTATGTAATGTAAACAAAATGCTAATTTTATTTATTCACATTCATTCACCTAAGAGGGCTTTCATTATTGTAAAACTACCTGTTAACCACGTTTAACGCATTAACCTGGTATTTCTGTGCTAATTACGCTGTATAACTTATCGATGGGATTCTTTTAAGAAGAACGAATCAAAACTCAAATTTATTGATGACTATTGAAGTTCTTAAAAATTACGACGGCTGATAGATCTAAAAATTAAGGGAACCTAAGGATCCAGAAACAGAAGAAATATACGAAGTATCATTTAAAAGAGAAATGACAGCATCTATGAGGAATATTGAAACTAAGGAATTGGGAGCTATTTTCGTCTCTCCTAGCATAGTTGTTAACCAGTTGCTGGAATGTCTGACACAAAATTTCTACTTTCAAGATAATTCGAATATTATTATTGTTTCCTTTAGTTCCTAGAGGAACATAGGTATTCAGGCGCAAGTCTCCATTGCTTTCAGTTCTCTGACGACGTTTTCACCTGGTTCCACGTCTGCCCGCATTCTTTCATCTCCTCTTCCCATCACCTACTCCAAGTCACCCTACCCTCGCTCTGACGACCAACTCGCCGCTTCCCATTCGGGTTCCACTCGAGTGATTGCCTGGCGTGGGATGTCACTAGATGGTTTTCTCAGAGTATGACCAATCCACCTCCATTTCTTCCTGCATATTTGTTGCACAACCGGTTCCTGCTGGGTTGGTTCGCTCATTGCCAGAGATCCCTCCCTGTTGCTGATCTTTTCTGGCTGGCCATCTGATCTTGACTAGTATTGAGCGAAGGCAGTTATTGATGAACGTCTGTAGGTTTGTTCGAAAGGCTCTTCATGACGCGCCAAGCAATGACTTCACATTGGAGTTGAAAATTCGCATCTTGTTTTTCATGCTCAGTGTTGTTGATCTCCACACTGACTTGAGAGAAATGAAAGCTTGCCTTGCTTTCCCGATCTTCGCTTTGATATCCTCATCAGTTTAGTCCGCCTGTAGTTGAAACGATGCTTCCCAGGTAGGTTGGTAGGCAGGTGAAGGAGGTTGCTTCTTTCAGACTTCTGCCATGCATGCTGATTGTTGTCTGTTGTTGCTGTTGCTGTTGGCCAGGAATCTTCATCACCCACCTCTGTTTTCTCTATGTTCACATGAAGTGAAGTGCTATCTTTGATGCTTTCACTACGAACTTGTTGCTTTTCACTTGCATATATTCCAGTTTGTGGGAAATCACACATACATATGTTATTGGCGAAGTCCAGATCCTCCAAGTTTTTTGTGTGGGTTCATTTTATGCCTGTTTCCTCGCTGCCCCCCGCTGTCTGTCGCATTATCCAGTCTACATTCAATCAGAAAAGTCATTGGAGATAGTAGGCAGCCAGCTCGTCTTACTCCCGTCTTCACTTCGAAGGATTCCGTGAGTTTCACATTGTGGATTACTTGTCATGCAGCAGTGTCGTACAACTGTTGGATGAGATGTATAATTGTTGGTGTCACCCCTTGGTAGTAGCGAAGTAGTTTCAAAATCACCTCTCGATCGATGCTGTGCTACCGAAGGCCTTTTCAAAGTCAATGATGTTGAGTGATGTAGAGAGCTGACTGCCATTCCAAGCTCTGTTCAATAATGGATGATCCGTAGTTTTGCAATTTGATCGATGCATGACTTGTTCCTCTTGAATCCAGCCTGTTCCGGTTGAAGTTTTCCATCCAGGGCGTGTTTGATTCTCTCGAGGATGATGCGGCTTAGTATTTTGCATGGGATGGACAGGAGTATAATGCCACGCCATTTCTTGCATTGACTTAAGTTTCCTTTGGATAGAGTTTCCCTAAACGTTTTTCTGTGTGATATATGAACTTTGTTCTGGGACTTCCTCATAAATTTGTATTCTGCGACCTAACCAGTATATTGTTTAAAGTGTCTTATTTAGATTTTGAATTGTACATCTCAGTGTGAAACTGTTAGGCTTAAATTTTACTAGGAGTTTTGTACTAAGTGCAAGTTAGATTTTATTAGTTTAAAGGTTATCTGGAGTCTGTTATAGTCGAGACCTTAATACTACCCAGGTTTATATTTCATCTTCAGTCATCACCCGTTATATCTGCATAAGTCTACCAACCGAAAACTTCCAAATAGTCTCAAAGCAAGTAAGAATTTTGCAATGCAATACTAACTACTTGTTAGTAATATATATGTGAGTACAAAAAAGAATAATTCCTTTAGTTGTAAATCAAGACAATTTACTTTACTCATTTAGATTACAAGTTCAACAACCCCACTGAAAATGAATTGTTCAGTAAGATGGGCAACGTATCCATTTGAAGATAATGTTGAAATGTTTAAAAACGTTGGAAATCATTCAATAACCTTGAATTTACCATTACATGGAAGTGTAGAGCCGGCGACTAATTCAAATGTTACTTTATCGTCTTCCCATAATAATACTAACGGAATACAAATTCCAACACCTGATGACTTTGAAAAGTCTTTACTGAAAACAGTCTGCCCAGATGGAAGTTTTTGTTTCACAGAAAATGTTCGGCCAATGATGGAACTAATTTTAAATTGTACCATATCTACTGGGGTTCGGAAAGATACGGTGAGAGATTACAAATGAATGTTCACAGTGTTTGTAGAATATTTTTTCCATTCGTAATAAGAATTTTTTATGTTAAATATAATGGGTTTTGTGACTTAATATTCCTAGTTAATTAAAATACATTTGAATAAAGCGAGAACAACAGTTTTTGCAGAATAAAATGATACCATCATCGGTTATTTCGCTGGCTTCTCATCAGCTGCTTACAGGCCACAGTCATTATTAGGTATATCTACAGAAACAATTTTAACATACTTGCACAGAGTTCATTTTTAAACAAAAATCAATCAATATATGCACACAGTAATAATATATAAATATATATAATGTTAAACACTATTCCGAACAATAGTGATCATACACAATGGGAACTTTCGGCATTACGTAATCAGATGAAAGAGAGGTGAAAATATCCAGTTACCAGGCAGGGCGAAGAAAGACTGATAACTGTTTCTTTCTGAACGCATAAATCAGGTTTCAGGCGCTTGATGGAGATGGCTTCAGCAAACTTGAGGAGAATTGAACTCTTTTGCCTATTGGTAATTTTGAACGATTTCGCGACGTCCACCTCATGACCTGTGTCAAGGATATGCCTGGCGATGGCACTGTTTAAAGCATTTGTTCCCTTAAGATGTTAGCTTTTTGGTACATGTTCAGAAAATCATAGATATGTCTTTCTTTCTGTTCTTCTAATAAAACTGCTCCCGCAGAAAGTTCCACTTCCTCGACACTGCCATGCAACGCCTAGAAGACGGTAGTCTTCACAAGTCAATCTATCGGAAGCCTACTTGGAAAGGACAATACTTACATTTTAATAGTTTTTGTCCAAATAGCTTTAAACGAGGACTAGTCAAGACTCTGTACTATAGAGCGAGGAGAATATGCTCTATAGAGAAATTAGAGGAAGAATTTACGTTTCTTGAAACGATGTTGAAGAGCAATGGTTACCCTCAAAGATTCATTAACAAGTATGGAAGATCTGAAGTCTCAAATGTCAAGCAAATCAAAGTGGAAAAAAGCCAATCTACATTGAACTTGATTATAAAGGTGAAAACATTGCAGCAATGGTCAACAGAAGGCTGAGTACATCACTAGCCACAGCCTATCCTGAAGCTAAGCTGGTTCCCGTCTATCGAACAACTTGCTCTTTGGTGCAATCAAAAATTGATAGATATCCTTCTCATGTTAACTCCAACTGTAGATATAAAATACATTTTATGACTTCTCTCATGAAGATGGTACGACTGTATTTTACATAGAGGAAAAGGAATAATCGTTTGCTGAAGTCATTTTGAATTGCTTGCTAACTGATTGTGTTGCACCAGAATACCGTATCTGCACTGATGTATTGCTCTCTAGTGCTGAAACTTCGGAGAAGCCTTGAAATGTAGATGATATAACTAGGTAGCTGGTGGCTAGCAGCAAAATGAGTTTTATCCTATTTGAGAGTCGTCAGTTGAGGAATTACGCCATTGATTTCTCTGTTAACCGCCAATATCTAACAAATATCAAGTTCACCTCAGGATATTGTTTAAGCGTCTGTACTAGGAGACGAAGTATTAACAAGCAATGAGCGTTTCGGTCCAGAGAAAAATCATTCCAAAGAGAATTCAAAATAATTCATACAAATTACATCTGATCCTCGTTGCACAAGAAGTAGCCCATTGGCCTAGCGGATAATAATTAGACATTTGAAACGATGGCTGATGACTTTGAGCCTCAGTGAAAACACCACCATACATTGGGGATCCAGGTATATCTAGCTGAGAGGTTCCAAGTATAATAAAAAGCGCTTCCTGAACTCCATCGCTAGCTACTGCCGACTAAGTTTGATATGTGATAAATTGTTGTCTTATCGATTATAAAAAGCTAGTTATCAATTAAATACCATCTCGTCTATTTCATATTATCATTCTGTTGTAAATATACAATAGTTAATGGAGTTTTTTTACTAATATTTCTAATTCTTTTCATTCCGTCTTAATCTTTTAAGAGCGAGAATTCTGCAGTCGAAGACACTGTTGTAGTTACAAAGCAGTCCAAAGGTGAATTCCAAACTCCGATGGCAAAACAACAGTCTTCAAGAAGGTAAGGATATGTACGCTGAAGTTTCTTGTTTAATAATAAAGAAATATGCTTTTCAGTTATTTTCAACTACTGACGAAACAGCTGTCCAGTACTCCCAGGTTTTCCAATGGTTCTCTAACTAATGTCAGCTCATGATGCAATCCTGTAACCAATCAATCAAATCCCTACAAACCAACACTTGAATACTGATTTAAATATTCTATTATTTGAGTGACAGGATTAGAATGTAATTGTAAAATAGTTATTCTAAACGGATTGCAATTGTGATAAGGAGGAGCATGGAAATAAACTTAAAAAAACTGATTTTATAACTGAAAAAATGGGATGAATTGAATGAAGACAAAGAGAGAAAAGTACACACACACAGAACAAAACAAACAAACAAAAAACTGAAAGAAAAGGGAACGTCCCGAACCGAGTCCACGGAATTTGTAAGGGCTGAACTAGTTTCTTTTGAACCCTTAGCTCCGGCTTTTCAATGCACATGGCGAGAGCTTCCACAGTACAAAGAAGTCGGAAACACACTGCCTTTGGTAGATTTTTGTTTCCTTTGAAAATGACTTTGAATGATGAGTCAGTTGAGATGCTGTGACAGGTATTGACGAGGTGTTCAATTATTACGCTTCTGATTGAACCAGGGCCTCCTCTTTGCAGCCATTCTGGATGTTGTTCTCTAACAGGTTTTGATAAGACCCGTATAGAACGACCTATGTACCCAGTTCCGCACGAGCAGCTGAACTGATATATGCACATTGAAGTGGTGTTTAGTGTTCATTTTAAACAGTTTTACCGCGCAAAGCTTAATTTTTCACTTGAGAATTGAAAATAGTGTCAGCTATTTTTTCAAAGTTTATTATACAGTCATTAGATCAGTCCCGTTCAAATACTTCGTGGGTTATGAATGGTCCTATTGTTAAAGGAATAAGTTGAAGAATTGTAGGTCTTCAAGGAAGGATGCAGATATTTCTTGTTGATATATACTAAGGAATTGAACACGATCAGCAACATCCAACAATTGTCGAGTGTTTTATGTCTTTACGCACGTGAATTGCACTCTAAAGATGAAAGATAAAGAAGATAGAACCAACATCATCTACAAAATAAATTGTGACAACTGCGAAAAACACTACATTGGCCAATGCGGGCGTCCCCTTCAACTTCGTATCCATGAACACAAACTAAGCATCAGAAGACATGACATCCAATACTTCATATCGCCTCACTGCATACAGACAACCACGGACATTAATTTGACTAGGACAACCAAAGTTCAAATATTAGACAGAGGAATCATCAACAATGCTAGAGAAGTTTCAGAAGGCTGCCTGGTATTCCAGTGAATCGTCAGTGAATAGATACATCGAGATAGACAAAATTTACCAACCGATAAGAAGTGGACCTCACACACAAAGGGTCAAAGTTCAAGTCAAGGAAACAATCAGCACCGATGGGAATACAAGTAGCCTAGAGGGTGTGAAAACACACAACTAATCACGACGTTGAAGGTCACTCGCGAGGAGAGATGACTAATAAACTAAAGTCGTGGAGAAATCTGAAAGCTCACTTCAGTTGGAATTGAAGTATGTGGTGAAGATGTTGCCTAGTAGGTAGCAGTGAAATCTTCGTCAATTCACTATCCAACTCAGAGAACACCACTATATCAAAACAGCACTCTAAATATGTTTTGTTTCTGTTTTTGACGTTCCGATTTTCACTACCAAGTCGCTTTGATGACAAATTCAGAATCACAAGAAAACACTTTTTTGCCGTAAATGTCAAAGGGTACTTTCGGGAGTCTCCTCCAGTCATTCTTATTTAGTAGTAGTTCAAATATATTCAAAAGTTCGTAATATTAAGTAATTAGCGATACTCAAAATGTTTTTTTGTAACGTCAGATTGCTGAAGAAAGCTGGAAGCCAATTGTCTTCGAGACGCTTTCTCACAATGATATCACCTTCATTGATTTTCAAAATTACAGAATCTAGAATTTCTAGGCATTAGTTTAAATTGGTATATCAGGCCTTGCGTTATGCCCTAGACAAGTTGTGGAGTTTTAACCGATTAATCAGTTAATGGTGAATAAAATTTATTGAAAACACGTGAAATGTAAGGCAGGTTAAATTGTGTTACGTCATGACTAAAGGCTTCCTCGGAAATCGGGATATCCATTAGGATATATTTTATTTTATTTGAAAATTATGAGTTAAGTATTATGAATTTGATATCAGTAGAGGTTTTGAGATTAGATCTAAATTCTGTCTTGCATTAATCTACTCAGTGGGGTTGTAGTTTAACTCTTCATAATTTCGCAAACTTAATCACTAGAACTAAAGAACGCAATGATTTCAAAATAAAACAGTACATATGTCTGGACAACTTCGTTTCAGGATTTCATCATAAGCTGACATTGGTTAGAGAACCATTGGAAAACCAACCAAGGAGTACTGGACAACTGTTTCGTCCTAGTTTGGGACTCATTGGCATTGCGCACCCACCTGGCGGGGTTCGAACCCAGGACCTCCTGGTTATAAGGCAAGCTACCTCGTAGACCATTAAGCCAATAGGGGACCCAATCCAATGGCCAGTCCGTGAATTCTAACTTCTGCCAATTCATCGAGACACTGATTAGCGGTTGCGCTATGTCATACATTGGCAGAAAATAGAATTCATGGGCCATTGGATCGGGTCCAAGTGGCTCCAGTGTTCTACGAGCTCGCTAGCCATGTAGCCAAAAGGTCCAGGCGTCGAACCCCGCTAGGTGGGTGTGTACTGGTGAAGAGTCCCAAACTAGTCTGACGAAACAGCTGTCTGGTAGTACTCCGAGTTGGTTTTCCAATGGTTTGCTAATTGATATTTTCTAGAAGAGAATATTACTCGAAACATGTATAATGATGACTTGGTGGTTCTATTAGGTAAAGGTGTTATCTTGGAATGACTAATGTTGTTGATTATCAGTATCTGTTATGAAGAACAATCTTGGACTTTGTTCAGTTATCCAAACAACGGTTTCACACGTTCATGTGAAAATTTTATTTTTAGAATGTGTCTTACTATTCTGAGTGGAGGTGAGGCTAGATAGCTTAAGCACTCATCTTCCAGCCAATGGGTACCAGGCTGAAATCCAGTTCCACTTACTTCAGCCTGGGTAATTGAGAAGAATATTAAGTGTTGGCATAATAGCCTGTTTTGGGTAACTAAGTTCGAACATGCTGATTATTCTAAGCTTCCTTTTGTCTCTCTCTGTCCTGTTGACGCTTTCTTGCAGTACAGCTGTCGAAAACTAACTCAAACTTGTGAAGCACACTTCAACTAATCTACTGTGACCTTTGAATTAAGGGTGCGCATAAGACTAAAACAATAAATACAGTTCAGAGAATAGTTAAACTGCTTCACTGTGACCCATAAATCAAATATAAGAACTTCAGAAGGCATCAATTACTGCAAAGTAATGAACATGCTTATGAAATATTTGTTGAAGGTAGAGTTATCTTATGAACAGACAAGCTCCTTTTCTTCGGGGATCATGTGGAATTTCAGACATGAGTACAGTAATTGTAATTGCCGCACTTCACAGCCCCACAGAAGGTAGCAAAACTCAAAGGTGTGATTAAGATAAAATTAAGCAAACACAAAATAGCAGGTTTAATGTAGTACCGAATTCACTTACTCCTTGATGAAAATATGCAGCTACTCATAATGCATAAAGTCACTAATCGTCGACTTTCAGTAAACTTACACACTATTCCTGACTCATTTCAGACCAGCATATGAAAACTATTTTTAGAAATACAGATAATTTGCTATATGTGAAAATTTGGGCACTGTGGTAGTTAGTAATTCCATAATAGTTTGCTTATTAGATATATCACACAGTGATGAAACAGTATTACTGTTTACTGGATGACAAGGTTTCGAACACAATTCACTATTGTTCATAATCATTCCATCAATTATAATCACACGACTTCGAAACTTGACTTTTATAGTTTTCTTTGTTCTCTCCTATTTGTCATCGTAGGGGTAGTCGAATTTTCCAGATGTCCAACTGGACAGGTGTTGAATCATTCCTATTACACGTATTTGCAGTTGATTCGATAAACAAAGCTTCCATTGGAATCAATCTCTCCCATCACCATGCTGGTACATTAGATTTTAAAACTGTCATCTTATCCCATGCATCTCATTGTATTTTCAAAGAAGTAGAACAGGGCTCAGTCAGTCAGACTAGCCGAGCAAAATCTAGATTAGTTGACCCGAATAAGACAAGAAATCTGGAGAATAGTTCAGCTATAGCACTCACTACATGCAATTACACACACACAGTCACACCAATGGGATGGATGGGATAAGATGACAGTTTTAAAATCTAATGGACGAGCATGGTGGATGGAGAGATTGATTCCAATGGAAGCTTTGTTTATGGAATGGACTGAGAGACAATGTGTGTAATAGGAATGATTCAACACCTGTCCAGTTGGACATCTGCAAAATTCTACTACCTCAACGACGACAAATAGGAGAGAACAAAGAAAACTATAAGACGAAAGTTACAAAGTTGTATGATTATAATTGATGGAATGATTATGAACAATAGTGAATTGTGTTCGAAACTGTGTCATCCAGTAAATAATACTGTTTCATCACTGTGTGATACTTCTAATAAACACAGTGATATGGAATTACAGATATATTGCAGCTGAATGATTTTTTTTATCATACTCTCATTGTAACAAGAAAAAATTTTACTTATATTTCAAGAAGAAACATTAGCATTACCTGCTTCACTAATTTTTGTAAATTTGTTATAACTTTTCAATTATGATACAAGTGTTTTTGCGGAACTATTAAGAAAACATACTGTTTTTAATTTCAAGCACTGTGTTCCAATATGCATTATTGATCGTAGAAGAAATTTGTCCATACCTACCACTTAGACTACACTGCCGTTTTTAACTCTATTCCTAGGGCATTTTTATTAAGCCAGCTGATTTCAGTAAACACTGACTTCTGGGTCACAAAGTGGCTGTCTTCTTATCTTCCGGGCAGGAGACAACGTACTTTTTTGAATGAAAAGCTCTCCATCTCTTTGCTAACGGAAACTGGTGTGCCTCAGGGAGTTGTACTCTCTCCATTCCACTTTTCTATCTTTTTGCATGGTCCTTTATATTCTTCAAAATCTAACTCCATTAAATACGCCCATTAGTTTCTGCATTGGACTGTTCTTATATGAATAGATACTTATGTGAATTTAACAAATGAAGTCCCACCTGAATGGTCCTACACTGATTCCATCTAAATGTCATATTTTTGATTTTAGTTTCACATGCAAAAAAGACTTACGTGGACTGATCCAGGCTCATGATTCCTGTAATATTGACGGCATTGTGATAAGGAGTACATCGAATATCTCTTATTTCGGCATGAATTTCTCTTCGAATCTCTGTTGATCGTCTCATATCCTGTTGATTTCTAAGAAAATGTCTCGTTTAACTAATTACACAAAGAAGTTGAGACTTTCTGCTGGCATAACTCAACCTCTTCTCCTACAATTTTTTCAATTCAGGTATTTCGCCCATTCTCCTTTATTGTTCGCCCTTATTATTCCCTTGAATTCCCAAGAAACACTGTATTATATTACGTAGAACACTGAAGACTGTAATTAGAGTTAGTTGTGTGATAGTGACTCAGCTAACTGACATTATTGTCAATAGGCATTGCACTTCGTGCAAACGATTAGCTTAAGTTATCTTGTCTGATACCAAACATCCTCTTTACTTTATTTTCAACTGTCTCCTTGTATCTCTTCGGGTAAAACTAGAAGAAACTTCACTATAGTTTAAGCTCGTACAGCTACTAAATATAAAAATTCTACTATACCACCATATTTAGCACGGATTTTGTGGGAAAGGTCATATGTCAGGAGAGAACTTATAAGACTTTTTAAGTCAGTAATCTGAACTGTAAAGTATTAGAAAAGATTATTATTATTTTTAAGTATTATCTATGATATTATCCACTTATACTTTATTATGTTTCCACCAACATTCTGTTTATAGTGGTTTCATTATTAATATTATTACTATTACTATTTTAAATTCTACGTATGTACACACTTATAGAAGGAGTTAAATTGTTGCAGTATGTATAAAAAACGCTGAAAATTCCATTCTGTATAATTATTATTGTTGTTTGGAATAAAGTGATAGTTATGATTATTATTTACAATTTTAAGGAAGGTTACACACTCTACTGAGTTGCAATTTCACATCTCTTCAAAACTGTCAAGCGTATACCCTTTACCGAGGCTGCTATTTTTTCGTGTGAATTGGTGTTTATCTAAGATTTACTCACTCTTGAATGTTGTGCACAATTCAATTTAAAGCATGTCAAAGAAGTGATTCAATGCGATTTAGTTATGTATAACCTTTGAGTATTATCAGTCTAGAAATTATTATATCAAGGTTGTTTATACTTCAGTAAACTTCACCGTGTAAAATGTTATTTTGAGCTACCATGGTAACGACAGACGACAAGAGTCAGGCAACAGACCGTTTATTGAGAAAATCAGCAGATATTTTTTAGATTTTTATGTACATTATTATTCGTTATTGTTAGCAGAGAAACAGCGTCTTCTGATTGGTTGTTCTCTCGCTGAAAGTTAATCTGTCACCTCTTTGTGGCCGTCTCTTTGAAGGTCAGACCATATATCTGCGAATCGTATCCACTCACGCAAAGTCTGCTGTGATTGGCTGTTGAGTTAGTCCTTGTTCCTGTTTTTTCCTCATGACCAAGATTTGGGACGTAAACATTGACGTAAATTGCTTGCTGTCTACCAATTTGACTATCAGACAGTTCTCACCGCACTACTACAAACTAAACAGTGCAGAAAAGTAATATTTTATACATTATGGTAATAAGTGCTCTCAAAAATGCAGTTTGTAATATAATGAATTTGAATTGGATATGTTTTTTTCTCAGTGCAGACTGCAATATAAAGGATAGAAGCTGTCTGCCTGAAAGAGACCTTTCTGCTCTAGACTAGTATAGGTTTCATTGCTATGTAGTCTGTTAGTTCTAGATACATGGTAGAACTCATTGTTTACCGACGGTCAGTATAAGTATAAAACTTGGGCACTGTGGTAGAGTATAACTGCATTATTGATAAGATTTAATTTTGATACAGTCTGATACAATTGAAATAGAATTTTGAGATTATTTATTATCCTCCTCTGAGTTCTATTTCAATTCACGTACATCACAACATTCTAACAAGTTACTTATTTTGACTATAAAAACACTCGTCTTATTTCCCATCTGATTGTATTTGATCAATAACACTCATATTATTATTTCTGAATGTACATTATCCTATATTGATTTTTATTCAGATGTCTATTCATCAGTTTCACTCATGTATATAAATGAAGCAAGAAAGTTGTGTGAGTGAGTGACTTGATATGATTATGAGTGGCAACAGTTTGTGCTCGAAATGTGGTCGTATCAGTCAATATTACTGTATAACACAACTGTGTGATTTATCAAAATAAAATCTTATCTATAACTGTTTGAAATTACTTAACTTTCTGGAAACACTCATCTGTTTTTTGCATAACTTCTGTTTTATCTATATTGTTATATTGTTACTCTTAGAAAACAAATCAGGTTCAGGTAAGTTAAATTTTATTAAAATAATAAAAAAAGGAAGCTAAAAGTCAACAGCCCTCATTAAGTTGCACGCTGTCATATCATTTCTTCGGCTAATATTATATATATATATATATATCAGTTAACCTTCACTATCTTTTTCCATAGCCAGTCGAGAAAGCTGATCCTCTGCATCATTTATCATTATGTCATTTAAGATTGCATGTCAGTAGTTTACATTACCAAATTCGTCAATTTTCACTTCCGATGTCAACTTTCATGCCATTAAGAAAACTATAATCTCTCCCAATTATTTATGTGATGTGATTCATTCACGATGATGTTTCGTTATTTGTGAAATCAGATATTACACGTGCAGAAGTGCCTGTAAATAATGTGAAGTTATTCATATATGTGTAAAACTTGGGCACTGTGGTAGTAAGTAATTCCATAATAGTTTGTTTATTAGATATATCACACAGTGATAAACAGTATTACTGTTTACTGGATGACAAGGTTTCGAACACAATTCACTATTGTTCATAATCATTCCATCAATTATAATCACACGACTTCGAAACTTGACTTTTATAGTTTTCTTTGTTCTCTCCTATTTGTCGTCGTTGGGGTAGTAGAATTTTGCAGATATCTAGGTGGACAAATGTTGAATCATTCCTATTACACGCATTCTCTCTCAGTTGATTCGATAAACAAAGCTTCCGTTGACATCAATCTCTCCATCCTACCTACTCTTGCATTAGATTTTAAAACTGTCATCTTATCCCATCCATCCCATTGGTGTGACTGTGTGTGTGTGTAATTGCATGTAGTGAGTGCTATAGCTGAACTATTCTCCAGATTTCTTATCTCATTCGGGTCAACTAATCTAGATTTTGAAAGGCATTTGTGCTCGGCTAGTCTGACTGACTGAGCCCTGTTCTACTACTCTGACCTATGTATTTGACCTGACAATCATTCCAGCAGGGTATTAGATAAACTAAATTGTTTTGTTTAGTTGGCTCATTGATCCTTTAACCGACCAAGCTTGTTTCTAATTGAGTTTGTGGGGGGTGTGAATGCCAGCCACTTTTATTCCTGCCTTGTTAAAAATTCTGCGTAAGTTGGTTTCCGAGGTTCCTTCCTTGTATGGAATTACTACTGATGATTTAGAACTTCCAATGTTATTGATGACTCATATGATTATGAATAATAAATTTTGTTCGAAAATGTGTCATCCAGTAAATAATACTGTTTCACCCACTGTGTGATACATCTGATAAACAGACTAATGCGTAGTTATTCATTTGTGATTTATGTAGTATTGTGGTCCATGGTGTCATTTATCTGGATTTAATATGGCATAGGTCAACAAGACCTATTCCTTTGAAATCAACTAAACTGCTATGGTAGTAATTGTAGCCATCCTTCAAAACCTTTTCTTTCTTTTTGATTTGTACTCAATCATATGGGTAAGAAAGTTTGATACCATTGGATACTCATCCTGAACTAGATAAAGGTAAACTGAGGTAATTTTAGGTGAGAGCAGAGTTGTGAAATCAACTTGCAAGTTTTCTGTGATAAAATTGTAATGCCAACACATATCAGTGTAAAATACTGAGTTGAAGTACATCATTTCTGAATGTTACACTTTGCAACTGCACAGAAGTAAGAGTACAAGTAAAAGATATCTGTAAGTATTCTAGATAACAGGCGCTAAAAATGGACCCCAAGACATTAGCGAACTTGATGACACTACTACCGGAGAATGTGCGGAAAGATGGCAAAGTACCTGCGGAATGGCAAGAAAGGCTACTTATTTAAACTGCTAAAGAATCAATACTTAAGTCAATACAAGAACTAGCGCGTAATTATGCTGCTGTCCATCCCAAGCAAAATACTAAGCCACATCATCCTCGAGAGAATCAAACACCCCCTGGATGGAAAGCTTCAACCGGAACAGGCTGGATTCAATAGGAACAAGTCATGCATCGATCAAATCGCAAAACTACGGATCATCCATTATTGAACAGAACTTGGAATGGCTCTCTATCTCAACTTCATCGACTTTGAAAAGGCCTTCGGTAGCACAGCATCGATTGAGAGGTGATTTTGAAACTACTTCGCTACTACCAAGGGGCGACACCAACAATTATACATCTCACCCAACAGTTGTGCGACAGTGCTGCATGCAAAGTAATCCACAATGTGGAACTGACGGAATCCTTCGAAGTGAAGACGGAAGTAAGACAAGCTGGCTGTTTGCCTACTGTCTCCAATGCTTTCCTGATTGCAGTAGACTGGATAATGCGACAGAAGGTGGGCCTGGCAACGAGGAGACAGGCATAAAAGAGACCAACACAAAAAATTTGGAGGATCTGGATTTCACTGATGATGTGTCTGATTTCCCACAAACTGGTATATATGCAGTGAAAAGCAACAAGTTGGCAGAAGGAGAATCCAGCGAAGATAGGCCTTCAGGTGAGCAGGGAAAACAGAAGTGATGAAGATTCGTGGCCAACAGCGACAACAAAAGACAACAATCAGCATGTATGGGAGAGATCTGAAAGAAGCAACCACCTTTATCTACCTACATGGGAAACATCAGTCCAACTACAGGCGGGTGGAATTGACGAGGATATCAAAGTGAGGATCAGTAAGGCAGGGCAAGCTTTCATTTCTCTCTAATCTCTGTGGAGGTCAACAGCACTCAGCATGAAAAACGAGATCCGGATTTTTAAATCCAATGTGAAGTCAGTGCTACTTTGTGGATCAGAGACTTTGCAGGTCATGAAGAGCACTTCGAACAAAATACAGGCCTTCATCAATAACTGTCTTCGCTCAGTACTTCGCTCAAGATCAGATGGCCAGCCAGAAAAGATCAGCTACAGGGATCTCTGGGAGTGAGCCGACCAGGAACCAATTGTGCAACAAATAAGCAAGAAGAAATGGAGGTGGATTGGTCATACTCTGAGAAAACCATCAAGTGACACCACACGCCAGGTCTTCACTCGATTTGAAGCTGAATGGGAAGCAGCAAGCTGGTCGTTAGTGCGAGTGTAGGGTGACATGGATGAGGTGATGTGACGAGGAGATGAAAGCGTGTGAGCAGACGTGGAGCCAGGTGAAAACGTTGACAAAAAACCAAACGCAATGGAGACGTTTGGCTGAAGCCCTATGTTTCTCTGGGAACCAAAGGAAACAATAATGATAATAATAATGCAAGATAAGTAAAAATATAAAGGTAAAGATGAATAAATATGTTTCAACTTTTTACGATGAAAATGAATAAAATCATACAAGCTGTTGTACCAGATTTTGAACAGAGTGTTAATTGAAGACATAAAGTAGACTTCATACTTCGTTGAAAATGTGATAGTGGAAAGAAGACTTCCTCATATTTTACCAGCTTATATGTCTTAATAATCCTTACTGTATAAATGCCTCTCGACAAAACTCAATTCACTTGTAAAAATAAGGGAAATTCAGTTCACTTTAAAGTTCACTGAATGAAAAAAATATTTAACTGTTTAAACTGAAACGAGTTGATCGAGCGCTAATTTTAAAGAAATCAACATGATTTCAAAACAAGACAGAGCGAAATTCCCGCATAGTTCACTTGTGTTTTAAAATATCACTGTCAGCTGTCATGCTACACAAAGACCTAAATCTAATTGCTAAACTTATTTGAACGAAAGTTTCATAAAGTATGCAACGTCCCTAACTAGCATCGACTGGATTATCATTAAAAGGTGATGAGTACTGGACAAATTGTCTGTCCAAGTGCGGAAATCTTCGGTAGTAGACATTCAGCATCGTCAGGTTACTGGGGCCAACAGTTTTCCATCCACTTATTGAATCAAACTTGAGTTATTCCTAGTTTCTAACTTCTGTCAGTTGGCGATGTAGTTCTTCTACTGCCATCTAACATTCTCACGGTGAACTTTGTGGATCTCACCAGATACAACTAACTTCTTATCACTTCTATGCGACTAATAAATTAAAGTTAATTGCTAATGAACAATGAATTAAAATGCTCTTCTCAGGCATTTTTACTAGAAATAGGAAATCACAAACTTTTGTAATTCATTTACCAGTCCTGGCTGGCTGGCTGGATTCAACATAGAACTTGGCACCGAACTGCACCAGTTCGAGTTGCCACGTTCCAAATAGCACACAAAGGTAGACAAGAAAATGAGAGAAGAGAATCAATAGAGTTTTGACAAGTATAAGAGTGAAACAGAATGAGTAATGGTAGAAAGGAATATGAAGGTTAAAGAGACTGAATACATCTCCGCCATTGGCAACGACTTTGAGCCATGTCACCTATTGTCTCCAGCCATTGATTCTTAGAGTCCCGAGGGCCCCAACCCGGAAGTCTGCATCTCCCTACCTGACTCAGTTTAACTGTCAGGGATTTCATGGATTGATGCCATGTTTTTGTTTGGCCACCACTTACTCTTTTCCAACCTGCACCTATATCAGCTAGTAATGCCCGTCGGGGGAGGCGATGGTTAGGCATGCGCAGCACGTCACCTAGCCATCTCAATCTATGTAACTTTATAGCCTCGTCAATTGATTTTCCCTTTTTGCCCAACACTCTACGCCTAACGTCAACATTACTTACCTTATTATACCACCTAACGCGAGAAAGAGATCGTAAACATCTGTGGTCAAAAACAGACAACCTTTTCATGTCTTCAACTCTTATTGGCCATGTTTCAGAGCCATAGAGAAGGACGGAGCGAACTGCTGAGCAGTATACACGTCCCTTGGTTGATAGCCGGATGTCACGCCTACGCCAGAGACGGTGTAAGTTAGCGAAAGTAGCCCGAACTTTTTGGATCCGTGCTGAAATTTCGTCACCAATCAATCCGTTGGTGCTGATACAACTTCCCAAATAGGTGAATTGGTCAACATGTTCTATCACTTCACTCCCTATCACTAAGCTTGGAGTTGACGTAGTCCAGTCCTGTAGCAGCATCTTACATTTCACACGGGCGAATCGCATGCCAAACATACGAAGATTGCTGATCAAGGTGTTCAGAAGACTGCATTTTGTCAGCATCCTCCCCTAACAGGACTATGTCATCTGCATATTCTAAGTCCATAAGAATATTCCCTGGTAACAAGTCAATTCCTAAGTCGTTAAGTTCAGTTAAGGATACTTCCATTAGCATATCTATGATGAAGTTAAACAGAAAAGGGGAAAGTGGACATCCCTGACGGACACCACTGGTTGTTATCAATTCAGATGACAATTCCCCATAAGCCCTTACACGGCTAGGTGAGTTTGAGTAGAGTGCCTTGATTAGTGCAATGTACTTTCTTGTCACTCCCTTCACAGTCAAACATTGCCATACTCTCGATCCCATTTACCAGTCCAGTGGTAAAGTGGTTGTCCCCTCATCTAAAATGATCTTCGTCTCCTTGCCTTAGGGAGTTATAAGTGATCGTTATTGTAAATTCCAGTACTAACCTATTGAGTACTCCTTAACATTTATTACATTTTTCTAGCTAACGTTGGTTTATTCTGCTAGAGTACTTCTGAAGCGTTATATAAAGCAGGCGGTATTTCCCAGACACTGACTGTGCACTCAATCCAGGTGACAGTAATTTGAAACCAAAAATCTATTGATTGACAATAGAATGCTGACAGAATTCATCAGTAATTCCATTTTAGTTTGTTAATTAGATGTATCACACAGTGAGACAATATTATTTACTTGATGGTAATAATAATAATATTAATTTTCTATAGTTTGGTTTGTAAGGTTTTGTTATGTTCTTACGAGTTGATCACGGATTGATATCAGTTAGAGAACCATTGAAAACCAGCATTGGAGTACCGGACAGCTGCTCTTTCATCCTAGTTTTGGGAATCATCGGCAGTACGCACCCACTGGGATTTGAACCCAGGACCTTCCGGTTGCAAGGCTAGCTCGCATACCATTCAGCCACTGGGACCCGATTCAATGACTAGCCCATGAATTATAACTTCTACCAATTCGTGATTTAGCGCGACTCCAACCATTGTCGTTGGTGGGACATCCATACACACACGTGACACCTAATTGGACCTCACTGGTCACGACTTCTCACTAGAAATCCAGGAAACTCCATCCTGTAGCAAGTCGCTAGCGAGCTTCCCAAAACTAGGATGAAACAGCAGCTGTCCAGTACACCCTGGTTTTCAATGGTTCTCTAACTGATATCAATCCGTGATCAACTCGTGAAAAAGAAATAATATTAATGACGACATGCATGTGAAACATGAGCAAGACAACACCAATAATAAGGAATCTAAATCATCAGCAGTAATTCCATACAAGGAAGGAACCTCGGAAACCTTAAGGAGAATTCTTGACAAGGCAGGAATAGAAGTGACTGGTATTCAAACCCACAAACTCAATTAGAAACAAGCTTGGTCGGTTAAAGGATCAATCCTGTGGAGCCAACTAAACAAAACAATTTAGTTTATCTAATACCCTGCTGCAATGATTGTCAGGTCAAATACATAGGTCAGAGTAGTAGAACAGGGCTCAGTCAGTCAGACTAGCCGAGCACAAATGCCTTTCAAAATCTAGATTAGTTGACCCGAATGAGATAAGAAATCTGGAGAATAGTTCAGCTATAGCACTCACTACATGCAATTACACACACACACACAGTCACACCAATGGGATGGATGGGATAAGATGACAGTTTTAAAATCTAATGCAAGAGTAGGGTGGATGGAGAGATTGATGTCAACGGAAGCTTTGTTTATCGAATCAACTGAGAGAGAATGCGTGTAATAGGAATGATTCGACACCTGTCCAGTTAGATATCTGAAATATTCTACTACCCCTACGACGACAAATAGGAGAGAACAAAGAAAACTATAAAAGTCAAGTTTCGAAGTCGTGTGATTATAATTGATGGAATGATTATGAACAATAGTGAATTGTGTTCGAAACCTTGTCATCCAGTAAACAGTGTGTGTGTGGTATATCTAATAAGCAAACTACTATGGAATTACTAACTACCACAGTGCCCAAGTTCTACACATATATTAGAATTCATCAGTACTTGTGTTGGATGCAGGAAAACGTTTTGAAAAATTAATGCTAATTAAAGGCATTGGTCTTTATTTTAATTACTCATCTGTATCTTGCTTAGCACATCTAATTTGACGGAAACTAGTTGAAACAGTCCCTTCATCTTTATCGATATAATTTGCTTATTTCTTTCTATTTCTATGCACAATGTAGATTCATTGCACTAGAAATATGTATCGCATTCCACATATGTATATACATTCAAAGTATAATTACTTTTTATATAATATCTAGTAATGTAGAAATATTTATTTTTCCCCTATTTCACCCTTTGTATGTGCCTATTAAATTACTCTGTTTTATGATATGTAAATAAGCTTTTGTATGTTCAGTCGCCTGCTAGCAAAATGCATCTAATCATCACTTCAATGCTGCTGATACACGCACTGATACGTAGTTGTTTGGCTCTAGAGATCTGAAAGAAGTGTAGAATACAGAATTCCATCTTTTGGGAGGTTTTATTTATATTTTTTTCAAACGAAATAAGCAGTTTATGTATTTTTTTAAATTCTTTTGCATTCCCAGTGGAACATAGGGTGGTTTCAAGCTAGAGGCTTGAAGTTTTGGTAGCAGTGGTGTTTATTATGTTTACGGGATGGCGTAGCTAGCTTCATGTCCAGCCTTCCGTCTTCAGTAGTCTTATTACTGGTTTAGCAAGGTAAAGGAGTGCGTCGGTGGTCGGTGATCGAACCCTGCACCACATGAGTGGTTGGCGAGCATTCTACTGTTATGCCATCGACGCAGCTTATTTATATATATCCTAATATTGTAACGACAGAAGACAGATCATTTATTGAGGAAATCAACAGATATTTATCATTAGCAGAGAAACAGCGTCTTCTGATTGGTTGTTTTCTCGCTGAAAGTTAATCTGTCATCTCTTTGTGGTCGTTTCTTTGAAGGTCAGACCATATATCTGAGAATCGTATCCGCCCACGCAAAGTCTGCTGTGATTGGTTGTTGAGTTAGTCTTTCTCGTGTTTTTTCCTCATGACCAAGATTTGGGACGTAAACATTGACGTAAATTGCTTGCTGTCTACCAATTTTGTCTTGCAGACAGCTCTCACCACAGCACTAAGAGATAAATAAAATACTTAGTATGAGGACACGCATTCCTGCCTAACAAAATTAATTAACCCTATCAAATACTCTTAAACCTTTAAAAGCTTCAAAATTTAAGCTTCATACAGTGGTCAAACTTTGTTAGTGCCTTCTTATGTATCATACATTGACAACTTCATCAGTTGCATTCAAAAAATGTCATTTTTAATTTTTTGTTATAACTTTTTCTGTTTTTCACTTCAGAGAATCAAATGCTTCTCTAGAGTCAAAAACTAATGCTACTGCTATCGTGCATAAACGAAGTATTCAACCGATTAGAAGGAAATCAGTTTTGAAATCGTCGACAAAAGTTGATTCAACCAATGATATTGACCAGTCTGAAGATTTAGAAGAGTTCAATTCAAAATTATTACCAGTCCCGATTCAAGCACAATTTAATTTATACACTCAACTGCTGCAACAACAACAACAACAAATGCAATTACTAAATTCATATAGTGGTTTTTTAAATCATGGAACATTTGTCGGTCCTTATTTAGGTGGAATGGGACCAACAGTATATGAACCACTAGAGCCATCAACACCTTTGACTGCCGCATTTTTAAATCAGAAATGCAACGGTCCATTACTACTTTTAAATAACATGTTCCAGGGTACTGGACTGAGTCGTGCAGCATACGCTAAACTTTATTCTGCAGGTTAGATATAGTTATTTTTTTATACAGGAAATGAAATATTTCTTCATTATTACAAAGATGAAATGGTAGTTTAAATGAAGCTTTATTTTAAGTTAGATCACGGATAAAAATTAGTTGAAAATAGATGGACAGAAGACCAGTAATTCAGCGAAGAGTCTCTTTTCGGCAGGGAATTCATTTTCATAGCTGTACAATCGCAAATATATATGGTTCTTTAGTATGTGTGTACATTAAATTTGATGACAAAAGACAGAATTACTTAACATTTGTTTGGATGCTTATTTTTCTAACTACTTAAATCTCTTGCGTAGTTCCGTATGTTATTTTGTTTCCATGATCACCCTGAGCACAACTCTTACATCAAACTATTCATGTTATTACGTAACTCTTCTTTAACAATCGTTTGTGACAACTCATCACTTTTGTTACTATCCTCTTATATCAACATTCAGTTCATCTGAACTTACTAATTGTATTTTCGCTTGGCAGATTTAATGTACACACACACATACAAAACAACCATATATATTTGTGATTGTACAGCTATGAAAATGAATTCGCTGCCGAAAAGAGACTCTTCGCTGAACTACTGGTCTTCTCTCTATTAATGTTTGAATGGGGATTTTTCATGAATGAAAATAGATAGAGACCAGAGAGAGAGAGAGCTGGAAATCGTTTTCTTCCTACTTTTAGACTACTCACAAGTAGTTATCTATGGCGCCACCAAATTACAAGGCGAGTTTGTTGATCATTGGGACGCCAATGGGACGCAATACAGTGGTTTGTGAATCCTAACTTCTTCGAATTCATAATATATAATTCCGATGACAGTCAGTGTTATCAGCGTGTACCTGTTATCAAACCTGATTCAGTGGATCCTTCTGGTCACGACTTCTTACTCAAACTCTAGGAACTCCGTTTCATGGTTATTCATTAATGAGCAGGAGTAGATGCTCTGTAGGTGTAGATTTCAATTGAGAAGTTTCGTTTGGTTTAAATAAAAAATGATAACCAGTCAAAATCGGTTCATGTTTCTTTTTATCTGTATGGTTGAAAATTTAGTCATCAAAGATTAGAAAATCAGATGGCTGGAAAGCAGAAGCAACAAAAGAAGGAAATTAACTCCATTATGGATAAGATTTTATTTTGATAAATCACACAGTGTTGTGTTATACAGTAATATTAACTGATGCGACCACGTTTCGAGCACAAACTATTGCCACTCATAATCATATCAAGTCACTCACTCACACAACTTTCTTGCTTCATTTATATACATGAGTGGAATTGATGATTAGACATTTGAATAAAAGTCGATATGGGATAATGTAAATTCAGAAATAATAATATGAGTGTTATTGATCAAATGCAATCAGATGGGAAATAAGACGAATGTTTTTATAGTCAAAATAAGTAACTTGTTAGAATGTTGTGATGTACGTGAATTGAATTGAAATAGAATTTTGAGATTATTTATTATCCTCCTCTGATTTGACTGACTGACTGGTGGTAATAATATCTTCCATGCGTATCACTGGTATTTGCATTGAGTCATTTCTGTTGCATGTGTTGTGTTGTGTGTAGACTCGATGAACTAGGCAGGATTCAGTAATCAATCTCTCTCTCCACTTACATAGATTACTTCTTGTGTGTTAATGCGTGCAGTGCAATTGCTGAGCTTTTTTCTAAATTACTTATCTTCTCGGGATCAACCAAGGCCGCGTAGTGAAAGCTGGATGGCAACTGATGAGTTGAACGTTTGAGGTTGACATGAAGAAAATCATGTGAAAAGAAAATGAAAACTTATGGAGAATTTTAGAACTGGTTGGAAGTGACGTCAGAGAACGAATTGCAATGTAGAAGTAAAGCTGAAGCGGCATGTTCCAATCATACTGTAGCTTCTTGTCTATAATTATTCAGTTTTACAGCACCTCCATCTAATTTTTTGATTACTATTCACTTATCTTGTCAACTTTTTATTCATTCTGAGTGTAACTGTTTATTTAAAGCTTAAAGTTATAATTGTGGTTTCACAGCTGTAATAAATATGGTCGCCGACAAAAGTCACTTCATTGAATGGGGTGTTTCCTTTCTCTCGCATGACTAATTAAGGATTTTTGCAGGAATGTTTGACTGTTTCTTTATTCTTGTTTTACTGCAGTTGATTAACCAGTTTCTCTTCTGTTTATGGAAACGTGTGAAGATGACTGACTTTTACTTAAAAAGTTAGTTTACCAGTTAGAAAAGTGATGGGTTGAAATTTCGATTATCTGCTTACTGCATTACTGCAGGGCGTATGAATCACACTATATTTGTCATTATTGTCCCCTTGGGTGCCTAGTGGAACATCACATCCCCACTTTGTCCTATTTCTGAGGTCCTCTTTAGCTGGCCCCACGACTGCCCTCAGTCTATCATCACTTCCTGGCACGATCTCCTCCATGTCACCCTCGGACGCCCAACTCGCTGTTCCGCATTCGAATTCCACTGGAGGGTCTGGCGAGCGATGTCATTCAACGGTAGTAGTAACTTTCTTCCCAGATTTGATTAATTTTCACCGAAATATCAGCACATTATACGGGAAGAAAATTGTCAAATCCAAAGAATTTATAGTATGTTCTACACTGTAGGTACTACTATAAGGACAGAAGACATGGACCAGGCAACAGATCGTTTATTGAGAAAATCAACACATATTTATAGATTTTTATGTACATTATTATTCGTTATTGTTAGCAGAGAAGCAACGTCTTCTGATTGGTTGTTCTCTCACTGAAAGTTAATCTATCATCTCTTTGTGGCCGTTTCTTTGAAGGTCAGACCATATATCTGCAAGTCGTATCTGCCCACGTTAAGTCTGTTGCGATTGGTTGTTGAGTTAGTCTTCGCTCGTGTTTTTTCCTCATGACCAAGATTTGGGACGTAAACATTGACGTAAATTGCTTGCTGTCTACCAATTTTGACTATCAGACAGTTCTCACCGCACTACTACAAACTAAACAGTGCAGAAAAGTAATATTATATAGGTTACAGTAATAAGTGCTCTCAAAAATGCAGTTTGTAATACAATGAATTTGAATTGGATATGTTTTTTTCTCAGCGCAGACTATAATATAAAAGATAGAAGCTGTCTACCTGAAAGAGACCTTTCTGCTCTAGACTAGTATAGGTTTCATCGCTATGTAGTCTGTTAGTTCTAGATACATGGTAGAACTCATTGTTTACCGACTGTCAGTTAGTTGCTTGGGCCAGTAAGCTATACCGTTTGGCTCACAGAGTGCTTATTAGTTTAAGGACATTAGTAATTTGATTGAATCTACTCTAAGCTTATAAGCCCTCATTATTTGTTACTATTTTAACTCCTACTGGTATTGCGATTCTGTAAGTATTTTGGGTTGCTTTATGTTATTTGTGTGGTGACAATTTCCACTGAAATGTTGACAGGCATCTCAGTTATTTCCTTCAATTAACTAGGCAGCATCCTATTAAATTTAAAACAGTTAGTCCCTTTTATAAATTTTGATAGCATTATTAGAAGACGGAGATTATCTGAAAAATGTGATGTATTAGCGCTATACATTTCGAACAATCTGATCACACATTTACTTGTCAAGTCAATATATATGGAAAAGTTAAATTAAACAAGGTGACAAAAAAAAGAATTAAGAATAATTAACACAAACGTTTGGTAATCCAATCAAATAAGGATTACCAAGGTAGGTTAAGAGTAATAACAAACTGTTTTTGAATACACAAGGGGGGCTTAAGTTTATGAATGGCTATAGCCTCAGCGTATTTCAGTAAACGGTGTAGAAGTCAACTAGCCTCTAAACCTACAATCCATACTGTCCCTAAGAAAAAGGTTTTCATCAAATTACCATATAATGGGGAAATAAATAGTAGGATTTTGAGACAAAAGTTGAATTCCATCATCCGTAGAACCTACTATGCAGCCCAGCTTGTAATTGTCGAAAAGGCTAAAAATATGCTTCACTGGAAACCTGAAAAGTGCAAAAGTGATTATATCACATCCCACACAATTTACCAATTTTCGTGTGTGTGTGGACATACATACATAGGGAGGAGTAATCGCGCGTTGCACGTGAGGGTGGGAGAGCATATCCCAAAGTGGCTAGAAAACAGATGAATTGTGACAAGCCCATAGATGCAGGTGCCAGACTACCAACTTCGTCTATAGCTAAACATTTAATCGAGATGAACCATAAGGTTGATGTTAACTCAGCCTTTAAGGTCATCTATAAAAACGGTCAGGGACGTTTACTGAAATACGCTGAGGCTATAGCCATTCATAAACTTAAGCCCCCCTTGTGTATTCAAAAACAGTTTGTTATTACTCTTAACCTACCTTGGTAATCCTTATTTGATTGGATTACCAAACGTTTGTGTTAATTATTCTTAATTCTTTTTTTTGTCACCTTGTTTAATTTAACTTTTCCATATATATTGACTTGACAAGTAAATGTGTGATCAGATTGTTCGAAATGTATAGCGCTAATACATCACATTTTTCAGATAATCTCCATCTTCTAATAATGCTATCAAAAGCATCCTATTACTCAACAAATATTTAGAATGAGGTGGAGAGGGATTGGACATGCACACTGAAGAGACTGTCAAATGACAACGCATGCCATGCCTTTGAATGGAAACCGAGCGGTAAACAACGAGATGGGTGTCCGATAATGGCATGTCATGGAGGAGATTGAGTGAAGAGGAGCAGGAAGCATGTGAGCGATCATGGGTTCAGCTGAATAGGACTCTAGGGAACAGGACAGAATAGATACGTTCTGCTGAAGCCCTGTGTTTCACTCGGAACCCAAAGGAACAATAATATTAATAATAATAATAATATAATTTTGATTTTGTCCATGTCCAGTACGATAATAAACTAAAGGCCGATGCATTATTGACTAAACATTTTACAAAACTGATTACCCTTTATTTACATAGAATCTCCAGCTCCTTTATATAGGAATACGGCTTATTTGTTTTTGTGTAACATTTAGATATTGTCAGTAGCATCATAATTACTGAGAAGATTGACATTGACTGTGCAATTAGAGGTTAGAAATGCAGAAACGACAAAAATAGACAGGGTGTTTGGATGACAAATATAGTGAAATCATAACTAATGTGACGAATAACTGTTTATGCGATTAGGAATTAAATATGTAGAAATAATAAAATGACAAAATAGACTGGAAGTTCAGATATGAAAATATGGTAGTGTAAATAGGGATTAAGAGAAACTTAAAATAACATGAACAAACAGGAAGTTTGGATAAGAAAGGCAATGAGATAGTCACCATTGAAAGAATTACCTCTTTACGATGACCATGGCACAGATAAGGATTGAGCGTATTTCTTTTGGATACATAGAGTGTGGTTTTGAAATATGTTCAACCCTTATCCCTGCCATGGTCATCGTAAAGAGGTAATTCTTTCAATGGTGACTATCTCATTGCCTTTCTTATCCAAACTTCCTGTTTGTTCATGTTATTTTAAGTTTCTCTTAATCCCTATTTACACTACCATATTTTCATATCTGAACTTCCAGTCTATTTTGTCATTTTATTATTTCTACATATTTAATTCCTAATCGCATAAACAGTTATTCGTCACATTAGTTATGATTTCACTATATTTGTCATCCAAACACCCTGTCTATTTTTGTCGTTTCTGCATTTCTAACCTCTAATTGCACAGTCAATGTCAATCTTCTCAGTAATTATGATGCTACTTTGTTTGAGTTTTATCCCTCCACTCTGTTTATTATGGCATTTTAATTCCTAATTATAATATTGTTAGTAGGTAATCCAAAATTTTACTTATTCACTTCCACGTATTGATATTAATAAGGAAATGAACAGATTTAGTTCTACTGTGTTTTTTTTCCTCAGGTTTTGAACCAATCCAGACAGAGAATGGTGATCCACCATTTACAATTGATCCTCAAAATGATTCAATAAATGATTTTGTCCTCAAGAAAGAAGAGCTGGATCCGCTTAATCAGAATGAGATCATTTTTCAATTCCTTGCCTATTCTGGGTAAATTTGACTAACTTAATGTTAGCGTATATGTTTTTGAAGTGTTGGTTTGTAGGGTTTTGATTGATTGGTTACAGGATTTCATCATGAGGTGACATTGATTAGAGAACCATTGGAAAACCAACTGGGAGTACCGGTCCCAGTGGCTTAATGGTCTACGAGCTAGCTCGCCTTGTAACCAGAAGGTCCTGGGTTCGAACCCCGCTAGGTGGGTGCGTACTGCCGAAGAGTGCCAAACTAGTCTGACGAAACAGTTGTCCAGTACTCCAAGTTGGTTTTCCAATGGTTCTCTAACTGATGTCAGCTCATGATGAAATCCATATATGTTTTCCTATGCCTTTTAATAGTTTCCCATCTTTTTTCACTTCAAATTTCACCTAACAGAAGTGTACACAAATAAATTTACTTTACTAATAAGTGTAATAATGTGAGTAATAAAAGACGTGTAACAGGGAGCGAGGATAACATTTGTTCACGATTTTCTCATTACTGTAGCGGTGGTGATTATTTTTACAGGATAGGGTTGCTAGCCTCATGCCATACCTTTCCTCTTTACCAGCTTTTATTATTACTGGATTAGCGAGGTAAAGGAGTGCGTCGGCGGCCGGGGATCGAACCCCGGACAACATGCATGGTTGGTGAACGTCCTAACCGCTGTGCCACCTATGCACTTTCCTGAACAAAGTTTAATATAGCTCCCTGCATTAGCAAAATAAATTAAATTGCTTGTCATGTGATTAGAAACGCACTATATCGTTTAGTGTATAAAGAACAATCCCTTAAGAAAAACTACCAAACTATTTGTTCTTTAACTGCGAAGTTTATGAATAAGTGGATTATTTCAACATTGTATCCAACTACTCCTTCTCCTACTTTTGTAGATTCGAATCGAGTGAGGCAATGACAACTGATGTACCCGAACAAATCTACTTCACATTTCAATTTTATCGTTTCCCACAGGTTAAAACGCCAACGTGAGTCCTTCCTTTATCATTGTGGTTTTGTGTACGTATGTGTTAGTACTTGTTTTTTCAGATTTAGTTATTTTTTCATCAAAACATTAGTATAAATCTTCTAACTTTTTCACAAGAAAATAGTTTTAAAAATGCTTATTTTGCTTTTACGATATCTGATATCATAAATTAATAAGTGAAATTGATTATTTCATACATTTATTCCCCTTAATGAATTTGAATAAAGCGAGAACTATAGGTTTTGCAGAATAAAGTGGTACCATCATTTATTTGGTTACCTTCTCATCAGCTGCTTACAGGCCACAGTCATTATTAAGTATATCTACAGAAACAATTTTAACATATTTGCACAGAGTTCATTTTAAACAAAAATCAATCAATATATGCATACAATAATAATATATATAGTAATAATAAACACTTTACCGCTAACAATAATGATTATACACAATGGAAACTTTTCGCCATTATGTATTCAGATGAAAAAGAGATGAAAATATCCAGTTACCAGGTTGGCAAAGAAAGACTGATAACTGTTTCTTTCTGAACGCATAAATCAGGTTTCAGGCGCTTGATGGAAATGGCTTCAACAAACTTGAGGAGAATTGAACTCTTTTGCCTATTGATAGTTTTGAACGATTTTGCGACGTCCACCTCATGACATGTGTCAAGGAGATGCCTGGCGATGGCACTGTTTAAAGCATTTGTTCCCTTTAGACATAAGCTTTTTGGTACATGTTTAGAAAATCGTAGGTATTCCCTTCTTTGTGTTCTTCCAATGTAACTGCTCCCGCAGATACATGGAAATTGGTTGGAGTTAAAATGAGAAGGATATCTATCGATTTTTGATTGCACCAAAGAGCAAGTTGTTCGATAAACGGGGACGAGCTTAGCTGCAGGATAGGCTGTGGCTAGTGATGTACTCAGCCTTCTGTTGATCATTGCTGCAAGTTTTCACCTTTATAATCAAGTTCAACGTAGATGGGCTTTTTCTCCACTGTGATTTGTTTGACATTTGAGACTTCAGATCTTCCATACTTGTTAATGAATCTTTGAGGGTAACCATTGCTCTTCAACATCTTTTCAAGAAACGTAAATTCTTCCTCTATTTTCTCTATAGAGCATATTCTCTTTGCTCTATAGTACAGAGTCTTGACTAGTCCTCGTTTCAAGCTATTTGGACAAAAACTATTAAAATGTAAGTATTGTCCTTTCCAAGTAGGCTTTCGATAAATTGACTTGTGAAGACTACCGTCTTGATTTTTGTTCACTATGTTAGCTTTCAAATTTAATTTCACTCGCTTAGGTTCAACCAGTTAGTTATTATTCAAACAAACACGTAGGAATCTTGGTTAGCTATGTATGTGCCTCAGTGTATTTATTTGTTGATTAGGTCGTGCATGTCAAATTTGAAGTTAAAGTGATGCGATCATTAGCAATTAAAAACAGGAAAGGCGAATTGTACTTAAAGATGAAACAAATAACGTGTGAAAAAAAAATGAAATTTACATTATTCACTTGTGATATTTAAAACAAGAAGTCCATAAATCACTTGCTAAGATCTATTACAATCAGACGAATTACCATAATCAACAGTTGACCGGCAAATATCAACCTCTTGGTTGCTGCTACAATTTGCTTTGAAAAATACTGTTAGATAGTTCAAGCTGGCATGATAAAAGTACTCTAGTGTAACGACAGAAGACATGGGCCAGGCAATAGATCGTTTATTGGGAAAATCAATAAATATTTAAAGGTTTTTATGTACATTAATATTAGCGTTATTGTTAGCAGAGAAGCAATGTCTTCTGATTGGTTGCTTTTTAAGTGGAAGTTATTCTGCATCTTTTGGTGGCCGTTTCTTTGAAGGTCTGCAAGTCGTATCTGCCCACGTTAAGTCTGTTACGATTGGTTGTTCAGTTAGTCTTTGTTCGTGTTTTTTTTCTCATGACCAAGATATGGGACGTAAACATTGACGTAAGGTTTTACGAGTTGATCGTGGATTGATATCAATAAGAGAACTATTGAAAACCAGCACTGGAGTACTGGACAGCTGTTTCATCCTAGTTTAGGAGTCATCGGCAGTGGGCACTCACCACGGCGGGTTCGAACCCAGGACCTTCCGGGTACAAGTCAAGCTCGTATACCATTCATCCACTGGGACGCGATTCAACGGACAGTGCATGAATTCTAACTTCTACCAGTTCGTGATTTGGCGCGACCCCAACCAATGTCGTCGGTGGGACATCCATCCTCACACGTGACATCTGGATGGACCTCACTGGTCACGACTTCTCACTAGAACTCCAGGAAACTCGATCCTGTAACAAGTCACTAGCGAGTATCATTTAAATTTTCTATAGTTTGGTTTGTAAGTTTTAGTTTTGTTTTTACGAGTGCGAAGTCGTGACCAGTGAGGTCCATCCAGATGTCACGTGTGAGGATGGATGTCCCACCGACGACATTGGTTGGGGTCGCGCCAAATCACGAATTGGTAGAAGTTAGAATTCATGAGCTGGCCATTGAATTGGGTCCCAGTGGGTGAATGGTATACGAGCTTGACTTGTAACCGGAAGGTCCTGGGTTCGAACCCGCTATGGTGGGTGCCTACTGCCGATGACTCCTAAACTAGGATGAAACAGCTGTCCAGTACTCCAGTGCTGGTTTTCAATGGTTCTCTAACTGATATCAATCCATGATCAACTCGTAAAAACAAAACTAACCCTTACAAACCAAACTATAGAAAACTGACGTAAGTTGCTGTCTATCAATTTTGGCTATCAGACAGCTCTCACCACAATAGTATTCTAAGGCTGCAAGTCGTGTACGGAATTCATGGCCATGTTAGTATGAACCAAAATGTCATCTGCTGTAAGATAAGTAAATTATATCTCAGATGGGAGTTCGATAAGCTCAGCTACAAACCGAAGTGTTACCAACTAGGTTTTCAATGATTCTTCGCAAAACATCTTTGTTAAGCGTTTTAGTCGATTTTCCTTGTTGTTTAATTAATGCAATAATGTTATCTAGAAAATCCTGCAGTCTTTATATGTGTTACAGTGCTATTTAGCATTGTACAACCTAATTTGGAAAATTCTATCAGTGAAACTTCTCATTTACTGACAAAAATATCCTTCATTATCCAACTTATAACTACTTTGTTTCCCTATAATTTCCAGCTTATTCATTGAACAGTCCCCTGAAGATTCGCTTAATTCGGAGGGCATTTCATTCAGAATAATATGGAAGACAAAACTTCAAGCAGAAAAGTTATCACTTGGTGAAATTAAATCGCATTCTACTTTAAACAAAGCTGAAAGTAAAACACCAGGATATAAGGTAATTTGCCGTCTGTAACCTTTTCATAGCCACTCAGTCGTTCATTGTTTTGAGATTGGTGTGAACAATCATTAATCAGCAAAATATATGCAGATTACTATGTGAATTCAGACTGAGACGTTTGAAGTTATGTATTATAAGATTTAATTTTATTTATTGTAAGTTATAAGGGGAAAACCTTTAGAAGAAAACGACTGCAAGCCTGAAGTTGAAATATATGTCACTTAAAATGATTAACAAGTCACATATCTACCAGAAAAACAAAAACATAAACTGATAAAAACTGCCCATTAAAATTTTCAAAAGAATGGATACTGAACAAAGAATACTCTTTTCGATAACCTCTTCTTCATCAGGCTCTACAGTTATATATCCATCCATAATAGTGAATGAATGAATTAGTGTGATGAACAACATTAATGTTGTTTAAATAACATTGAATCAATAATATCAGTGGATTACAGTTCAATAGCATCAACATAACAATACACATTGAATGTCAGAAAAATTAGGAAAGATAATAATACAAATTCATGAATTTGTAGTCTGTACTGAAGGCCGGCCAGGGCAGTAGTAGTCAATGGACTTGCTTCTTTTGCACACAGAACACTGGTTGTTTGAGGTGAATCGCGATAGCCTCTGCTGTTTGGAGCATGCAGTACCTGGATGTTTTTGACAATTTATTTGATACCTGGTAAATGATGATAGAGAAGGATACTTGAATGCTGGCTTTGTGGCTGCAGGTGGTCTCATATCGAACTGTTGATGGTTTTCACTACACCTTTACTTAGCCATACTGGGAGGTGTTCTCGAGAGAGCACGAAAAATCAAGTTCCTAGAGCAACGGCTGATATAACTCGCTCCACATAACATAAACTTTAAATGTTTGCGTTCAAAATCCATTCTGAACGTAACAGCCAGTTTAACTTTCTGATTATCAACATAAAAGGAAGAAATGATTGAACAGATGAAATATCTGGTCAATGCTTAAATTATCATAGCGTTTACTTTCATTGTCTGCAAACGCAGTCTGGTCAAAAAGCTTTTCGGCAGAGTAAAAAGTAACGTTCAGAACATAAGACTGATGAAGAATTCAAGGCTACGGAAGAAAAAATCTTATGGCAAACAGATATCTCAGATAGTTTATAGTGAAATATAGAAGACAAGAAACTTTCAAACTGTAGCCTATAATTGTTGAAAAGAAACCTATTTATATCTCCATTGCATAAAAAGAAGAAAATGCCTACACAAGAATAGAGAAAAGGACCAAAAGTGAATTGATAAGAACATTTCCCTCTTCTAGACTAATTTCTCTTTAGAACGTGAAACGTTTATTAACTCAGTCCAAGGTAGATGTGTCCCTTCCAATGTCAACTCCGACTACATCTACTCACTCACGTCAGCTTGCAGTAACAAGTATACAGGAAAAACTTAAACGAAGGCTTCATGCATTTATTCCGCTTGATGAATTTGAATAAAGCAAGAACAACACTCTGGTTTGTGCAGAATAATATGGTACCATCATTGTCTATTTCGCTGGCTTCTCATCACCTGCTAACAGTCTAAATAAGTTAGGGGGTTTATGCGCAGAAAAGTTTTAATATACTTGCAAATGTGGTGAGATGATGTCAGTTGACAGAAGGTTCCACAATTAGTGAACAGTGCTCAGGAAATTACGCTTATATAGTTTCTAAACAGACAGTTCAAGTTTAAATAAAATAAATGCATGCATACAGTGGCAAAGGAGTTACGTAATAAAAACGAGAGATGCGTAAGATGCTGATTGACTAATAAATTAGGTAACAATGTACTGAGTTCAACTGAAATCAAAGGAACAAGAGACAAACAAATTATAAAAGGGGAGTGAGGTTAAAGCCAAAGATTACGTAATCAAATGAAAGAGAGAATAAAGACATCTAGTTACCAGAGTGGCAAAGAGAGAATAATGGCTGCATCTTTCTGAACACATAAATCTGGTTTCAAGCGTTTGATAGAAATTGCTTCGGCAAACTTAAGGAGAATCGAGCTCCTTTGTCTATTGATAACTTTAAAGGATTTCACGATTTCCACCTTATGACCCGTATCGAGGAGATGTCTGGTAATAGCGCTATCATAAGAGTTTGTTTCCTTGAGAAGTAGGCTCTTCGGCACATGTTCAGAAAATCGGAGGTGTGCAGCAGCTGATGAGAAGCCAACGAAATAAATGATGGTACCATATTATTCTGCACAAGTGGTATCCAGTACAGTTCCACAGTGGAATCCAAGATGTGCATTTCGTCATATTTGGGACTCGTCATCTGGATGTACCTGTATGCACCAAGTGGTGTAGTGGACAACACTTTCGCGTTTGAAACGATGCATACTGGTTTTGAGTCTAAGTGGAAACACCATCACTCACTGGAGGATGCAGATACATCCAGTTGATGAGTAGTTCCGTACAGGACGAAATGTGCATTGTCCTGGATTCCACTGCTAGTCACTATACTCCAATTTACTGAATATTTGTCTTCGTAATTATTTACTATTACCTGACATAAATTTTCATTGTCTTCCTCCTCTTTTAATTTCTGAACTTTTTATCTTATTATTTATCGTATAAATAAACTCTGACTGTTAGATTACTCTTCTATTCATATTTTCTATTTGATTTTTCCACCGTTTTGAGTTGAAATAATTTTGAAGTATCCTACACATTTATATTTCTTTATAATAACTTGTGATTTTCAGGCTTATATTAGCAGAAGAAAAGCAATAAAATAACAAAGAGCTCTTTTTATCCTACCGCGTAATATTACATCACACTCAAAAGTTGAAATATTTTTATACACACAGGCTTTTACTATATACGTATATTGTTGTCCAACCATGCAGTATAGATGATTGAAAGTCTGAGCCAGGTGAAATACGTTATGAATCAATTTATCTACTTTTCTTATATTATCATGAAAGTTTTACTAAACCTTCTATAACTTGTCTTCTGAAACCAGAGAGTTCACATAATCATTCGATACTAACCGGCAGTTTTCATACGTATAAACTGTTCTTTATATTTTCAAAATGATACTTATTATTAAGTATTGGTTTGTAGGGATCTTATTGATTGGTTACAATATTTCATTATGAGCTGACATCAGTTGGAGAAACGCTGGAAAAACCACTGGGAGTACTGGACAACTGTTGCGTCCTAGTTTGGAACTCTTCGGCAGTACGCACCCACCTAGCGGGTTTCGAACCCAGGACCTTCTGGTTAGAAGGCCAGCTAGCTCGTAGACCATTAAGCCATTACTGGGACCCGATCCCATGGCCCATGAATTCCAACTTATGCCGGTTCACAACATAGCGCGACCGTTAGTCAATGTCTTCGGCGAGTATTTGTCCTCACACCCGACCTCCTACACCCCACTGGTCATGATGTCCCACTAGAATCCCAGGTAACTACTACTTGCCTGAATAGGGCCAGTCGCTAGTGAGCATCTCATTGATATTTATTTCCTTTTTTAACAAGAGTCAGTGATGTTAACTTCACTTCTGTAGATTTAAGCAACCTAATCAGTTACACCAAATTCAGTAAATCGTTGAGCGTTCTTCATATAGTTGAATAAATAAGATGGAATGCGTCCTATGAACTCATTCAGCACTATAGTAAAATTATTTCACTCTAGATTATGTCACCAATAGATATTCATTAGATAAAAATTGAAAATCATTGAGTTCAAGAATTAGTTTACGACTGTTTATTAGTATACACCCAACTCTAAATGGGACCAAACCTGAGAACATATTAATATGTGTAAAATTTGGACACTGTGGTAGTAAGTAATTCAATATTAGTTTGTTTATTAGATGTATCACACAGTAAACCAGTATTATGTAATGGATGACAAAGTTTCGAACAAATTTTATTGTTCATAATCATTCCATCAATTATAATCATACAACTTTGTAACTTTCGTCTTATAGTTTTCTTTGTTCTCTCCTATTTCTCGTCGTAAGGGTAGTCGAATTTTCTAGATATCTGGATGGGGAGATGTTAAGTAATTCCTATTACATGTGTTTGCAGTTGATTCTATAAACAAAGCTTCCATTATCAATCTCTCCCTCCACCCTGCTGGTACATTAGATTTTAAAACTGTCATCTTATCCCATCCAGCCTTTGGGTCTGATTGTGTGTAATTGCATGTAGTGAGTGCTATAGCTGAACTATTCTCCAGATTTCTTATCTTATTCGGGTCAACTAATCTAGATTTTGATAGATTTTGGTGCTCGGCTAGTCTGGCTGACTGAGCCCTTTTCTACTACTTTGACCCACGTATTTGACCTGACAATCATTGCAGGCAGGGTATTAGATAAACTAAATTGTTTTGTTTAGTTGGCTCCACAGGATTGATCCTTTAACCGACCAAGCTTGTTTCTAAGTGAGTTTGTGGGGGGGGGGTTGAATGGCAGCCACTTTTATTCCTGCCTGCCTTGTTAAAAATTCTGCGTAAGGTGGTTTCCGATGTTCCTTCCTTGTATGGAATTACTACTGATGATTTAGATTCCTTATTGTTGGTGTTGTCATTATCCCGTGCATGTTTGACAAGCTTGTCGTCATTAATATTATTATTATTACTACTATCATTACTGATTTTATTTTCATTTTTACATTTGCCTTACATACTTCCTGATTAATTTATCACGGTAATAGAACTTTGCACGTATGTGCGGCAGTTCAAGTTGCCACACTCCATGTAGAACACAAAGGAAGAGAAGAAAGTAGGAGAAAGCTTCAAAGCTTCTCCTCTTATATGCCTCACTTCCTGTCTTAGAGATTCTTTGGTACTACTTAGTTTTTATGCTCTATTATTTAAACATTTCACCAATCCTATTTTCACTGACATAGATTGGTGGGATGATAGGAAATCCAAATATCGGTTTGAATGTGCGGGTTCCCTGTAAACACTAGTGTTTAACTTCTCATCTTCTTTCCCTTTTACGCTACAATCTAACATTGGAAGTTCCCCTTCCTGAATTTCCAATTCATAAGTGAATTGAATTGCCTCCACCTTTGAGTTAATGTGTTCGAAAAATCTGTCCATATCCTGTGTTCTAAGTACAGTGAATGTGTCATCAACATACCTCCACCATACTTTTGGGGTGGGTGGGCTGAACGTTTCAATCGTTACGTTTTCTCACCTATCCATGAATATATCTGCCACAACCGGGGATATTGGTGACCCCATTGCAACTCCCCCAGTTTGTTTGTATATTTTTCCTTGGAATTTAAGTACTGTGGAATTCAGGCATAGCTGCACTTCCAGCATTATGTCCTCAAGTGGCACTTTCCTCCTAAGTTCGATTTCTTAGTCAGAAATGAGTTCGTTTCTGACTGCCTCTATAGCCATATTTATTAGTATACATATATATAGTCTGACAATGTCAAAACTAACCGTTTTTTCTTCATTATCTAATTTTAAACAATCTAATCTATGTTTTAGTTCATAAGAATTTGTTAGTCCAGATTTTGAGTGACTTTTAAGAGGTCCTTGGTTGGTCTGTCAAACTAGAGAGAGATCCTTGTAGCTAATCATTTTTTGGTCATCGGATCTTCATTATGAGGCGAGCTGCTCATAAAAGGTAACAGTGAGATCACTGGATACGATATGAGCATGCAGTCATGAAAAGATTGTTCTTTTATTAATGTCTACTCATGACAAAATATATTTGGTAATTAATCGAAATTCTTACAAACACAATATATGAGTAAATCATTTGTTTGTTTGTCTGTTTGTTTTGTCAGGTCATTTTTCTTATCGACTCCAGTTATTTCAAACCTGGAGAAACTGAACTATTTTTCAATTATTTACTTCGAGGAAATATGCAAATTGATGTGTGGAATGCAAAATCTCATATACTGATTGGAACATGTATGGTTGAGTTGAAAGTAAGTTGTTTTTTTTAACTAAAAAAATTTCATAAGTTTCCAGACCCCGTAGATGTTACAAACTTTTTGGAATAATTTAAGTTCCGAGTCAGACTGAATCACTATAAATTATTATTATAAAAATAATAATCCCAGCGTGTTTAAGAAAACATCGAAACAAGATTTTTCTTAACGTTTCGCTGTGCAAGCGACCAAAGCTTCTTCAGCAGAATTATTCGGATTTTTGTTAATCATCAAAATAAGTAGTCAAAAATTACAAAATTACAAAACCTTATCCTCATCGAACTGCAGGCGTAAGTTCGTTAGAGCAGGCATTTGAAACGAATCAAGCGCAATAAAACCTTGAACTCACGTGCATGAACCTCATTGGACCATGCGGGATCGTCCGCTGATTGTTAGTTAGTGGTGCTTATAGTTTAACTCCGCCACTATTATAATCTACACACATGGAAATGTCTTAGAGGCTGAGCTTCATGAAATAAGTATTAACCCAAGTAACCTATTCTAGTTATATTATCATGAAAGGTCTATTACGCCTCCTTATATAGTTTATGATCTGAAACCAGACTGTTGACGCACTATTATTCGATTCCGGTCAACAGATTGCAACTATATAAACTTATCTTTATTTTTTTAAAACTGTTAATTTAGTTTCCTCATTATAACCAGTATTATATCCTGTAAAAAATAAAGATGGCAGAGAAATCATAGTCAACTGGAGAAATAAATAATTTTAAAAAGTATACATAACAGTAGTGGTTATTTATGAAGGGTAGTGAAAGTTGCTTCGAAGATTAATCAGTGTTCTACAAAGAAAGCATTTCAGTAAGAGATAGAATAGTAGATGAAAATTAGTAATTATTATTATTATTATCTAAGTAGCGTATATCATTTATCATGGCTTATGAAAAGGTAACATTAACCAAGTGATCAGGTCAAATAAATAATTCTTCTAAAATAATAGAGATTTATAGCTCAGGTGTATGATTTGCAATTAATAGTGTTCTCTGAGCTGGTTGGTTTAGTTGCGGAGCTTTCGTCGTCCGTCCTTCTGGACAACATCCCCTTTCAGAGCAATTTTTAGCATAAAGTGAACTGATTTAAATTTTCTATGAGTGATAGAATCGCGTCTCCCGGTAACCATCTTTACATATATATTGATCATTTTCTATTTACCTGGATTTTAAATTTTCTCGTCACATGATTTACTTATTATTAGTTGGTATATTCGGTATATATTAACGTGTTTGTTAATCGCATATTCGTTTGAGTACCAGGCTTCTAGGAATTCCCTGACTGCACTTTTGGTGTTCCCTTTGTTTAAAATTTTGGCATTATCCCAATCAAATTGATGTCCATAATTATCTATATGCATATCTATATCTCTATGATATGAAAGAGTATATATCATGTCTTTTCACAGCTGATTTGTGTTCCTGGATTCTGATTCGAAGGGGACACCCACTTTGACCGATGTAATGTCTGTTACAGTTCACGGTAGCAATTTATTTTGTGAATGGTATTAATTTTATCTCCTTTTCCTGTTGGATCTTTCGGTTTGCACAATATCCATGAATGAAGTGATTTGACTGGCTTGTGTTGTATATCTACTTCAATCCATGAAATCCCTGACAGTTAAACTGAGTCAGGTAGGGAGATGCAGACTTCCGGGTTGGGGCCTCAGGACTCTAAGAATCAATGGCTGGAGACACTAGGTGACATGGCTCAAAATCGTTGTCAATGGCGCAGATGTATTCAGTCTCTGTGAACCTTCATATTCCTCTCTACCATTACTCTTTCTGTTTCACTCTTATACTTATCTAAATTCTATTGATTCTCTTCACTCATTTTCTTGTCTACCTTTGTGTGCTATTTGGAACGTGGCAACTCGAACTGCTGCACTTCGATGCCAAGTTCTATGTTGAATCCAGCAGCAGCAGCATCTACTTCAAACGGTTTCAATATTCTAGCTGTTATTTCAGAGATATTTTTTATTTATGGTAGGATGAATTTTTTTGGTCTTTGGTGATGGTTCCTTGTTGGTGTTATGATTCGATTTTAAACACTTTTTGATGAAATTGTGAGGATATACATTCTCTTTGAAGACAGCTATCAGGTATTTTTCTTCCATTCTTTTCAACGCTGAAGTTCTCCAGTGTGTTCGAACTCTTTTAAATGATGTCTGCAAACAGTTTCTTTTGTGGGTAATTGGGTTATTGCTAATATAGTTGAGTATTTGATCTGTGTGCGTTGATTTTCTCTATACTTGTGTTTCTAAATTTCCTGTGTGTTAGTTCTCCTGATTAAAATCCTAGTCAGTCAAAAATGATCAATACACTTATGTAAAGATGGTTACCGGGAGATGCAGTTCTATCACTCTTGGGAAAAATTTAAATCAGTTCACTTTATGCTAAAAATTGCGCTGAAAGGGGATGTTGTCCAGAAGAACGGACGACGAAAGCTCTGCAACTAAACCAACCAGCCCAGAGAACACTACTAATTGTAAATTATTTCTCTTCTTTTTGTGTGTTTCTTAAGAGAACGATCAATGTCTTTTGTCCCTGTAATAGATAATTTTCATGTCTTTATAAACTAATAAAGATACTTATATGTATTAATTAACTTGGGTTATTACTGTTTAACTTTAACTTTTAAACAGCATCTTTGTCGACAAGGTCGTGAAGCTGTTCAGGTTACATACAGCACTGATATTATCCGCTTTAACGATAATGATTTATTTGATGATGAAACAAGTTCAATTTATCCACCTGATAATCATGGTCGTTTACATTTACGTCTTGCTAATGTTGGACATCGTAAAGAATCAGCAGGAAAAGAAATAATTCTTAGAAATAATAATCGCAAAATATATTTAATAAATGAAAGTGATGTTGGGTGTTTCGGAAAGTAGGTGATCTTATATTTGTGTTATGCAAACTTATTGTAATATTTTGGGTAATTTATTATCATTGTGCTTGCTTCACAACTGATGAAGAAATCTCATTGTGTTTTTTTACTGGATGGTTTGTAACTAATGACAACATGATTAGTTATAGACTACTTTGCAATACTGAACGACCTTCATAAAGTAAGAGCGTAGGTGGATGGACTTAGAAACTTTGTATTGAGGTATTAAATGTTTCTGCTAAGTTATAATGTAATTTTGCCCACATTTTGGTCCTAGAGTGAAATTGATCGAAACTTAGGGAGAAAGTTTAGAGGCTGCAGGTATCGACTTTCGCGAACTGTACGGATTATAATAACGCAAGATCTTATACCAACAACTTCTATAGTGTTCGCTCTTCGAGTACCAAAGATAAAGCAAAAGACCAGATTTAGCCATCCAAAGTACATAATATATTTCGGGACCACATCGCGGGTTGAAGTGAATGCTTAGCTAGCTAGTGATCGTGCACGCACGTGACACGACGGAGTACCAAATGGCGGGGATGCTTGACCGGAAGCCTTCAGCTAAACAAGTCGACTTAAACAGTGATGGTCAGCATCCAATGTTGAGTGATGATTGCTGTGGTCAATAATTTTGGGGAATTATTTACCGCTACAAAAGCAATGAAGATTTTACAAACTTCTCAGTAGTCTAAACTCAATCTTGAAGCGTATTGGAAGTATGAGTCTAGAGATCTCCGGTTTCGGTAGAGAATTTTACTATTTTATACTTTTAATACTCATTATCACATATATATATATGTACGTCGGTGGTGCAAAGGTAGAATGCTCGCCAACCACGCCGGTGGTTAGGGGTTCGACCCCGGCTAACGCACTCCTTTACCTCGCCAAGCCGGTAAAAAGACCGGTAAGGAGGGAAGGTTGGGCATGAGGCTGGAAACCCCATCCCGTAAAAATAGACACCACTACTACTGAAACTTCAAGGCTCTAGCTTGAAGCCCTATGTTCCACTGGGAACGTAAAGCAATTATATACATACATATATATATATTGCGGTTATACTGTAGCGAACCCTCATCGTTTGACTACCACTAAATAGCTGCATATTGATTAGTCGCTTGACTGTAATCAGTGTTATGCATCTAGTCACTAGTGTTACTGCTGACTGGATTCTACCAAACAGGTTTGCAGTGCAGTCACCATACTTAATCAATTGTTGTCGCGGTACACTTTTAAATCATGCTGTGTGGTTGGATTTAGTCGCATGAAGCCTTGCACTTGGGTTTTGTACCCATCACCCCCCTCGGGCAGCAAGGCGTATGAGCGATTTCGAAGGCAGTAACCCTCCCTTGGGTATTTGAATCTGCATCACCCTATGGCCAAATAAATCAATACCATTTTCTGTGCCTACTGTAGCACTGCGCGACGTATTTTCGAATCTTCAAGGGGTCATTAGTTTCTCTGAGGTTACAGGCTGTGACACCTGGCCATTGAGAGCAAAGACATGAAAAGATTAGCTATCTTTGATCATAGGTGCCTGCGTTCTATCTCCCGTGTGAAGTGGTATAATAAGGTGAGCAATATTGAGGTTAGGCGTCGAGTGCTAGGTAAGGAGGGGAAATCAATCGATGAGGCTGTGAAATCACATCGACTGAGATGGTTAGGACATGTGTTACGTATGCCTAGTCATCGCCTTCCTTGATGGACAATGTTAGCTGACATAGGGTCAGGCTGGAAAAGAGCTAGTGGCGGTCAAACCAAAGCGTGACACCAGTCAATGAAATCCACAACAGTAAGTCTAGGCCACGTAGGAAGGTGTAGATTTCCTGACTGGTTGGGGTCCTCGGGACGGTAAACACCAATGGTTGGAAACAATTGGTGACATGGCTCAAAATCGTTCTCAGTGGCGCAGATGCATCCACTCCTTGTGACTTATAATTTTCAATGAGACTATATGGTTCTTTGATATTATCATTCTTTTTGCCTCATATCTCAGTTTATCGTCTCTATTATGCATTTCTTCTACTTTCTCCTCTTGCTTTATGCGCCACATGAATGGAGTGTGGCGACTTGAACTGCTGCCCATCTGTGCAAAGTTCTATGTCGAAAATAGAAAGAGACAGACACACTGTGCTAATGAGTGCTAGCAAACACAAAACTTAGATCCAGGGCTTCTTGCCGACTGTGTCTAATCAACTAATATTAATAGGGATATAAAATAAGGGTATCCGTAGTATGTTGATTCATTTGGTTGGTTGTGGTAATCGTATTATTAGTAACTTGCTGTGTTATGATTCTTTGTAATTGTCATCAGTTTAAGATTTAACCGTCTGTCTAAAGCTTTTTAGGCTCAATTACTTTTAGGCATCCAAAAACTGGCAGATTTCATCTGAGTGGATTAAAAAATTCCTTCATAACCAGACACAAGCTACTTATGCTATAGCTATTAGCTTAAATCGCTAAAAGTAATTAGGCTGGGGATATATTTTTCATGTGCTAATTGTATATTGAACCAGTACCATAGGTAAACTTTTATATATGTGTAAACCTTGCTCACTGTATTATTATTATTGTTCCCTTGGGTTCCTAGTGGAACATAGGGCTTCAACTGCACGTCTCCACTTGCTTCTGTCTTGTGCTGTACTTTTCACTTGCGTCCATGTTATTCCATACTGTTTCATCTCCTCCTCACACGATCTCCTCCATGTCACCCTTGGACGTCCCACTCGCCGCTTCCCTTTCGGGTTCCACTCGAGCGTTGGCCTGACGCGCGATGTCACCCAGCGGCCTCCTCAGCCAGTGAGTGTCCAATCCATCTCCACTTCCTCCTGCATATTTGTTGGGCGATTGGTTCCTGTTTCGTTTGTTCCCATAGCTTCTTGTTTGTAATTCTTTCCGGCCATCTAATCTTCAGTATGGAGCGAAGACAGTTGTTGATAAAGGTCTGCAACCTGTTGAAAATATTCCTTGTAACCCGCCAAGTTTCTGATCCTCATAGAAGAACTGACTGACTTGACGTTTGTATTGAAAATCCGAATTTTGTTGTTGATGGTGAGTGACGAAGATTTCCAGATTGGTTTCAGGTTGATGAATATGTTTCTCGCCTTCCCGATTCTCGATTTGACATCCTCGTCCGTTCCTCCTGTGGTTGAGACAATGCTCCCTAGATAAGTGAATGAAGTAACCTCTTTCAAATCCCTCCTGTTGATGGTGATTGGCACTGGATGTTGCTGCTGCTGTTGTTGGTTGGTTATTTTCATGACCTCCGTCTTGTCTATGTTCACCTGGAGTCAGTCCTGTCTTTGCTGCTTCTTCGACCAGTTTGTCGGTTTTTGCTTGTAAGTTTTCGATTTTGTGTGACATCAAACATAAATCATCCGCAAAATCCAGGTCTTCTAGGTTCTTCACGTCGGTCCAGGATATCCCTGTCTTCTCGTTTCCCACTGTCTGACGCATAATCCAGTCCACCACAATTAGGAATATCATTGGTGATAATAAGCACCCTTGTCTGACTCCTGTGTTTACTCCGAACGCCTCGCTGAGTTTTCCGTTGTGGATCAATTGACATGTGCCGTTGTCGTACAGTTGTTGAATAAGGTTGATGAATATTTGGGGTACGCCGTAGTACTCGAGTAGTTTCCAAATTACTTCGCGGTCAACGCTGTCGAAGGCCTTCTCAAAGTCTATGAAGTTGAGGTAGAGATTTGATTGCCATTCCATGCTTTGTTCGATGATAATGCGTAGAGTTGCAATTTGGTCAGAACATGATTTGCCTTTCCTGAATCCAGCTTGTTCTGGTCGGAGTTCTGTATCCAGTGCGTCCTTGATTCTCTCCAGGATGATGCGACTCAGGATTTTACTTGGCGTCGACAGCAGCATGATTCCTCGCCAGTTCCTGCAGAGTCCCAGGTCGCCCTTCTTTGGTAGTTTCACCAGGTAACCTTTCCTCCAGTCAGTAGGCACCTTTCCCTCTTTCCAGATCTTTTGCAATAATGGAGTCAGCATATCTGCCGTCGTTTCTGGGTCCGCTTTCAGTGCTTCCGGGGGTATTCCATCTGGTCCAGCTGCTTTTCCAGCTTTCAGAAGGTTGATTGCATTCATGACTTCAGTTCTCGTTGGAGGATTGGTGTCAACTTGCAGTTGTGTACGTGCTGTTGTTGGTATTACTGGACGGGTTGTAGGTGGTGGTCGGTTCACCCATTGTTTAATCTGTCTTTCTTCTTTGGTAATTGGGTTCCCTTGGCTGTCTTTTATAGGTTTCGCTTGTGTTGATCTCTTCCCGGATAGAGACTTGGTTATCTGATATAGTGTCCTTAGGTCCCTTTTGCCTGCTGCCTTCTCAGCTTCAGTAGCCAGGTTGTCGTAGAATTGTCTTTTGTCCTTCCTGGCACTCTTCTTCACTTCTTTGTCCAGTGCTGTGTAAGTTGAGTTCAGCGTCTCTTTCTCTTGTCCATCTTTGCATTGAATCATTTTTTCTTTCACCATTCTCCTCTCCTCTATTAGTTTCCAAGTGTCTGTTGAGAGCCATTCCTTGTCTTGTTTCTTCTTTCTTCCTAAAACCGTTGAGCACGTTTCGTTGAGAATTACCTTCAGAGAGTTCCAATGGTCTTCCACGGATGATTCCTCAGTGGTGCCACATAGTGTTTCCTGCTTTGCTCTGACAGTTGCAGTGAAAGTGTCCTTTGTGGTTGTGTCTTTCAGTTTTTGCGTGTTGAACTTGCATTGTGGCCTATCCCCAGGTATCCTCGAGGCTTTCAGCTTCACCTTGAAAGTCCCTTGTACTAGATAGTGGTCTGAACCCACGTCTGCTCCTCTCCTCGACATTGTGTCCAGTAGGCTCCGTCTCCACTTCCTTGAGATTGAAATGAAGTCTATCTGGTTTTTGGTTTTTGCTCACTGTGGTAGTAAGTAATTCCATATTAATTTGTTTATTAGATGTATCACACAGTGAAACAGTATTATTTACTGGGTGACGTTTCAGAAATGCACAGAATAATGACAACACCAAAGATAGGGCATTTGAATCATCAGTAGTACTTCCATACAAAGAAGGAAACTTACGTAGAATTCTTCGCAATGCACGAATAAAAGCGGCATTCAGTCACCCGCAAACTCAATTAGAAACAAGCTTCCCTTGGTTGAAGGATCAATCAGTAAATATTACTGTATAACACCGTGAGACTCTATCAAAATAAAATTTACCCATAATGGAATTATACTCTACCACAGTGCCCAAGTTTTATTCTTATATCAACAATCCTATGGAGCCTTTAAAACAAAACAACTTAGACTAAAAATTGTAATGCTTTCATTCTTTTTTTGGATGCGTCAATTTTATCTCTTCTCTACTACTAATCAAACATTAAAGTATGTTATTATCATTTATATAACCATTGTAATTTCAGGTAGTCTGCAGCTGATGAGAACCTGTGAAATAGAATGATATCATTTTATACTGCAAATTTCGTCTTCCTTTCTTTATCGAAATTTATCAAGGGAACCAGTTGTATGAAACACAACAATGTAGTTTGTCTAATACCCTATCTGCAATGATTGTCAGGTCAAATACATACGTCAAAGTAGTAGAACAGGGTCAGCCAGACTAGTGGAGCACAAAAACCTAGTTGACTCCAATAGGATGAGAAATTTAGAGAATAGTTCAGCTATAACACTCACCATATGCAATTACACTCAACCATACAATAGGATGGATGGGATAAAATGACAGTTTTAAAATCTAATGTGACAGGGTTTTAGGGAGGAGAGATTTATAACGGAAGCTTGATTTATCGAATCAACTGCAAACACGTGTAATAGGAATGATTCAACACCTGTCTCAGACGGATATCTGGAAAATGCTACTATCTCAACGACAAATAGGAGAAAAGAAGGAAAACTATAAAACTCAACTTTCGAAGTTGTGTGGTTATAATTGATAATAATTTGCTTTGTTTCAAAAGAGTACTAATGATATGGTGTTGAATTTCCAGTACCTAGTACCATATTTCATCTAGTTTTATCCAATAACACTTCAAACAGTTATAATGATAATACTATAGGATTATTAATGGCTTTTTTTAATGGTATCTGTAGTAAGAGTGAAGTCATATATGTAAAAATAGAAATTGTAAATAATAATGATAATGTTAGTAGCTTAGATTGTCATTTCAGTTGAGATAGTGTCACCATAGATTACAAATAGGAAGTAATAAAAGAGCCGATTACTTTACTAACAACATAATAATTCATAAGTCTGTCTGTCTGTTTTCGACATAGAACTTTGCACTGATGTGCGGCAGTTCAAGTCGCCACACTCCCTTCATGTAGCACACAAAACAAGAGAAGAAAGTAGAAGAAATGCATAATATAGACAGTAAACAGAGGTGTGAGACAAAGGAATAGTAATAACGGAGAACAAAACAGTTTAATTGGAAATCATAAGTCACAAGGAGTGGATGCATCTGCGCCACTGAGAACGATTTTGAGCCATGTCACCAATTGTTTCCAACCATTGGTTTTTACCGTCCCGAGGACCCCAACCAGTCAGGAAATCTACACCTTCCTGCGTGGCTTAGACTAACTGTTGTAGATTTCATTGACTGGTGCCATGTTTTGGTTTGACCGCCACTAGCTCTTTTCCAGCCTGACCCTATGTCAGCTAACATTGCCCGTCGAGGAAGGCAATGGCTATGCGTGCATGCGTAACACATGTCCTAACCATCTCAGTCGATGTAACTTCACAGCTTCGTCGATTGATTTCCCCTCCTTACCTAGCACTCGACGCCTAACACCACTTCACACGGGAGATAGAACGCAGGCACCTATGATCAAAGATAGCTAATCTTTTCATGTTTTCCACTCTCAATGGCCAGGTCTCACAGCCATAAGTTCCATGCTTAACATTGTCTCTGTTGCACAGAACACGGGCCAGGCGTGTTATCGTTGAGTCATTATACTTGGTAGTATGGGCATATATTTTTTCGTACTGACTTCTATTTCTGCCAGATGACATACAAGGCCTGGAGAGATGAGAATAGAGGCGGTATTGAGGGGCAGACAGTATAGATTTAGACCATTTGTCGCATTAGTTTAGATGTCTATCAACTAACGTAGAAACCAGCTGACTGACTAAGTTGCACACCACCTGCCAATACTGACAGCCTTTAATACCCTTCTCGAAATCACATAGTCTTTTATCAATAGCCCGGGAAAGACTAATGGGGAGCAGCAGGGTACAGTAGTTAAGAGGCAAGAGTTAACAAATTATAAAAGTAGAGGTTGAGTGATTCCTGATTGGCTTCCACGTACATATTTATATGACTATGAACATTAAATTGTGTTCGTAACGTCACCCAGGAAATAATACTGTATCACTGTGTGATACATCTAATAAACCAACTAATATGAATGTAAACCTTTACAGCTGCTGATAGTGTTTTCCTTAAGACAGCAAAAGTTGCCACTCAGACATTTAAAAGACAAAACGGCTGTGGGAGGAAATATTTACTTTTCAGTTGAATCCTCGTCTACAGTTTTAATCTATTATATTTGTCAATTTTGATATAATACATAAATTTATCAGTAAAGTGGTTATGAGTTCGGTAGTATCAATAACAACGTACCAATAGGATGATACCTAAACAAGAAAATTAATTTCAAACAATCAGTTCCCTTTATGAATTTAGACAAAGTAATAAGAAGACGTTATTTGTCTGAATCGTGTAATGTATTTGCGCAACACATTTCGAATACTCTGATCACACTCGGACTTGTCATAGGAATGTATTTGAAATTAATAAAGAGTTAAGAGGTGAGAAAATAGACCACTTAGGTCAAGTTCAAAGGACATATTGGATGTCAAAATTACAATGAAGAACACTAAACCGAATAGCAGAGGTAATAGTACATTTACCCTGGCTGGTATCAAAACAAAGTTTACCAAGGAAGGTTTAGTGTGATGACGAATTGTTGCTTTGAACGCATGAAGGTGGTATTAACTTCCTAACTGCCAGCTAAAGATTCCACAAACTTTAGGATACGCCCCAAACACGTTTTATGGATAAGTGACATTGTAACATCAAATTTATGTCTTGTCTTTATAATATGTTTCGCAATAGAGGAGCTAGTTCTCCTGTTCTCACCATTAATGGGTTCTGAAAATTCTATTTGCTTCTGGATCCATTTAGGAATATGCTCTAAAGCCAGCGCTTACTTGCAGAGATCGATGAGTCCTCCCTATGTATGTGTGCCCACACGTACATTCAAAATGGTAAATACAGTGAGATGTGACATCATTTTTCGTATGTTCAAATGGCTTAGATAGATATATTGGCTTCACATTCTTCAGAACCCATTAATGGTGAGAACAGGAGACCTAGCTCCTCTATTTCAAAACATATTATAAGGACAGGACATAAAATTGACGTTAACACATCTTTTAAACCTACCCATAAAACGTGTTTGGGGCGTATCCTAAAGTTTGTGGAAGCTCTAGCTGGCAATTAGAAAGTTTAAACCACCTTTATGCGTTCAAAAATAATTCGTCATCACACTAAACCTCCCTTGGTAAACTTTGTTTTGATACCAGCCAGGGTAGATGTACTATTACCTCTGCTATTTGGTTTAGTGTTCCTCATTGTTATTTTGACCTTCAGTATGTCCTTTGAACTTGACCTAAGTGGTCTATTTTCTCACCTCTTAACTCTTTATTACTTTCACATGTATATATTTCTATGACAAGTCTGTGTGTGATCCGATTGTTCGAAATGTGTTGCGCAAATACATTACACGATTCAGACAAATAACGTCTTCTTATTACTTTGTCTAAGAAAATTGATGCAACATTTAAGGGGTAAGAATAATTGCAAAAATTAAACAAGTCGATTACATAATGTATAATTTTGAAAACATTAGAGTTGTTTAGAAGTAAATAAGTGTACGGAATGATTGAGAAATAGATGAAGTTGCGAGAGTAATAAGACGAAACAACAATAATAACTTGTAAATGACATCGTCATTTATGGGTATTTCTTAGCTAAGCGGAATAAACTAACTCTTGATTTTGAGAAAATTCTGGTTATTTTGGTATTAGATGGTTGAAGGCAATCGGCAGGAAGCCTTGGACTTAGGTTTCGTGCTAGTTGGCACTCATCAGCACGAAACCTAAGTCCAAGGCTTCCTGCCGATTGCCTTCAACCATCTAATACCAACAATTCACAGTGCACCGTGATGCTGAGCCACTTGGTGGCATGGTGGTCACATTGCAAGCTTGATTGATAGAATTTAGTCTGGATCGAAGATAGGACTACACACATTACACTAGTTACTGACTAGTGTCCAATCAAAAAACATTCTGATTAATTCGCTTAGCATATATTCGAATTTTAAAAAAACCATTCCTACTTCTTAAGCGCAATTATTAATGCTCATTATAGTGTGATATTCAGTTAAAAATGATGTTTACTTTTTCCAAGATTTAAAGGTGGAGCTCTTTCAAATATCAATTCATTTGAACCAAAAGCTTTGAATGAAAACACAACTGGTTTAACAGTTCGAGCACACAAAATCAAGTCAACTAACAGTGAACTACAAGAGATGTTGAAGTCGATCACTGCTTCACAGAATACAATGCCTAAAACCATCCGAGCAATGAAATCATTGAATCCAGAGAATCGAAGAAAAGAATTACTTAGTGAAGATGAAGCAACCAGACAAACTAAGCTGGAACGTTTACATTGTTCTTTAAAGGCTATTCATGGTTTAACAGATGTATACAATGAAAAATCATTCCCTAAAGCATACAGTACGCATGTAAGTCTGTAAATGACTAACATCTTGATAAATATTTTCAACATCCGATACAATATATTTCACACTGTGTTTTTAATTCTCGATATATTATCAACAGTGAGATACTTAAAAACCATATTAAGTTTATCAAAAGTTAATCAGCACAATGAAACAGTATTATTTACTGGATGACAAGGTTTTGAACAAAATTTATTGTTCATAATCATTTCATCAATTATTATAATCACACGAATCATTTCTGACCAAGAAATAGAACTTAGGAGGAAAGTGTCACTTGAGGACATTATGCTGGGAGTGCAGCTATGCCTGACTTCCACAGTATTTAAATTCCAAGGAAATATACAAACAAACTGAGGGAATTGCCATGGGGTCACCAATATCCCCGGTTCTGGCAGATATATTCATGGATAGGTGAGAAAACGTAGCGATTGAAACGTTCAGCCCCACCAACCCCAAAAGTATGGTGGAGGTATGTGGATGACACATTCACTGTACTTAGAACACAGGATATAGACAGATTTTTCGAACACATTAACTCAAAGGTGGAGGCAATTCAATTCACTTGTAAATTGGAAAGTCAGGAAGGGGAACTTCCAATGTTAGATTGTAGCGTAAAAAGGAAAGAAGATGAGAAGTTAAACACTAGTGTTTACAGGGAACCCGCACATTCAAATCGATATTTGGATTTCCGATCATCCCACCAATCTATGTCAGTGAAAATAGGATTGGTGAAATGTTTAAATAATAGAGCATAAAAACTAAGTAGTACCAAAGAATCTGTAAGACAGGAAGTGAGGCATATAAGAGGAGAAGCTTTGAAGCTTTCTCCTACTTTCTTCTCTTCCTTTGTGTGCTACATGAAGTGCGGCAACTTGAACTGCCGCACATTTGTGCAAAGTTCTATTACCGTGATAAATTAATCAGGAAGTATGTCAGGCAAATGTAAAAATAAAAATAAAATCAGTAATGATAGTAGTGATAGTAATAATAATAATATTAATGACGACACGCTTGTCAAACATGCACGGGATAATGACAACACCAACAATAAAGAATCTAAATCATCAGTAGTAATTCCATACAAGGAAGGAACATCGGAAACCACCTTACGCAGAATTTTTAACAAGGCAGGCAGGAATAAAAGTGGCTGCCATTCACCACCCCCCACAAACTCACTTAGAAACAAGCTTTGTCGGTTAAAGGATCAATCCTGTGGAGCCAACTAAACAAAACAATTTAGTTTATCTAATACCCTGTCTGCAATGATTGTCAGGTCAAATATATAGGTCAGAGTAGTAGAACAGGTGTCAGTCAGTCAGACTAGCCGAGCACCAAAACATATCAAAATCTAGATTAGTTGACCCGAATAAGATAAGAAATCTGGAGAATAGTTCAGCTATACACTCACTACATGCAATTACACTCAACCATACAATAGGTTGGATGGGATAAGATGACAGTTTTAAAATCTAATGTACCAGCAGGGTGGAGGGAGAGATTGATGTCAACGGAAGCTTTGTTTATCGAATCAACTGCAAACACGTGTAATAGGAATGATTCAACACCTGTCCATTCAGACATCTGGAAAATTCTACTACCCCTACGAAGACAAATAGGAGAGTGCAAAGAAAACTATAAAACTCAAGTTTCGAAGTCGTGTGTTTATAATTGATGAAATGATTATGAACTATAAATTTTGTTCGAAACCTTGTCATCCAATAAATAATACTGTTTCGCTCACTGTGTAACACATCTAATAAACAAACTAATATAGAGTTAATAACTACCGCAGTGCCCATGTTTTACACATATATTACTCAGCACAAGCTGCAGAAAGAATTGAGTCACTGGAATTTATCTCCAAGCTGGCAATCTTCGACCATGAGTGACGACATTCTGTCTTTCGTGTAAGTAAATGTAATTTGGTCAGTAATAATGAGGCTAGGTAGATAGGGAAAACCACTTGATCAGTCTGTGAATTTACATGTATCTTTGTGGCTCAGACTTGTGATGTTCATACAGAGCCATGGCATTCCACTCATCGAGAAATGTTAACTAACGTAGGATTAAGTTGGAAAAGAGTTGAGGGTGGTGGGACAAAAACATGGCAACAGTCTGGGAAGCTACCCACTTTGTTTACGGAAGCTGGTGTGATTCAAGGTGCTGTACTTTCTTCATTTTTCCTCCTTCTTTTTGCATGACTTGTGATGTCACTGAATATATTGATGATTCGGCAATTTCTCGCCCAGTATTCTATGCATTAGATTGTTCCGACATGAAGAGTTTCCTCCCTGAGTTTAACCATAGGACTTAAACTGAGCCTCTACAAATGTCAGACTGCAAGTTTCTGTTTCAGGCATGAGCAAAACTTGCGTGAACTGATTCAATCCTATTATTCCTGTGATACCGACGGCGCTGTAGTAGGAAATAAATTGAATGGTATTAGTTCCCACTTTCAATCTCTCTTGGTCGTCTTATATCTTGTTGACTTCTAGAAAATCTTCCGTTTGACTTATTACATAAGGAAGCTGAGACTTTATGGAGTAACTCAACCTCTTCTCCTAGAATTTATTGATCTATATATTCCACCCATTCTTCTTCATTGTTTCCATTTATTCTTCTCTGGACTTCTCAGAAAGGACTAAGTTATATCATGTGGGAATTTAAAAGCTGTATACAGGGTTAGTGGTGTCCGCCTTTGACTCAACTAGCTCAGACTGTTATGGACAGACACTTTAATTCTTTTCAGCCATTGGCTAAAGCCATATTCTAGGATACTGAACACGCTCTGATTGCATCTATTCGGGTAAAATCAGAAGGAATTTTATAAGAATATACGTTTCTACATCTGAATATGAAAATTCAAGTATATCCCATTTAGCACGGGTATCATATGAAGAGACAAATGTCAAAAAGGGACCTATAAACCTAAAATGTATAGTGGTCTATCTTTCTGCCGTTGAGTACCACGTAATCTACAACTTCTAATTGTTTACTTCTAAAGCCACTTCTGAGTAATTATATCAATTATGTCATCTCCTCCACCTATTACTCAATAATAGACTACTATACGCTTTCGGTGAGTATAAATGCGACTGTACGACAGCCTGTGAAGATGATTTTGCCGATAAAGAATATGTTCTTCTCTGAATTTGTCTTTTATTTTGTTCATGACTCAGTGGGTATTTCGGTGACCTATGAACCTACTTTAAAATTTGTAAATAAATAGCGACTAAATAGCAGCATTATTATTACACGTATATTGTTTTCCTGTTAATTTTAATTCTAAGGTTTTATTTTACATATTTAATTTATCTGTAGAAGGAGATAAGTTGTTGCAATATGTATGTAGACTGCTAAAAATTCCTTCTTGTATAAGAATTGCGCTTTAGAATAAATTGATTACTGTTATTATTATTGTTATTTAACTGCTGGTTTCAAATACGTAGGGAGCTGTGAACCGTCTCGTTGAGATCGTTGAGTTAGGAGAATCAGCGACTTCAAACTGCTGGTGACATTCCTCAAAATCGTTCTTAGTGGCGCAGATGTGCTCACTCTGTGTGATCTTTCAGTTCTCTTAAATCCTGATGATTCGTGATGAACTTATTGTTTTCGTGGTGCATTTTCAGTTATTATTTTATATTTCATTTGCATTTATTTTCCCTCTTTGACTTTATGAGTAATTTATGACGTGTGTCAGTTTGAAATTCTGCACTTTAGTGCAAGTTTCTACATCAGATATCCAGTTCACTTCCCCCCAAACAAGTTAACTACCTGCCTTGTTGATCTGCAGTGTGACTGGTGTTTTCAGTAGTTAAATCAGTCAACAAGACTGTGAAGTTACACCGACTGAGATGCCTAAGACATGTATTGTTATGCATTCACGTAGCCATCGCCTTCTTCAAAGGGCAGTGTTAGCTGACACTGGATGGATCAGGTTGGAAAAGAGCCAGTGGCGGTCAAACCAAAACATGGCTTCATCAGTCAATGATAATTCACAACAGTTAGTTTGAGCTAACCAGCCATGTATGTGCTACATGGAGTGTGGCAACTTGAACTGCCTCACATATGTGCAAAGTTCTATGTCGAAAACCGACCGACCGACCGCCATGTAGGGAAATGTAGACTGGTCTCTGGTTGGGTTCTCAGAATGGTACAACTCCGTGGCTAAAGACAATTAGTGCTGTGGCTCAAAATCGTTCCCAATGGCTGGTGCACATGCATTCACTCTTTGTGATTTATAATATCCAATAGAATTATATTGTTCGTCCATATTACTATGCTTTTTCCCTCAATCACATTTCTGTTTATTATGTCTGTTTACTCTCTTCTCTCGCTTTGTGTGGAACCGTGGAATTCACATCAGTTCATCAGGTATATTTGCAATTGATTAACATATCTACACAAATCCAATGTATCCTCTGAGAGGAAAAACAAGATACAACTATAAAGATTGAGTGAATAAAACTGCATTGACGAAGTAACTACTGAAACTGACTGACTGACTGGTTTCAACGTAGAACTTTGCACAGGTGTGCAGCAGTTTGAGTTGCCACACTCCGAGTTCCACACAAAGCAAGAGAAGAGATTAAAGAAAGATTTAAAACAGAGGTAATAAAGAGAAATGTGAGTGATGGAAAAAGGATAGTAATATGGAAGAACAATAGAATTTTATTGGATATTATAAACCACGAAGAGTAAATGCATGTGCGCCAGCCATTGGAAACGATTTTGAGCCATATGACCAATTGTCTCCAGCCTTCATTGGTTATTACCGTCCCGAGGACCTCGACCAGGAATTACACACCTCCCTACACGGCCAGCTTAAACTAACTGTTATAGCTTTCATTGACTGATGAAGCCATGTCTTGGTTTGACCAGCACCACTAGTTGTTTTCCAACTTGATCAATCCTATGTTAGTCAGCTAACATTGCTCGTTGGTCGAGGAAGGCGATGGCTAGGCGTGCATGCGTAACACATGTCCCAACCATTTCATTCGATGTAGCTTCACAGCCTCGTGGATTGATTTTCCCTCCCTACCTAGTATCTCTTCTCTACTACCACTCAAACATTAAAGTATGTTATTATCACCTATATAACCATTGTAATTTCAGCTAGTCTGCAGCCGATGAGAACCTGTGAAATAGAATGATATCATTTTATACTGCAAATTTCGTCTTCCTTTTTTTATAGAGATAAATCGTTTCAATAGCACCAACCACATGATTTTATTCTGGAATATTCTTGTTTTCGTTGATTCCATCATTAATAATATACTCATGTGTCTTAAACACTCTATGAGGTATTTACGCTTCATTTCATTTCATCTTGTAGACTTTATTACCAGAGAAGAAATTACAACTAGATACTATTAGTCATTATAGAGAACAGAAAAAACGTGAATTAATTGAACAAATGATCACTGGCGCTTCAACAATTGAACACAACCTGTACACAAGTTTTGGTTGTACAGAATTTTTTGAATACCAATTAAAGAATCCATATAATGTGGAAGATACTATTTGTGCAACAATTGAAGATGACACGTGAGTTCATAAAATTTTCATCCTATTTAGTTGTTTTTTTAACATTAAGCCTAATTACCATCTCTATATCAGTTGAATAATAGGTACTTTCTAAACTCAAACTGTAACAACAGAAGACAAGGGCCAGGCAACAGATCCTTTATTAAGGAAAATCAACACATATTTATAGATTTTAATGTACATTATTGTAGATCATTGTTAGTAGAAAATACAGTCTTTTGATTGGTTGTTTCTCACAGAAAGTTAACCTTGCATCTCTTTGTGGCTGTCAGATCATCCATATGCTAATTGTATCCGCCTACGCAAAGTCTTTGTTCTCATTTTCTCACCACCAATATTGGGGACATAAACATTGACGTCAATTACTGTCTACCAACTTTGGCTAGCAGCCAGCTCTCACCACAAAACTTCTGTTATAAAGCCAAATGTCCAGTGGAAAATTTGACGCGTGACTGCAATCGTAATGGTTAACAAATTTTACAACCACCCCAATTTGATTAATTTATCTAACTGAACTTGTTGACTTCTTTTAGCATACACATCCATGTGATTTTTAATTTTATTGTCGTTTTCTTTTGGTAATGACTAGAACGGAAATTTCACCGGTGGTCTTTTCACTTCCAACTCTAATGGTAGCGGTTAATACTGGCTATACAAGATTTCATATCCCTCCTCTTGCTATGTACCGCTAACTTATTACATAACTAGTCAGCGAATTGGTTACAGGATCGCATCATGAGCTGATATTGGTTGGAGAACCATTGGAAAACCAGCACTGGAGTGCTGGACAGCTGTTTCGACAGACTAGTTTGGGACTCTTTATCAGTACGCACCCACCTAGCGGGATTAGAACCTAGGACCTTCTGGTTACAAGACCAGCTAGCTCGTAGACCATTAAGCCACTGGGACCCGATCCAATGAATTGACAGAAGTTAGAATTCGTGGACTGGCCATTGGATCGGGACCCAGTAATCAATATGAGTTATTGATTTTTATTCCAATATCTAATGGATTCGACACATGTATATAAATGAAGGAAAAAAGTTGTGTGAGTAACCTGATATGATTATGAGCAATAGTTTGTGCTCGAAATGTCATCAGTTAATATTACTGTACAAAACTGTGTGATTTATCAAAACAAAATCTTATCCATAACGGAGAAGGCATCGTCGTGCACGTGGACGAAACTGTGTTACTGAAGAAAAAATACAACCGTGGTCGTGAGCGAGCCAACAATGTTTGGGTGATTGGTTTATATGACACCTCCCTGAGGTAAGGATTCGTGGAGATAATACCAGAAATAAAGTCTACTACCTTAGTACCTATTGTCACTGACTTGTGAAACAGGGATCCATTGTGCATACTGATGAATGGAAAGGTTATAACTCGCTGTCATCTCTCGGATATATTCATCACAGAGTGAACCATTCTAGTGATTTTGTGGATCCCATTACGGAGACACACACAAATTCTATAGGAGGATTTTGGGGAAGATTGATATATAGGATTAGGGCTATAAATGGATCTCAAAAAGATGTCATTTATAGTCATTTGAATGCATGTATATGTACAGAATGTTGTGTAACTTTTCTATTGACACTCCTATGCTAAACTGGGAGATGTTTCTGTCACATGTTAGAGAAAGTTACCCTATGCAACAGTTTTATTCAATTTTTATGCTTTTTTCCATAAGTATACATTTTCCTTTTATCAAAAGTCCCTCTTTCGTGTGATTGGTCCGTTGAAGGTCGTTCGCTGATTGGCAGTTAGTGGTGCTTAAAGTTTAACTTTACCAAAACCTGATATCTGATTATGAAAGCACCGAACCCTCATCCATCTAGGCGGTTTCTTCAGGAAGTATCACATCTGAAACCAATTCCTTTAAATGCAACCAAGGTAATTAGCCTAAAGATTGTGATAATCCAAAAATATCTCCTGGAACCTTCTACAGTGACTGTTTGATTGGTTGGATGATTTTATCATGAGCTGACATCGGTTAGAAAACCATTGAAAAACCATCACGAAGTACTGGACAGCCAGCTGTTTCGTCATAGTTTGAGACTCCTCATCAGTAGGCACCCACCTTTTGGTTACAAGGCCAGCTAGCTCGTAAAACATTAAGCCATTACTGGGACCCGATCCAATGGCCAGCCCATGAATTCTAATTTCTACCAATTCATGACATAGCGTGACCACTTCACAGTGTCTTCTTCGAAGAGTTACTGCCTCACCTTCATCCTGCTGTATCCTACTGGTCACGACTTCCTACTAGAACCCCAGGTAACTACCTACCTGAATAGGGCCAGTCGCTAGTGAACATCAGATCGATTTTCAAGTATTGGTTTTCTAGGGATTTTGTTTGATTGGATGGAGGATTTCATCATAAGCTGAAATCAGTTAGAGAAGCATTGGAAAATCTGGTTCTCTAACTGATGTCAGCTCGTGATGAAATCCTCCAACCAATCCACCGAAATCCCTACGAAGCCAATACTTCGTTTTAATTCATACATCATATGTTAGCAGATGTTTCCATCTTGATATGTACTCTTGAGTTTCACTGACTGTCTGTCTATCTATCTGTTTTCGACATAGAACTTTCTACCTATGTACAGAAGTTCACGTGGCCACACTCCCTTCATGTAGCACACAAGACAAGAGAAGAAAGTAGAAGAAATGCATAACAAAGACAGTAGACAGGGATATGAGACAAAAGGAATATTAATAATAAAGAGGAACAATATAGTTTCATTGGAAATTACAAGTCACAAGGAGTGGATGCATCTGCGCTAACCATTGAGAACGATGAGTTTGAGCCATATTACCGATTGTCTCCAGCCGTCATTGGTGTTTACCGTCCCGAGGACCCCAACTAGTCAGGAAGTCTACACCTTCCTACGTGGCTGGCTGGCTTAAACTAACTGTTGTGGATTTCATTGACTGATGAAGCCATGTTTTGGGTTTTGAGTTTAACGAGGAATTTGTTTATAGATTGAATTTGTGAATACTTCACCGCTAAAATCAAAAAGTGTCTTAATGCAACTGCCTTCATGATAGCCAGATAAAATATTGATACCAGAGAAAAATTCAATGTATGAGTACTCTTCATATATTCTTTTTTCCGTCAAAAAAACAACACCATTTTTCAATCATATTATAATATTGTTTACATTTACAGAAATAATTTATCCTTTGTTATTAATTCATCGGAAGTTCGCGCTTTAAAATTAGCCTTTGGTATTGATACACCAACAGAAGACAATTTATTCGCTGTAGACATTACAGACAATTTCATAGATGAAAACAAGAAAGGTGAAAGTCAAGCGGCGAAGAAGATCACTGTTAGGCTATTTCTTAAACCAAATGAAACTGTTCTATTGCCAATTAAATATGAAGAATGCACAATGTTTCCTAATATTAAACAGTATCAAGGTGTAGATGAAAGAAATGTAAGTTTAGCATTAAAAAAGCAACATCTTTTCAAATTTGATGGTGAACTGACTTCAGCTAGATAACTATTACATAGCAAGGAGGACTGAATGGCTGTTTCATCTTGGTGTGGGACTCTCCAGTGGTAAGTTCCCATGAACCACCAAGGCACCAGCTGTGACCCACAGTTTACGAGGCGAGCTCGTTTGCCATTTAGCCACTGGGACAGAAACTGTATGTTCTATGCATTCTAACTTCTGCCAATGCGCAACATATAGCACGAAGCCCAACCAATGTCATCAGCGAGGATCTGTCCTAATATGTGACTTAATCGAACTAAAACAGCCACAACTTCTAAACAGAACTTCAACCTGTAGTCAGTTACTAAGGAACACTAAACAGGCAGAAAATAGAATTAACGAGCCATTGGATCCGTCTCACTGACTCACCATTTTAACTTGAAGACCCTGGGTTTGATCTCTGGTTGAGTCATGAGTGAGCGGGTGCCGATGAAGAGTCCCAAGCTAGGATGAAACAGCTGTTCAGTACTCTCTGGTATTCAGTGGTTCTCGAACTGAAGTCATTTAGTGATCAGTCAAACCGACACTTGAAAATACATACTTTGTTTTGTAAAATACATTGTTTGAAACACAGGGTAGGAAACGAACAAGTGAAGAGGCCTAGGCATATTACACAAAGTAAGATGTATTTTAATATGTATTATCATAAATTCTTTAAGTGGACTTTAAATTGAACGACATTTTCACAATAACAAATAACTGCATTTTGTAAGGGGTAATATATATATATATATATATATAAGATAAGGCGTTTCAACTCCAATGTGAAGTCAGTGCTACTTACTATACAGATCAGAGACTTGGCGTAGTGTCACGAAAGGCACCTCAAACAAACTACAGACCTTCATTAACAGCTGTCTTCTCACAATACTTCGCTCAAGATCAGATGACCGGCCAGAAAAGATCACCAACAGGGCTCTCTGGCAATGAGCGAACCAACCCAGCAGGAACCGATTGTACAACAAATATGCAGGAATAAATGGAGGTGGATTAGCTGGCCATACTTTGAGAAAACAAACCGTCAAGTGACATCCCACGCCAGGCCATCACAAGAGTGGAATCCGAGTGGGAAGTGGCGAGTTGGTCGTCAGTACGAGGGTAGGGTGACATGGAGGAGGTCATGTGAAGCGAAGATGAAAGCATGTGGGCAGACATGGAGCCAAATGAAAACGTTTGTGGAGAACCGAAGGCAATGTAGACGTGCGGCTGAAGCCCTATGTTCCTCTAGGAATTAAAGGAAACAATAATAATAGTAACATATATATATATGTAACGCTGTGAAAATAGGCATAATTGGTGGATTTATTCCTCGGTCAAGATTATTCCTTTAATCACTGACTTTAGCTCTAATATTTCAACAAAGTAGTGTCCTCTATAACCGCCTAGTTCTGCATTGATAATCAAGAGGAACTCAAATGAATGCAGAAGCCGAAATCCAGTAGGCACACTTTTCTTAACCACTTAGTGATTACTTTTGTTTTGAATATGTTATTCAGAATTGTTCCCAATATAATTTATTATTATAACATTCAGCTGGATACTAAACAAATGACAGTGCACTGGGATCCAGTCGCGCAGTGAGTTTTCTGCTATTCATTTTAGTGCTATACCTACGCAAGAAAGTTCACGGAAAAAAGTAAAAAGATCTCACACTCATATAGCGAGTTTTATATATGAAGATAAGAAAACAATTACAATTGGGAGTTAAATGTGTGTCTCAAAAACACAGCTAAAGACAAAGATACCAAAGTTTTGACCGTTGAATCTTGCCAACCTATCAATCATGAGATTCGGGAATCTGGAACTCAAATATGAAGTTGAAAAATGTGGTTTTAAGACAGTTACTTTAGCCTAAGTCACTAAAAATTGACACACAGTTGATATAAGATGAATAAGCTGCTTTCAGAATAGTATCAGCAGTGATATGAAAGCAAAGAAATAAAAATGACTGATGGATGTTAGGACCATACATGCATATGAATATATGTTGATCGATACCCCCACCATCCAAGTTGAATTCATCTTCCAGAGGAAAAGAATTAGCTTTTAAATGACTGCGAAGACCGAGGGAAAACTGCTTGAGACCTTCTGCACACAGCCTGCTTCAAGTTAGAGTTCGCGAAACTCCTGCAGAGTGCTTAAGTCTAAAGTAGATGTCTACTCAATGCCACACTAATCATGAGTTGAAGGAAATTCCATATTTATCTAGTTTTGGTTAAACCTTGAAATCAGCGCCAAAAAATTCTGCTTAAGTAAAACAAAATATGATTTATTGGTTATCAGATTTTTAAATTAATCATATTATTGATAGCATCAATCAACTTACTGGTATAAACTTTTATTCCTTACTATAGCTCTCAGAATTTACTTCAAATATTGAAGATGAACCAAAAGAAATGAAGCGTGTTGCACAGGTAAGATAATTTATTATTCGGTATTTCAGTTTTCTAGCATGTTTAGAACGTTAAGAACTTGTTAGTCTTATCTGAAAGAGTCACAGTAACCACATTATTTCTATGAAATTAAAGCTATATATAAATTTTATGCGTCGGTGTTTCAGCGGTAGAACGCTCGCCAACCACACATGTGGTCCGGGATTCGGTCCTCGGCCAGTAGTATTGCCAGTAAAGAGGAAAGGTTGGCCGTGAGGCTAAGAACCCCACTCTGTAAAAAAACCACTGCTACTGGAACTCCAAAGCTCTAGCCTGAAGTCCTATGTTCCACTTGGAACGTAAAGAAATAAAATAATAATAACTAAATAATGTATACAAACCTCTTAAATGTTTAAGAAGGGGAAATAGAGTGAAGACAGCAGTATGTCATTTTTATTTACCTCCTAATCGATGAGTTCATCTTGATATATGAACTGAAATAAGTAACGTCAAGTTACTCTACGCATCGTCATCGAACAAAGTATAGAATGACAGTCAAACCTCTACCTCAACTTTAACGACTTTGAGAAGGCCTTTGACAGATAGAGTTGACCAAGAAGTAATACGGAAACTACTTCAACACTACGGCGTAGCTCAAATCTTTGTCAACCTTATTTAACAGCTGGCTATATGACAATGCCACGTGTCAAGTGGTCTACAACGGAAAACTCAGTGAGGCGTTCGAAGTGCATACAGGAGTAAGACTAGCCGGTTGCCTATTATCAACAATGATATTCTGAATCGTGGTGGACCGGATTATGCGTCGGATTGTTGGGGGGCGAAGAGTCAGGTATACGCTTGACGATCGATAAGAAGACTCCAGAAGATGTGGATTTCGCAGAAGATATATGTCTAATGTCACAAAAACCAACAAACTGGCTGGAGAGGCGGAGAAAACAGGACTGCAGGTGAACACAGAGAAGATGGAGGTGATGAAGATAACCAATCAACAGCAACAACAACCAGAACCAATCACCATCAGTAGGAGAGATTTAACAGATGTTACCTTCTTCACTTATCTGGACAGGAAGCGTCGTTTCAACTACAGGCGGAACGGACGAAGATGTCAAAGTGAGAATCGAAAAGACAAGATACACCTTCATCAACCTGAAACCAGTTTGGAAATCTTCCGCACTCAGCATAGGGAACAAGATTCGCATTTTCAACACCAATGTGAAGTCAGTTCTTCTATACGAGTCAGAAACTTGCACTGCGTGTAACGAAAAGGATTTCCAACAGGTAGCAGATTTTCATAAACAGCTACCTTCGCTCCATAGTGAAGATCAAATGGCCAGCCAGCCAGAGAGAATAAGCAACAAGAAACTATGGGAACAAACCAACAAAGCAAGAGCCGATCGCTCAACAAATATGTAGGAAAAAGTGGAGATGGATCGGGCATACTTTGAGGAGGCCACCAAATGACATCGCACGCCAGGCCATAGCTCGAGTGGAATCCAGACTGGAAGCGACGAGTGGGTCGTCCTAGGGTGACATGGAGGAGATCGTGTGAGGAAGAGATGAGAGAGTTTGGTCAATCGTGAAACTAACCATCTGAAGACGACGACAGAAAACAGAAGAAAGTGAAGATGTGTTGTTGAAGCCCTATGTTCCATTCATAAACCAAGGGAATAATAATAATAATCTGTCTAATGATATTCAACAGCTTAACAGAATCTGTAGATATGAAATTATCAACAAAGAGAATTATAAAAAATACTAGATAATGACAGTTGTGTTTAGTTTTAGGTTCTGAAAGAATTCTATTTGTCGCCTGATGGATTTCATCACAAATTAATACTAGCGAGCAGTGGATGACAGCTTCGGCCCTTTCTGAGTCTCTTTAGAAGTGCACATACACAATCCATTCTGAGAATTAGCAGGTTTAAAAGTATAAGGCCATACTATCCGAGCCCATGTTATACTCATGACATAATGTAATTTTTGTTTCGATTTGTTACACACCTGAAGAGTCACACTGCTAAAAACTTTCACATTAATGCTGCTAAACCTTCTTTGATTTCTATTAGTTCTCTAAGTGATTCCATATTAGTTTCTTTGCTTAGCAGATATGAAACTACATACTAATACAATGCTCAGGTTTTACGTAAAAGTGAATCTCCGAGTGATATCGAATTATAGCAAACTCTACACTTAGATAGATGAGATTACGATTGAATTAGAGCCTTTCATATGATTGGAATTACAAACTTTTTAGTAGATGGCTGACAACTTTGTGACGTCCCGTTGTGTTTTCGTCTTCGCTATCATTATTATCATCATGGCTCACATCACTATCAAAGTTAATGTGTTGTAATTCATTCATAGAGGAACTGCCTTCTTCTGCAATGTTGCCTCCTCTGATTGGTCCAAGTCGACAGTCAATTTCTTCTGATGCTGCAGACTTAATAATAATAATTTGCTTTATTCCAGAAACAGTACTAGTGGTACAGTGTGGAATTTTCAGCACATATCTACAATATTTGCATCTAATTTTACAGACATTTAAAATAAGTATTAAACAAACAAAAAAAATCTGAAGACACCAACAGCAAAAAAAAAACAGGATAAGCACAAAATAATTATAAATGCGAAAAAGTACCAAAGTCTAATGCAGTGTTTGTGGTGGTAGTGTGAGTAATCCTGAATAATATAAAATTTTTAAGGTGGTGACTATGGCGTTTACAACCAATGATTGTCAGTTTAATATTGCCGAAAAGTATGGAAAATAAGAAAAAACAGCCACAAAACTAATAATTACATGATGGTTAATGACAGGACAATTTTGTAATACTCATAGTGCTAATAGAGTCGGAACCAGTGGATACACAATAGAAGGAATATAGTAAAGTACAAAAAAGGAAGCCAATGTTAATATTTTAGGTAGCTAAGTATGTTTGAGAAGGAGTTCACTAAAGAATACAAAATAAGAGAGAAATAAAAGAGCCTAAAATTATGTTGTTAATAACAGAGCAAGTCATAAGTTTCACGCTTAACTTTGTCTCTTTCGCTTAGAACACGGGCTAAGTATGGTATCGTTGAGTTCCTGTACTTGGTTGTACGAGCATAGATTATTTTATACTGAATTCTGGTTTCACTTGATGAGATACAAGGAGAGAGTTGGGAATAGAGGAGGTGTTGGGGGGGCGGAGAGTATGGTTTTAGACCATTTTTCGCATGTATTCAGATGCCTTTCAACTAATGTAGTGACGAGCTGACTGAGTTTTACACCACTAGTTCTACTGACTACCTTCAACACCCTTCTCAGAATGGCATAGTCCTTTTTCAGTAGACCAGGAAAGACTAACGGGGAGCAGTAAAGTAGAATAGGTAAGATACAAGAGTTGACAAATTGTGAAAGTAGAGGTTGGGTGATTCCAGATTGTCTAAGTTTCTTAATGTAGTAGGTAAAACAGAACACTTTCTTAGAAATCATTAGGATATGAGATGTCCAAGTAAGGTCGGAAGATAGAACTAGAGCGAGGTATTTTGCATTAGACTTAGTTTTAATTTTAGTCCCCTCAACGCAACAGGCTTCATGAGAACTTACAAGTGTTTGTAGATCTCGTTTATGCCTAAGGGAGAAGTCAATAGTCTGGCATTTTGAGGGATTCAGCATGAGACCATTTAACTTAGACCACTGACTGATGTCCGACAGGAAGCTATTTAATTTGAGACAGTCTGACCGAGACTTGATCTAATTAGGGGAGACAATGCTGAAGAAGAAAAAGAAGCTGATTTCTCTGTGAATGAATTACAAGACACCAGAATCCGAAAGCCAGGATAGGCCTTCATCAACCTGAAATCAGCCCTCAGTCAACATAAAGAAAAATATTAGGATTTTCATGACAAATGTGAAGTCAGCCATTTCTTCTATATAGGTTGGAAACTTGCATTGCGCGTGTGTCACGGAAAACATTTCCAATAGGCCAGTGCAGACTTTTATCAACAGCGGCCTTGGCTAGCTCGATATTATGAAGATCATACAGCCACAAAGAATTAGCATCAAAGAACTCTGAGAACAAATCAACAACCAAGAGCCGATTGCTCAACAAATACCCAGAAGAAAATGGAGATGAATTAAGCACACACTGAGGAAGCCGTCGAATGACATCGCTCGAGTGGAATCCTAATGGGAAGCGACGAGTGGTTTGTTCAAGTGTGACATGGAGGAAATCGTGTGAGGAGGAGATCTGTGACTATGGGCAATCGTGGGCGCAGTTGAAGAGGACAGCAGAAAATAAGACGAAGTGGAGATGTGTTATTGAAGCCCTATATTCTACTCAGAACCCAAGGGAATAATAATAACGTTGATAATAATGAGAGCGAAGACGAAAACACAACAGGACGTCAAAAAGATGTCAGCCGTCCAGTAGACTTTTGTAATCCAAATAAATGAGATACTCACAGAGTCAATAAATACGCAATCTTCTACCCATTTAAGGCCTTCAATTATTGGCTTTCCAAATGATTTTGGTAGTGTAATTACTGTTGAATATCAGTTAAATTTCGATGTTATCTTTGGAAACCAGCGTACCAAATTAGAGGTGTTGATTAAGAAGCGATATTCGCTATTCTTTATCAATGTTTGACGACAAAAACATTTAGAATGTTACAGTTTATTGATAACACTGGTTTGATAATTCCACACTTGACTTATGTAAGTGATGAAAAACCACTGCGATTCCCAACTAATTTAAAACGAAAGTTTGAACGATCTTGCGACGTCCACATCATGATCCGTGTCACTAGCCAGAGCCTATCCCGCAGTTAAGCTCGTTCCCGTCTAACGAACAACTTGCTCTTTGGTACAATCAAAAATCGATAGATATCCTTCTCATGTTAACTCCAACTGTATATGCAAATTTACATGTATATGCGGAAGCAGTTACACTGGAACAACAGAAAGAAGGGCATATCTACGATTTTCTGAATATGTACCAAAAAGCTTATGTCTAAAGGGAACAAATGCTTTAAACAGTGCCATCGCCAGGCATCTCCTTGACACAGGTCATGAGGTGGACGTCGCAAAATTGTTTAAAACTATCAATAGGCAAAAGTGTTTAATTCTCCTCAAGTTTGTTGAAGCCATTTCCAACAAGCCCCTGAAACCTGATTTATTCGTTCAGAAGGAAACAGTTATCAGTCTTTCTTCACCCTGCATGGTAACTGGATATTTTCATCTCTCTTTCATCTGTATACGTAATGGCGAAAAGTTCCCATTGTGTATGATCACTATTGTTCGGAATAGTGTTTAACATTATATATATTTATATACTATTACTGTGTGCATATATTGATTGATTTTTGTTTAAAAATGAACTATCTGTGCAAATATGTTAAAATTGTTTCTGTTGATATATTTAATAATGACTGTGGCCTGTAAGCAGCTGATGAGAATCCAACGAAAAACGAATGATGGTACCACTTTATTCTGCGAAACCTGTAGTTCTCGCTTTATTCAAATTACTAGGAAAGGACTGACAAATAGACGAAGAACTTTGTACAGTTTAAGTTGCCATAAATTGTAAAGGCAGACACAAGAAGCATAAATGCCGAAAATTGGTGTGAAGGAGAGAATAATTATATGGATGTTATTGAAGACATTCATAAACGGCAAGATACAGTATGAACATAGTTTTACCACAACCAACCATTTGAGCTATTCAAGAAGTGTTTCGGGCATTTAGAAGTCATGACCAGAAAGGGTTCACCGTCTGAAGCGTGAAGTGGCTGTTCATCGATGCCATTTGTTCATGGTGACTCTGTATCGTAAAATGAGAGAAGTTAGTAATTACAGGTCGCTGGATTCCAACCAAGTGGTTGCATGGAAAACAGCCTGGCCTTGGGGTCTTTATCCTCGATGGATTCTTAGTGCGCACTGCTAAAGAGTTGCACAGTAAGATAGAGCAGCTGTCCCGTGGTTGTCCAAAACTTCCCAACTGATTTGTTTATTGATGGAATCTGCCCTGAGATCAACCAGCATTAGCACAAGTCTGAGAATTATGAAAAAGTATCACAAACGACATCACTATAGTTGCTTATCAGTTTGACTGTTAATCATGTTGGTCAATTATAATGACACTGTTCGCCTGTGTTCTCAAGTTATTTTAGAGTTTTAAAAGTCAATCTGAATGAAGAATATTCTTTTCCATAATTTCTCCTCTTCAGCTTCTTACAAAAATAAAATATATTTGTCGTCGTTACAATAATGGCCAGTTATGCGGCGGATACATTTTTAATGTAGAATAACAGATCAGGTATGAGATGTCCAGAAATAAATAGTCGTATTTGTGTGACAAACGTCGTGCTAGGCTGAAATCGATTACAAAATATTGTCAAATGGGAGACAATGTTGGTGATTAGTCATAATAGATTTGTAGAGTGAGGGGTAGGAAAATTGACAAGTCAGTTCAAGGCAGGTTCGTCTATGGGTTCGAGAACATTTACCAGCTTGATTCAGCAGGGGGAAATTAAGTGCATAAAACGCTCGATCTTGTCACACTTGGTCGATACTGGACACCACATCGATGTCAACACAGCTTTCAGGGTTGTATACCGGATTCAGAAGTCGTTATCACGTACAGTTCGGTTACGTTTCCTACACATAGCTGAAGCTGTTACAATAAGATCGGCTAAACCGGAACTTTGTATCCAAAAAGAACACCTCCAGACCCTAGTCCTACTGTGGTCAAACTTGATCTGATGATTCTTCTTCTCATCAAGAGTGCTTCTTCCCCTCTTGGTTTTTTCTTCCATTGCTTATTATTACAATTATTATTATTGGTCTAAATTTATAACCTTCGTGCAAACATTCTGTCAATACTATCGAATTTTTCATTTATACTATCCGCAATTACTATTAATAATATTACCTCTTTTCTCAGTATATGCCTCTACCTGTTTCATTTCACACATTCGTTATTTCATTATGAACCTCTCATTGCAGTCTTACTATCTATCTCCTGTTTAATACATACCACTTTGTACTAGCCACTCACCTGACACCTTTTGTAACCGTGACCTTATCTATTATGACTAATCACCAACATTGTCTCCCATTTGACAATATTTTGTAATCGATTTCAGCCTAGCACGACGTTTGTCACACAAATACGACTATTTATTTCTGGACATCTCATACCTGATCTGTTATTCTACATTAAAAATGTATCCGCCGCATAACTGGCCATTATTGTAACGACGACAAATATATTTTATTTTTGTAAGAAGCTGAAGAGGAGAAATTATGGAAAAGAATATTCTTCGTTCAGATTGACCTATAATTCATGATATGGGAATATTTGACACTATTAAATTATAGAGTATGAGTACACGCAGGTTCCCTAGTTTATTCCCACCTTCTAACATTCACTGATCTTCAGATATTTGTTGTGTTTTTTTCCCGTTTTATTTTTAAAGATAATCTTCAAATCAACTACATATGGAAAAATAATATCACAATTAACTCTTCATATTCATATCCGGCCACCAATAATTGATCAGAGTTTTCGGTGTTTTCATCCTGAATTAAGTTTCTTGAAGAAAATTTTACGTCTTCCTCGAAGTGCTATAGATTGGAGGAATATTTATGCTGCGAAACAAAATACAATTCAACAGACTAACCATCAGCTGTGGACTAGAGTTTCTGATCCAGATGTTTTGACTTTATCAAATGTCCAGGGGGATACAGTTGATATATTGATTAAAGTTGGTCTAGGGAAATCACCACAAGTAAGATGATTGGAGTATTTTATAATAAATAACTGATTTAGTTTTGTTGAATCAAGATATGCGGTAAAACACAAGTAATTCATTTGCATATATTTGTTGATTGATTACTATCTAATTTCTTTATTGTGTGACACTACAAAGATTCTGTTTTGAAATGGAACCTTCTATCATTTTACTTTTTAATCGACTGTTATACGCATTATTTTCTTCATCCTGAAACATCGTTATCAAACCGCCTTGACTATAAGGAAAAGGAAATGTGACAACATTGTATGAAAGCAAACTAAACCCATCTTTTTCTCATATTCCAGTAAATATTTCCCCTAGAAGTGCTTGTTTCTACAACTCAAGAATTTGGATCCACTCAATAAATTATTCTGTCTGTCCCTCCCTCTCTCTTTTTTCGACATAGAACTTTGTACAGATGGGCAGCAGTTCAAGTTGCCACACTCCCTTCATGTAGAACACAAAACAAGAGAAGAAAGTAGAACAAATGCATTATAGAGACAGTAGACAGGGATATGGGACAGAAGGAATAGTAATAACGAAGAACAATATAGTTTCATTGGAGATTATAAGTCACAAGGAGTGGATGCATCTGCGCCATCCAGTGAGAACGATTTTGAGCCATATCAATGATTGTCTCCAGCAGTCATTGGTGTTTACCGACCTGACGACCCTAACCAGAAAGTCTACACCCTCCTACGTGGCCAGCTTAAACTAACTGCTTTGGATTTCATTGACTGATGAAGCCATGTTTTGGTTTCACCACCACTTACTAGCTCTTTTCCAGCCTTACCCTATGTCATCTAACATTCCCCATCGAGGAAGGCGATGGCTATTCATACGTAACACATGTCCTAACCATCTCAGTCTATGTAGCTTCACAGCCTCATCGATTGATTTCCCCTCACACCTACCTAGCACTCGACGTCTAACCTCAGTATTGCTCACTCAATTATACTACTTCACACGAGAGATAGAACGTAGGCACCTATGATCAAAGATAACTAGCCAGCCTTTTCATGTCTTCAACTCAGTGGCCATGTCTCGCTCACAACCATAAAGCTGGACGGAGCAGACTGTCGTTGAGCAGTACACCCGCCCTTTGGTCGATGGCCGGATATCACCTCTGCGCCAGAGACGGCGTAGACTGGCATATGCGAAACTAGCCTTCTGTATCCATGCTGAGATTTCGTCAGAGATCAACCGGTTAAGGCTGATGCAACTTCTCAAATAAGTGAAGCGGTCAGTGTGCTCTACCACTTCACTCCCTATTTCTAAGCTAGGAGTCAATGTAGTCCAGTCATGTAGCATCATCTGACACTTGGTAGAGGGAGCGAATCGCATGGCAAAAATTTGAAGATTACAGCTCCTCAAAGTGTTCAGAAGACTCTGCATTTTGTCAGCGTCTTCACTCAAGGAGGGACGACTATATCATCTGCATATTCTAAGTCAACCAGATTATCCCCTAGTAACAGATCAATCCCTGAGTCACTGAATTCAGTTAGGGTTAAATCCATTAGTACATCTATAATGAAACTGAATAGAAATGGTGATAGTGGGCATCCCTGTCGGACACCAGTAGTTGTCACCACTTCAGATGACAACTCGCCGATTTACCACTCCCAGCCATGCGGGATGACATTTTAACACTGAACTTGTGTTATTTTACCCTTGATCATAAAGCTTAGTCAAATTGTGACCGTTCTAATACGACTTACTCATATTACTAATGGGTGTATTTCTGATTACAAGACAAGCTCATAGACCTTTCATCCACTGGGACTACATACAAGGTCCTATGAATTCTAACTTCTGACAACTCGTGATTTTAGCTCGACTACCAAACAATGCTATCGATGAGTATATATCCTTACTCCCGACTGAATGGACCCCACTGGTTAGGACATCTCACAAAAATTCACTAAAATAAGTTCGCCATGGACAGCTAGCCAGTGCCTCCTGGTTTTCACTGGTTCTCTAACTGATATCGATGCGTAGTCGAAACAGCAACAAATCAAACTAACGTTTGATAATTAATCTGGTGCTCGCTAGTGACTGGCTACATGACAAAGTCACCTGGAGTTTAGGTGAGGAGTCGGTGACTAGGGGACTTCATCCTGTCGGAAGTGAGAACAAACACCTACCGATGATAATGTCCGATGGTCGCGCTAAAATCACGAATTAGCAGAAGTTAGTATTCATGGGCTAGCCATTGAGTCAGTTTCTAGTGGCTAAACGGCCAACAAACTTGACCTATAAAACCGGGAGGTCTTGGGTTCAAATCCCAGTGGGTAAGTACTGTCGACTGCATTTCTGCAAGGTAGATTAATTCATACTCAGAAAATTGTTTTTCAAAATATAGGATATTAAGTCGTATGACCAATCATGGTTTTTCTATATATAATGTCAATAATCTGATTAAGTGTCATCCACTATGTTGCATTGTTTCTACATAAATGCTTCTTTACCCCCTGTCCACTGTTTTCTTCTTAAATTGAAAAAGTACAAAGAGACAGAGAAGAAATATTTGTTGGTAGATTGATGATTATGACTTCCTATGCATATAATGACGTCTTTTTTCTGTTCATTTAAGGTACGTGAATTTCTAATCAGCGTCTACATAGAACCTTTTCAAATTCGTCCAGCGTATATCTGGCACTGGGCTGTACATTCACTTCAACGAGTCGATGCTATTGCAACAGTTGGACAGTTATCCGCTCCATTAGGATTATTATTACGTACAGATGACTGTTCCCCAAATATTGGTACAAAACGTGTCAGTGTATACACTAGTCATCCCAACGAAGTTATAATTGGTACAGAATTTAATTCCAGTAGTTTTCAACAGAATCCTATGGGGAAAGAATTGACATTATCTGTTTCATCACGTTCTGTTTATGAATTGAAGGTTAGTTTATTTTGTTAAGTCTATTTTTTTTAAGTTTCCGTGGCTATTGGGTTGTGTTTTTTACTGGATGGAATCGCTAGCCCCCCACAGCCAACCTTTCCTCCTTTTTCGGGCATGGGACAGGTTAGTAGATTAGGGGACTAGGCGAAAGGTGCTGCAGAAGTCATCTGTTTCACTCAGGACCCAAGGGGTGAATGAAAACATAAAAAGTCACTTGATCACAGGGAATAATAAAAAGACAGCTACAGAGTAGAAAATCTTCTTTCCGACGAAGTCATCAACTAGGCTGTACATTCGTGTATTTATTATAAATGGGTGAGAAAGTTCTAGGATAATTTCCGGTCAAGGGTCAAATTAATAAAATTACAATTGGGAATTAAAACGCCATAATAAACAGGGGGACGGATAAAACTCAAACAAAGTGGCATCATAACTATTGGGAAGACTGACATATTGTGAAACTGGGAGTTACAAATGTAGAAATAACAAAAATAGACAGGATGTTCGGATGAAAAATATAGTGGGATCATAACTAATGTGACGAACAATTGTTTATACAATCAGGAATTAAATATGCAGAAATAATAAAATAACAAAATAAACAGGAAGTTCGGATATGAAAATATAGTAGTGTAAATAGGGATCAAGAAGACCTTGAAAATAAAATGAATAAACAGGAGGTTTGGATTAGAAAGGCAATGGGATAGTGATTACTAAAAGAATTGCCTGTTTATGATGGCCATAGCAGGGACAAGGGTTGGACGTATTTCTTTTGGATACAAAGCGTGGGTTTGAGCTTATTATGGCGTTTTAATTCCCAATTGTAATTTTATTAATTTGACCCTTGACCGGAAATTATTCTGGAACTTTCTCACCCATTTATTATAAATACACGAATGTACAGCCTAGTTGATGACTTCGTCGGAAAGAAGATTTTCTACTGTGTAGCTGTCTTTTTATTATTCCCTGTGATCAAATGTGCATATCCGGTGATTAAAAGTCATTTTATTGAACTTTCGATTAAAACTGACTGTTAAACGTTTCCAACAGTGTTTTGGTTGAACGGAATATGAAAATTCAAATAGAATTTCAATTTAATTAATGCTCTCCTTTAAACACCCAAATATTGAACAGTAACTTTCGCATAATTAAGACTTTCAATAAGCATTATTGTTCCCAGTTATCTGTAATTTCAATTTTCTGTTGCTGATTAATGTGAACTTTATCGACTAGTTCGTATAAACTGAAACCTCAATATAGTCTTGAATTCCACTTATTTTCCGGTGGTGAGATACACGGTGGGTATTGCATTTCATTTCAGACAATACAGACGAAAGAAACAGGGATAGTGATAGTTTGGGAAGAAAATTTAGTAGCACACCTTGAGGATGTATCATACAATTGTCTATGTTATAAACACTAGTCTAGGAGACATTGCAAACGAAGTGCATTCAGAGGTAGTAGCGATGTTTCATAAATGTTACTCTTTGACAAACTGACAACATTTATTGGGTATTCGGTTCTCTGGAGAACAAACTAGTTCATTCCAAAAATATTTATAATGTAGACAATTGGAATTTTATGGCTTTATTCATATTCATTCATCGTTAATTTCACTGAATATACGAATCACCATCTTCCAGGTTTACGCCGAATGATAGCTGCTACCTTGAAGTGGTGGTATGGCTTGCATATCACAATGACCTACCGGACCACACAGTCTGGAACCAATCTTTTTGCTAGTTCTACCATGCCAGAAAGGTCGTTTAGACAGTGGTTGGACTAAAAGCAGTTACCATCGTTTACAGTATGTTGAGGGTCTGAGAGCAAAGTCGTACTTCTGACGGATAAGGATGTAACAACAATAAACTGTCTCCCTCAGATGACCAGCAAACCATCTATGCTGCCTCTTCGCTCTAGGGAAGGAGCTTCAAAACAAGATCGACCGAGAAAATTGCACACCTCAACTTACCTTGCGGCGGTAACATCTTAATACGGACAGAACTCCAAAAATCACTTCCAACAGGCCGTACGTCTGACCTCTGTGGTCACGCAACACTAATTCTCCTTCTGTTTTAGGCGCTTCAAGAAAGAATCAACTTCTGCTGTGTGGACATCCGGGAAGTAACAACCGCGTGCACACTTCTACAAGCATATAAAGCTTTTCTGATCAATACAGTACTTCATTTCTATCTTTTCCAGGTTTGATATATGCGTTTCTGCTTATCTAAGATAACCAACGTAGAGTGATTAGAAGGTGGATATGAAACTTATTTTGCAAAATTTATGTTTTTAATGGGGAAATCACGGCAGTAACACACCCTCATTCATCTACATATTAACTAAGAACACCGAATTTCTTGTCTATCACCTACTAATTTTTAACCAAATTATAAAAAACCCAGAAGAACATAATTACAACAAAAATTAAACTCTGTTTGATGAAAATATTTTTACCATTGTGAAGGTGAAATTATGTCCAAGATCCTCTGGTAAGAAAGTCTATCAAATCAATGTGGTGGATATAGATAATCAACGAGTAATACGTGCTTGGATTTTATGCGTCGACGCTAGGCAACCAGAAGTTACAAAATCGTTCAACATAAAACTGCCTAAACGCGGTATTAATGAATCTTGTAATAAGCGTGTTTCTTATACTAATCCATACAAATGTAATAAAACGTTGGTACTAGAAACTAACAGACCTGACCTGCTGAAGTTCAAGGTAAGTTTCACAATTTATCGTTATATTTTCCTCGGAATGAATAAGTTGGGATGAGTTCAGTATTAATAGTGCTTAGAATCTGTGTAGTGTACATTGTACCTTCCAACTTTTGTTTGAATGAACTCAGTCTGACCTTTAACCCAACTTCCACTTTGTATTCGTGAACCTCCTGTACGGTTTCGGTTTCACTCTCTCGCTGTACTTTCATCCAGTACACTCTCCGAGCTGACCACCGTCTCACCTGCAGATAAGTGTGTACCTCTTATTTCTTATCAAATTCTATATCTCTTTTGTGTAAATACAATTCTGTTGCAGTCACACTTGCCATCCCAAGTCTTTTAACCTTGATTCCGTTCGTTAGTACTTGCACGTTAGGCAGAGTACGATTAAGGCCATAAGCGGTGAAGAAGTTTTGTAAGAGTGGTTACTTTTAGGTCGAAGTTAATCCTAAGTCTAACTCTTACATCTGAATTCATTTGGTTGGCTTTAAACTGATCGGTTCATCCCACCTAATTGATGGTGTTCTTATCGAAGTAGTAACTATACGCCTGTCGCTCTCATTTACTATATTCTAATACAACAAGCAAGTTTTTATTCCACTACTGATCGAAATTATCATATTGTCTTAACAGTTAAAAAGCAAGTAGTATTGTAACGACAGAAGACAAGGGCCAGGCAACAGATCGTTTATTGGGAAAATCAAGAGGTATTTACATATTTTTATGTACATTATTATTCGTTATTATTAGCAGAGAAACAGCGTCTTCTGATTGGTTGTTTCCTCGCTGAAAGTTATTCTGTCATCCCTTTGTGGGCATTTCTTTGAAGGTCACACCATATATCTGTGAATCCTATCCGCCTGCGCTAAGTCTTTGTTCTTGTTTTTTCTCATGACCAAGATTCAGGACGTAAACATTGACGTAAATTGCTTGCTGTCTACCAATTTTGGCTGGTGGATAGCTCTCACCACAGTAATATAGATATTATAAAGAGTTCATATATTAATAGAGGTGACTATGTTAGATTTAATGAACTAAATTTGTACTTCAACTGAACACTAGACAACAGGTAATGAATGTCAAGCGTCTAGTCCTTTGTTTGATGCAGACTAAATTCTACCAGCCAAGTTCGCAATGTGGCCACCAAGGTAGCTCACCATCACACTGTACACTCAATTGGTGTTATTAGGTGGTTGGAGACAATCAACAGGAAGTCTTGGACCTAGGTTTCGTGCTTGTTGGCACTCATCAGTAATGCATAATTGTAGCATCTAACATGAAGCTGCTTAGTAAAATAATACTGCTAATAATAGGTAATACTGGTGGTCTGATGTATCTAAATGGTGATACGACACTCCGGTGACGAAGACTTGTAAATTCAAACAGCCAATCAGTTTGATGTTTACATTGACAGCCTGTCAATCTGTACAACACTAAAGAAGTTACTGACTACTCCGTGTAAATCATTATTTGGTTTGGTTGGAGTTTTTGAAAACGTTTGAAATCAATAGTGTTCTCTGAGCTGGTTAGTTTAGTTGCAGAGCTTTCGTCGTACATCTGGACAACATCTTCAGCGTAATTTTTAGCGTAAAGTGAACTGATTTAAATTTCTTCATGAGTGACAGAAACTTGTATTCGTCAATTCCATTTCATATAAGTTTATTTGATATAATGTATAATGATACATAAGAAGAACTGAATAATGTTTCCAGTATACTTTACTGCTCCTGTGATAATCACAGGGGATTAGCTTGACTAATATAGTATCTAAAGTGCTAGGCTCAATAATAATGCGTAAACTTGACCTAAAGGCGGCATTCGATTCTGTTGACTAAGAAGTACTCTGTCGATGCTTGGCTATAAAGGCAATGCCGAGAAAATACATTGCACTGTCCAAGGCCCTCTACTCGAACTCATGCAGTCAGCAAGATGAGAGGTTACGGCGAGTTGTCATCTGAAGTGGTGACAACTAGTGGTGTCCGACAGGGATGCCCCCTATCCCCATTTCTATTCAATTTCATCATAGATGTACTAACCCTAACTGACTTCAGACTCAGGGATTTACTTGTTGGCAGGGAATAATCTCGTCGACTTAGAATATGCAGATGATATAGTCGTCCCTCCTAGGTGAACACGCTGATAAAATGAAGTCTTCTAAACACCTTGAGCTGCAATATGCGAATGTTTGGCATGCAATTCACGCGCTCCTGTCAAATGTAATATGATCATTGCTACAGGACTGGACTACATCGACTCTTAGCTTAAAGACAGGGAGGTAGTGAAGTGGTTGGTGGAGTGTGTTGACAACTTCACTTATTTGGGAAATTACATCAGCCAGCGCCAGCGGGTTGATCACTGACGCAATCTCAGCACGGATACAGAAGGCTCGTTTCGCATATGCCAGTTTACACCGTCTGGCGTAGACGTGATATTTGGCTATCGACTAAAGGGCGTGTGTACCGCTCATCAGTCCGATCCGTCCTCCTTTATGGCTGTGAGACCTGGCCATTGAGAGTGGAAGACATGGAAAGACCAGCTAGCTGTCTTTGATCATAGGTGTCTGCGTTCTATCTCTCGTGTGAAGTAGTATAATAGGGTGAGCAATATTGAGGTTAGGCGTCGAGTGCTAGGTAAGGAGGGAAAATTAGTCGACAAGGCTGTGAAGTTACACAGATTGAGACGGTTAGCATATGTGTTACGTATATTTAGCCATCGCCTTCCTCAACGGGCAATGTTGGCTGACACAGGGTTAGGTTGGAATAAAACCACTGGTGGTCAAACCAAAACATGGCTTCATCAGCCAACCAAATCCACAACATTTAGTTTAAGCTGGCCATGTTAGGAGGTGTAGACTTCCTCGTTGGAGCCCTCGAGATGGTAAAAGCCAATGGCTGGAGACTATTGGTGATATGGCTCAAAATAGTTCTGTGATGGTGCAGATGCATCCACTCCTTGTGACTTATAGTATCCAATAAAGCTACATGCTTCTTTAATATTACTATTCTTTTTTCCCTCGTATCTGTAAACAGTCCCTGTCTTGCATTTCTCTTTACTTTCTTCTCTTGGATTGTGTGCTAAGTAAAGTGTGGTGACTCGAACTGCTGCCCATCGGTGTAAAGTTCTATGTTGAAACCAGTCAGTCAGTCGAGCAACAAGGTTCAGATTTCAAACACTAATGTTATTTCAGTCAGTGCCTCCATATGCTACATAGACTTGGCCCACCACTGAAAGCATTTCCAGCAAGTTATAGACTTTCTTCAACAGCCACCGTTGCCACATACTGAAGAACATATAGCTAGAAAGGATCAACAACTAGGAACTCTGGCATCGAACCAACCCAGGACTCGTTGCCCAATAAATATAACAGAGGAAATAAAGATGGACCGGACACACTATGATAGCATGCGCCATACCCCCGACTGGAACCCGAATGGGAAACGACGAGTTGGGCTCCCGAGAACGAAATGGTGTGAGGTGAAATCCTATGGGCGATTTCGGAACTAGCTAAAGAGGAATACAGAAAATAGAATGAGATGGAGATGTGCTGATGAAGTCCTATGTCCCACTAGGAACCTAAGGGAATAAAAATAAATGAATAAGGTTTGTCAATTCAAAACACAGTAACAAGAGAACCATAAAAGTGTTTGAGTCAACCACTGTATGAAACCATCTGCATAAAAAAATCGTCTTACTGTCATTAACGCATATCAGTTTTCATGACTTAAAATAATAATCAAAAAGGATGACTGAAAGAGTTTTAAGGGAATATTTGTCACACCTTCACAACTAGAGTGGTAAGAGAAACACCTTGTATCCAGATAACAGTACATTTTATAGTTACACACCTTTTTTCATTACCAAACTTTTTAACTTTTATGACAAAATGACATCTTTTTTCTGACTTTTTTTTATTATATTCATATGGCTGAAAAAGGAATCTATCCTAGACATCCCAGCTGGAGGAACTATTCAAATCGGGCTACGCTTCATTCCGAGAGTAACCGTTAATTCAGAACAGATATATATCTTTATTAAGGATGAACAAGAAAAACTTCTGGAAACTTTCTTAGTAATTGCCCAATATGATTAGTGTTATTTCTTGTTTATCTTATTTTTAATTTCTAATTAAAAATTTTTTGAAATTACTTTAATCATGAATATATGCATTCAACGGGATCTTTAGTTTTCATTACTGCTAGTAGAAAGAGGTGCTATGTGAGCTATAGTTTGATAACATTTGGGCATTATAAAGGGGAGTTAGATTCAAGGCATACTTTGTTTTACATTACGATGTTTCATCGCCTTCAGTTTAAGAAAAGTCTGAACTGCGTTGGTAGCACAACGGTTAGGACGCTCACCCAACATGTATATTGGTCCAGGGTTCGATCCCCGGCCGACGTACAATCGATATCAATGGTCGGCGTGCTAAATTTGGGCTGCCGATATCACACGCTGAAAATTCTATATATGTAGCAAAATACTGTTTGGAATTAAGCTTTACTAAATTTTTAAAAATAATCTTTTGTACGCACAGATCGTTATTTTAGTCCTTCGAATTGCAGTGACGATTCAGTTTCATCCTTGAAATTTATACAATCGACTGCGAAAATCCAAGTAGTTGAGAATAACTCATGAGTAAAATGTGACTCGACATAGGCATTGAACTTTAATTCTTGAAATTAAAGTAGGCATATGAATGATGTCAGTAAAAATGGTTATACGCACTAATCAAATCACAACTCACAAGTTATAGTACCCACTGTTGAAAGCAGAATTTCTGTCTGTCTGTCTATTTGCAATATAGAACTTTGCACCGATGTTCGGCAGTTCAAGTCGCCACACCCCTTTCATGTAGCACACACAAAGGAAGAGAAGAAAGTAGAAATGCAAAATAGAGACAGTAGACAGGGTTATGAGACAAAAAGAATAGTGATGACGAAGAACAATATAGTTTCTTCGCAAATTATAAGTTACAAGGAGTGGATGCATGTGCGCTAGCCATTGAGACCGATTTTGAGCCATATCACCAATTGTCTGTATCTTTCATTGGTATTTACCGTCCCGAGGACGCCAGCCAGGAATTCTACACCTCCCTACATGACCAGCTTAAACTAAATGTTGTGGATTTCGTTGACTGGTGAAGCCATGTTTTGGTTTGACCACCAGTGGCTTTATTCCAACTTGACCCTATGTCAACTAACATTGCCCGTCGAGGAAGGCGATGACTAGGTTACGTGTGCCTAGTCATCACCTTCCTCGACGGGCAGAATTTAAAGAAAGTGAAGGTTCATTCCGCATAAGCGTGAAGTGCGAAGCTGAGTAAATCAATCATCCTAGAACGTCGAAGGTATATTTATTTATTATTATCCTTAGTTTATCTTGGTAACCTATACCTAACGAACAGAATGCGTACTGCGACCAATTTCAAATAGCCAACAGTAAATAGGATGAAATATCCAAAAAATAAATAAATATACTTGCCTGAAAGTATTAAGAACACAAAATTCAATAAAGAGACTTTTAACGAATTTATTATCAAACTGTACAGTCATATATATATATATATATATATATATATATATATATATATATATATATATAAGTTTTTAGACACTATATCCCTTGAGGAATTTCAAACAAAAATGTGAGTACTTGAGTAATAATAATAATATGGAATACGACAAAATATTTTTCATTATAGTCATAGTTCAGTACCAAGTTGTAAAGCAGGTTACGTAATATATAAAATATTTCACACATATTAGGGAAGGATGTAAGATAAGAGGGATTAGCAGGCAAATTAAAATACTACACAACAGAGTGAGAATTTTGATAAGATAGAGTTTCACATTGTAAAAAATATACCGAATTAGAATAATAAATGGGAAAAGTGATATAATGGTAGAATCCGTTGGAAATGAAAATACTAACAATAACAACAGCAATAACAAGGGGAAGGCACAAAGGACATAAAACACAATATCTTATCCATTCTTCCTACTCTAAGGCCAAAGTAATAGTAAGGATTATATATACTTTTTTTGTGTACGATGGCCTAGCTTAACTTCATAGATGACGAAGCCCTCCGTCGCCTTTAGAAGTTTGGAAAGGAGAAAACGCAGCAAGTTAGCATTAATCCGACAGGTGATTTTAAAGTCACTGTCAGGGTTGGTTGGGTATTATATAATACAGAATTCATGATTCTTGAAACAATTAAATACTTGAGAAACACGGTTCTATCACGACACAAAAATTTACTTTGTGCTCCCTTTAAATTCCGTCCTACCCGCTGCTGCCAAAAGGTGGTTGCTTATAATATTGTCACTTCAAAAGGTCATCTGGAAATGTAGTCCACTTAGACGCAGCAAGACTCATAAAGTACAAAACCAATTCGCAGAAAAATCTCATGTCTACGAAAGCAACCCAGAAAAGTAAGGCACTATTGGTGGATAGTCCCGGCCCGGTGAATTCAATCCATGCAGTTCCACCGGAATCCTCTTTCCAATTCATCTGTAAGGTAAGGCTAAATGGTAAAAGGATCTTATTTCTCGACATTTATGTATGGCATTAGCGATTCATCAGCATAACATCGAACTTTGCACGTAGAAAATCTGTTCAATCCCTTTATCTACCAGCCTTCCAGTGAAAGTAAATGCATAGCGAAAAAGTGTAACATTGAGTAAACACTAAACTATATGTTGCGAAACAAACTGTGGGTTTAATGGTCCTTTCAACTCAGTAAACAGCCTACTAACCCCGATGAAAGTAAATTTCAGTGCGAGTTATGCTTTAATATTCCGGTATGCAAGTCAAAATAGCCTGTCGAGCAGCTGGTAGTTTAAAAGCAGCAACCACATGTGGATCAGTATGTTTTGAAATGTCCCACGAGTCCTATAGACTGATAAGATTATCGAATACCCAAAGCTTTCTAGCCAAGGCAGAGTCTGACCTTTTGACTGAGTAACTATAAAACCTTTCGAGAAATGGGGAAATACCAAACCCTGTTTTCTTGACTGATCAAAACGAAGCAGGAAGGAATATATTGGCAAGATAAAGTGAGCTCCATGTCTACCTAGGGAAGCTGGAAAAGAATTACTCCAAAACTATGGTACACATCGGCACTAGAATCTGAACGCATCAAATAGCGTATGAATCTGTTTTTGCCCCCGGAATGCAGCCCCCGACGCTGTTCTACAACCTTGTGTACGAGACTTCAAGTCAAGAGCTCGGGGCGGCCCCTTAACATCCACTTCAGTCTGGATATCCGGACAGTATTCCAGTCCTCGCACAAACCATGAAATTTTGTGTAGCGCATTTTTCGGTGCCCATGATGTTCTAAATTTGCATTTTAATAAAATAATATTTGTTCACCTGTTAACAGTTTAACAATAAATTTATTGTGCAAATTCATAAAACACTCCAAAAATCATCTCAACTCAGAGGGCATAGGAGTGGGATACAAGTTGATAATCCGACAACCAGATGTTATTAACACATGCGATCAACAGCACATGGTGGGAATGAAAGGAAATGGTAAATAATATTAAAACCACTACGTAAACGAACAATTAGGTAAATTGGAAGATCAATATCTAACAATAGAACAGTAACCCGGTAATAAGATTCTTTTTCGATCCTGTTTTTAATGTTACAGTTTCTTGGATTTTCACTCAGTAAGCCGAATTCATCAAGGCGGAAGTAGCAGATGCACTATTCATGAACAGTAAATCTTAAGATTGTTAATTATTTTTAGGGCAGGTGAAGCGAATAAATGAAGCAATGCAAACCAACAAATACTTACTCAAATAACACTGAAATTCTGTTAGAGTGAGCACAGAGTACACAATAATCCGTAGGCAAAGATTAATGAGATTCTTGTTCAAAAAGTAGCTGAAGGCAACTATTTCGTGGCCACAGACTGACTTCATTGGAAGACTCAAAGGACTACTAATACAAAAATAAATGTAGAATACAGGATGCTTTATTTTCGAAAATTTTAGGTACAACTATTGAGACCCAAAGTTGGTAAACTGATTCTAAATTATTTGATCTAGCTCTCTTGTGTATTCCAGCATAACCTTTGTTACGTCAGCTGATGGGATGCCTTCGTCTGTTTGTTTGGTATTTTTAGGGAAGTGAAAGATGCCAGCTTCAAGTTTCCATCCCCGCTAAACAAGAGTTCAGATTAGTAGAATTGATTACCTTTTCTCCAAAAGCCTTAGTCCCCTCCTCAGAATCAAAGAATAATATGGGAGTAGCATCCTTCAGTGACAAACTTTCATAGGCAGCTTCTACACAAGACGCAACCTCATCTCTAGTGAACGTATGTATGAGTATAAACATCTAACCTGGTTGTATTCAAGAGGATATCAATGAAGAAATCATATCTCTTTGATGGCACGTTACCTTTAGATAAGAAAACCTTGTGGAAACTGCCTTCCATCAGGTACTGCTCCATGGAAACTGGGTGATTTATATACACACTAGAAGTTATTTCCTCTATCGTAAGACGTTCTAGTTCCTAAGACGAAAATGAACAATAACTCCAACACTTACTGTATGAAATTCAGACAACCTGCATTGAGCCAGTAAACGAAGCAAATTTAGTCCTAGTAACTCGTACTTGTAGGCCGAATCTGGAAGATTTGATCTATGGACGAAGTCAAAATAATTGTAATGTTTACTTGTAATCATAATAGTAACACTTCAACTGAGACATATAATGTTCGAAAGCAGGGATATCTTGCTTTTCTGAGGCCAGCATAGTGGCTATTTCAAGTGTACTCCCTTAACAATTGAAGTCAGTAGAAAGGGTTTGCTTACTAGCAATGAGAAGTTCACGTCTAGAAGCTTCAGATTCATTTTTAGGGAGGAACGAACACCTAGTTAGTGCAGACTGCAACTGTCAAAATCAGTCGTCAAACTTACGGTAATTTCTTTAACCCGTTCGAGACATTCATCAACATTGTGATTCTTCTTATTCCACTCATGATCAAGACTTTGGAATTTCCGACACAACTCATCAGTTGCCTGAGTCATACTTGAACCGCTCAAGGTGACCTTACGAAGGTCATACGAAGTTGACAAATGCAAAGCATTTTACTATTAACACGTCATTAACCTACGTAGTTTCCACTCCATTATTCTGCAGTAAGACCTAGAAGTGACAGAAATGGAACTGAATTGGTAATGGCTTAATGCCTTTAACTGCCTACGGATTGGAATACGGTGTTTTAGTAAGCATTGGAATTACTTATCCAGCTTCCTTTTAACGCAGTTGAAGCTGTTGTTATATCTAGAGGCTACTTCTGTGTGAAGACTCTGGAGAAGTAGTTTTCCACTACTTCTGCTTTTATAGTTCCATTCCAGTGGTATCTGTGTTAGTAATTAGGTTGGGCACTCAGGTGAAGACCTTATTCGTGAGGTTCATTTGCGAGAAAATTTTCTTGGGTTGTACTCATATCCCCTCAGCTTAGCGCACTTTGAATTACATCCATTAGTGACAAATTCTAGGTGCGGTATATAGCCTCATTTCCTCTAAAATTCCAAGGGTGATAAGTAGTAGTAGTCAGTCAACCACCTGGTCCACCTGAAGAGTGTGATGTTTTCGACACTTCAAAACAATATCTGGGATGTTGTTTTGAATAATCAAGTATGTAGTTGCTTGAATTGTCTCAGAGCAGCTTTCACATGAGCTCCTGGATATATAGTCCAGTCCTGTGGTGATGTTAAAGAAATGGTGGAATTGTAATAATGATAATAATAATAATAAAACAACGCATTCTCATTTTTTGTACATTAGAAATGTCAGTTTAGAGATATCAGATTAATTGAGCTGCGGTTTCGGCAGGGTATACTACAACAACATTTTACCTAAAAGTGGACGCAGTGTTATCATTAGGTGGAAAGATATCTGACAGACTTAGTGTCATCATAAGGGGCGAACCAGGTCCGAGGCTGAATAGCTATACTCAGAATCATAACATGTTGGCTGCTTGATGTGCTGGGCTTCAGATGGCTTAACGAAATGTAGCAAAACGAGCAGCTGTAACACAGGGAAGGAAGGCAGAACACGAGCTCTGAAAGAAAGTGTGTTTGGTACAATGCCCAAAATCAGACTGCGCAGGCCGAGCCCCTACAAACATTCAGACTTTTTGTCACCATAAATATCAAGCCTCGATAGAAGTGGTTCCTCTTCCTGCAGCCAAATGACTCTCGGGAATTTTCTAGGGGGAGAAATAAGAGAGCATTGTTAATTGCTCCATCTATAAAGGTTTTTATTCTGTTACAGAAGTATTCAATCCACCTACAGCTATAACGATCGTTCTTCAATAATGTTAGGAGCTTAATAGTCGACTGATGATGAGGCTAAATCGTTATAACTTTGATTTCAGTGGGACAGGTTTATCCATGAGAAAGTCATTTACTGCACTGACAGGACTGTGAAATATTGCTATGCGGTTAATATCTTGTTCAACGTATTTTAGTCAGCAGTGTAGCAGTTCGCAAGGCACACTTTCGTGTGTGACATGCTCTGTTTTACATAAAGCTAGACCATTATTAAGGCGGATTTATGATTCGTTGACTCTGCAGTTCGATCCGTATACCCTACTTCCGGTAAATATTTTTTAAGTATAAGCTCTGCATTAGAGGTTCTGCAGCAACGTTCTTCAATGTTAACTCCTATTATGTCAAATATTGTACTTTTAAACGCTGAAGTCGTGCTTTATATAATGTCTTACATTTTTGCATAGATTAGACAATTATGTAGTTCTAATTGAACTGGTGTGTTTATTTTGTTTGCAGGCATGTTTTGTTATTTTGGAGGCAATTTCCTGTTCAATCGTTGGGCTGTTGTGATTTGGGCGCCTTAAAAAATCAAAACGGAAGCTTTGCACTATAATGTCTCATGTAGCCCAAAAAATAGAACAAATTTAATGGCGTCTTCAGCATTTTAAATACCGAGCTATTTGCAACTGTATGCTTTTGACTTGGATTTCGGTTTGAAATCTTCAAGCCCACATCTCCGTGCAGTGGCTGTAACATACTTTTAACCACTTCCTTTAGTATTTGTTTTACTGAGTCTCACATTTTACGCCAGGAGGCCAGAATCTATCCTGAATTAACACACGGCAACCGTGTACTGAATATAGCATAGAGCAGTCAAAGACGCACAAACTTTTCAGTCGACCTTGTGGTGGTAAGTAATTCCCCAGAATTATTAGCCACAGCATTCATCACTGAATATTGGATCCTGACCCTCACTGTTTCAGTCGATTTGTTTAGCTGAAGGCTTCCGGTCAAGCATCCACGCCATTTGGCACACTGTCGCGTTACGTTCGTTCATTCATGCACGATCTCCAGTTAGTTAAGCAATCATCTCGCACTCCGATTTGGTCTCAAAATATAGTTCACAATTTGGACGGCCAATTTTTGTGTTTTGCTTTGGCTTTGGTCTACGCGGAACGAATACTATAGACGTTGTGTGTATAAGATCTTGCGTTAGTATACTTCGCACTATCCGTGTAAGTCAACGCGCTTAGCCTCTAGAACCTCTGAGATATTGCGTCATTCCTTTAAATTTACTATTTCCAATGCCAGTTAACCAGTCACAGTTTCGAACTTCATTATCGGCTTATAATTTTAGCAAAACATATACATCTATCAGGCTATCTAGGCTCACATAGAACTGTGGCACACCTCACTTAGTTTGAAACATATCTACTCCGGAGACAATCCTGTTTTCACTACCTCTTATTATGATATCTGCAACATCACAGGCCTCGTGGATGGTTGTCAATTCGCTTGTGAATGACAAAGTAAACATGAGTCACAATAATATTTATTCTCATGGCACAACACATAGGGGACGCCAGTTTACAGGCATCATCAAATGGTTACAAGTAATAAAACCACATAATGCAATCGCCTTCTACAGGTGGTAATCTGGATATACAAGTTCACAGGTATAATATACGCGCACTGTACAAGTAATAATCGCGATAGTATTAAAAACCCTCTAATGTGCATATAGTCGTTTCCAATCACTTATAAACAGATTTCTTTGTACAGACCAAATCTGTTATATCTGCAGCGATGTTCAAAAGTGTATGTTACAAGCCACGGTAAGATATGACAATGGCTGAATAACTGATATCTGATATGTTTAGAAACTGTTCATAATGTTGTTGCATATGATCACCTCATTAAAATTCACGAGTGACCTGTCAGTATAGTCAGAATATGAATGAATACTGGGATGGCTACTACAGGTTGTCCAAGGTTGGAATCTGGTTGATTGATTACTCTGCAATGTTCATATATTCCACCAAGTATCACTGCGTGACCATGGGAAGTATATGCTTCAGACGTAATAATTAGTGGATTTCTACCACCAATGAATATATACTAGTTCATATGAACTGTGATCAAGATTTGACCGGATAACTGGAAAATAATTGAGCGCTGAGTGAGAAGTAGACATTTATAAAATTGTATTTGTAAAATCTCAGCGAAAATTGAAATGATCTGGACCAGATTGCCGAACGAAACGTTGAAATTAATCATTTCAATTTTCGCTGAGATTTTACAAATATAATTTTATAAATGAATATATACTAGGTTTTGTGGATTTTGAATATTAGTTGTTCCTGCGTATATAGTCCAGTCACTTCTGGAGTAGTTCAAGGTAGCGTCTTAGGCCCCCTCCTATTCTAAATCATATGCAAACAACAACACGTCCATCACACATTTCGGTTATAACTATGCAGATAACATAGCTCTAGCTAACTCATATGACCAAAATTTTCTCCAGCGACAACTGGCAGAAACGCCAGGGATCATGCACGTAGCACGCATGATATCAGACCAATTCCTTGCTGGCATAGCCAACACCTTACAACAAGGAAACTGCTTCTTCCCTGGCAGATAGCAAACACCTTATTCACACCTAATACCTACAGTAATACTCTAGATTATCATACTAGTATCTCTCATAGCACGCAATATCTAAACGACCAGTTACGCACGAGTGACTTTTCACAACCCATCCCTAAGTATCAAATTGATGAAAACGTCTCTAGTGATCGAAAGGTAGTCAGTAATGAGTTCGATAACGACTGCCTGTATTCAGTCGATAATCATTGAGTTTTTTATTACGACATCGCCCATGCACTAAAACCAAGTAGTCAAAGTCTATCCGTCATCCTCATAAATGCTAGATCAGTTCTTAACAAACACTTAGCATTATGTACGTTAGCCTCTATATGCAATCCGTCGTTGATCATGATCACTGAAGCCTGGTGCTCTAGTGATATTACGGATGATAGCTTATGGATCGATAGGTACAATCTTTTTCGAAGGGATAGGGTAACAGGTCGTGGGGGTGGAACACTTATATACGTTAAACAACCCATTTGTGCAACGCATTTCAGTCACCCTATTCTGTCACAACTTAATGACTCGGTGTGGGTCGAAATAAAAGTTCTCAGAAGTAAA